CTAGATGCTGAGCAGCTGGTCTGCTCGGCCTGGGTAAGAAATCTTGAGGCCATGGGGTCACAGCGGTCTGCCGCTGGGGTCACAGCGTAATTGGAAGATCTTGCCTGTCCAGGTGAACAGGTCTCGGCCGCACAGCCAATCATGCAATGCACGTGTTTCTGTTCTTCGCCCCCAAGCCTCGCACTTGGAGGTCCTTCAGGAGTTGCCTGAAACCAAATTGTTGCGGCGGCAAACACAAGCACAAACCTTGCACAGGCCACTAGCGAATTCTGAGCCAACATGCCCAACTCATGAAAACTGGTTCCTCTTCTTTGTTGGTTGTGAAACGCATAAGCAGACACTCGCCTGATCATCCACTGAACATGTGTTATTGCCAGGAGCAAACATTTTGAGCATGCGAATGCATTTCAATGTGGGGTTGCCCTCGTCGTTGGTACAATTTCATGGCGATACAAGCAGCTTCGTTTTGGGCATGCGCATGCATGTAGTTGTCTCCTCTGCAGTAGGACATGCAAATGTATCCGAGTCACCTGTACAGAATCCGGAGACATAAGAAATTGATGGAAATCAAACTCAGAATGCAAGATATATTAAAGCATATTTGCATGCAAACTTCTGATCACGGATACAACATCATGGGCGTGTAAATTGGCTTGATGCAATGGCCGTGCAAGGATCCCTGGCTGTGTGCGCAGCTGAACATGTCCATGTACTGATAAAACAAACACGCAGAATCCGGGTGTGTAGCTGGACGCGCTGAACACTTGCTGGCGCACGTGATTGGAAAAACGCGCCAGCCTGTCCCAAGTGCTGCACTTCGGAAAGGCGCCTCTCATCCGTTTCCAGGCTTTCACAGAATGTTGAGAAATCGTGACAGCATCTCTACAACCCGAAAGCCAAGCATTGCCAAAGTGGCAAAGTGGCAAATTGCCTCAGAAGGCACACCAGGACGCAAACCTGCACAGCCCATCAAGCGCCAAAACCTCACATCACTGCCTGGCCAAAGCCTGCACGGCCAGCACCGTGCCCAAGAAGCAAATGCATGCCCAGCAAAACTGCTGAGGGGAGACCTCAGCAAAAAGCGCTTCAGCGTACACCAAAACCGCGTTCTCAAACATGGCATGCTAGCACCTCATGACTCAGGACATACTTATCGCAATCCTCACAGAACTGGACACGCTTTGCTCACAGAGTGCTTCAGCCAGCGACCATGGCATAAGTCGTTGTCCGAGGAAAGGACCCCGTTGCTGGAGCTTGCCGATGACTTCCGCTGTGGCATCAGCCAATCCGTTAATGCTTAAACGTGGCAAAGCTTCAATTCTGACGTGGCGCAGTATGGTTGGAAACCACGGGTCGCAAAAGCAGCCTGCCTTTCCCTTCTTTGGACTACACCTTTGGAACAAACGTAAAGAATATGTGTCTCGATCTGGGTTGTTCCAAGTTCCAAGCAGCATCATGATCACATTGGGAGTGTGCATGGATCAGCTCAAAACATGCTCTGGAAGATAATGACTTCCCTGTGCCGCTGAATCGCCGCTTTCTACCTGACGTGGCTTAAATATTTGAGCCAAGCTTTCAGTGTGAAGGACATCCATAAAAAAAAGAAGGTCAAATCAGTGCATGCGCATACTACATGTTCCTCCATGAAAATTGGCAACCTCGACACATCCTACTCGCTTTGCAAGTGCTCCTAGATCGTGCCAGCTCTGAACCATCCAGGACTCACCGCTTTTCCAGTCGGCGTCTTGCGTCTTGGTATATGACCGGGCTCCGAGCTCAACTTTAGGCGCAATACTAGCAATCCCCTGGAGATAAATCTGTGACTTCGCTCCACATTGATATTTTTCTGTTGAACACCAGACTGAAAACATAGCCTTTGGCTCCGCCTTCGTAGGAATTCTTGTGCAAGGGCACACGATTTGTACACTCTTAAGTTTGCGCCGATGCATTGAATCAATTGGTCTCAGTTCGAAGTCCAGTTGACGAAGGCACCGCCTCAAGTGGAGTAACTCCCTCACGGCCACGTACTGTAGCAAGCCCCACCAAGAGATGGCTTTTGCCGTGAGCTGGGTCAAAGGCGACCTCCAGCTGGGATTGCTGTGCGTGTCGCCGCCCAATCGCCTGCTTCAAGGACTTTCAAGTCAAATCGGAAGCGTGAGCAAGCCTCTGTCAAAGTTTCCTCCCAAACCTTGGCTGCAGAGTGGTGGCAATCATCGTGTTGCACGCAACGTCTGCACAACACGAATACAGTGGGGGCTCATTTCTTGCATCACTCGCATCGTTACACATGAAAAAGGCTCGCTGAAACATTGAGTGGTGTTTGCTATGTCCTTGTAATTCAATTGAAATTATTCAACCTTCCGCCGACCCTTCCGCGGCGCTTCCGCGCACGGCAGGGGTACCTTCCAGGAAGCTTTTTCAGAGAAAGTTCGCTTCCGCAGAGACATTTTGCTTCCACAACCACAGCTTTGGCATAGCTTTTGAGCCTGCTGCTCGCGCGTTTGCTCTTCGAGCCTGTTGCTAGTACGCGACATGCACTTCCGCAGCTCTAGCTCGAAAATCGCAACTCCGTACACCCTTCCGCGAGCTTCCGTAGAAAGCCCTTCCGCAAAGCTTCCGCGGGCTTCCGCGACTGTGGCGTATCTTCACATACGTAACGGAGCACAATTCCCTCTGATGCGCACTTCTTCATCGTGCAAGCTGGCACATCCCAACTACTTTGGTGACCACACGATACCCGATTCTATCATGAATGAACAACGCACACTCGAGTATCAAAGCGTCACCATGCTTGACCTGGGGAAAACAATATTTTCACAATTGTAATGACGCCATGCTTCTGGCAGCGCCACCGGCAGGCAATGCATTGGAGGTAGGAAGCGGAACCTGGGCATGTGTTCGGGGATCCACGCTTACAGGGTATCGCTTTCTGAAACTCATCATCAGTAAATCCATGCAAATCCTAAACAACTTGGAGTGGTACATTGCTTTCTCGATTGAAAGTACTTCCATAGCCATTGCCCGTCCTGCGAGTGCCATGAGACTGGCTTCTTGACTTGCTGCGCGCCGCGTCCTTGCCCTGGCCGGATCTGATCGAGGCGCACTTGGCTGGTGCCGCTCATTACCTCCAGGACCATGGAATCGTGGCATATGGCACAATGCGCCGTGAGCCCGGCCTTGAACTGTTCGAGTTCCAGAGGAATCGGTGCGTTCAATCCGCACCTAGATCGATCTTGCTGTCAGCCTTCGGCTGCATTTCTTTAAGCGCTGAGGGCCTGAGGCTTGGACCGTTCCATCTGCCTGCTTGATCTTGGTGATTTTCACGTCCCACGACCTGCAATGTTCTGAACTTGACGGCCTGCCTGCACTGTCCTTGCATTTCTGTCGGAAAGAAGGCAGGAGCACTTGGAGCCAGCATTCATCAGCATAGCTTTCCCACCTTCGAAGATATGAGCTCATGTGCTCGTTTCCCCAAGTGAGATCAACTTTCACAGTTCGCTTGCATTCCACGCCTTGTCTAAGGGGAAAATCCACAAAGTCATCGAACGGGTCAGCTCCACCAAACAAACTGTCGAAGAGGCTCGTGGCCTGCCAATTCTACCAGTATTTGGATTGCTGGATGCGCAACAGCCCGCATTCTCCCACAGCTTGTCGGATCAGGTATCCCTCTTCCGTGTACAATGAGTATGGCGCAATTGTGGCCTCTGTTCATCTCACTTTCCTAGGTGTTGGTTTGAGCTCAGAGAAGCAGTGGAATGATTTCATAGCCCTGCCTCTGAGAGACTGAAGTGAGGAGTTTTGAAATGTGCAGATGTTCGGCCTCAGGACTCAGCACGGTTGACACTAGATCCCAAGGCTTCAAAACCCCGAGGTCCCGACCTAAGCCGAAGGCACCACGGTTGCCCTGCAGTTCTCAAAGGGTCTTTCAGCTAAAGCTGAGATTGGCTGGGGGCAGGGCGCCGGGCGGCGCGAAATGCGCGGAATGCTGGGGATGGGGATTGGCTTGCCACGACCACGCTTCTGCAGGCTTGGGCTTGGCGAAGGGATTGCCTGGAGACTCTCCAGGATGTTTCCCCCACCTAAGTCAGAAATGCACATGCACCAATCTCCCAGATCAGCTGAGTGAAGTGCCACTGGAAGTGGTCCTCTTGCGGAGCAGACTGTGCCTGAGCCGTCAGAGTGCGCATCCCCGGTCAATCTGGATAGCGCCCCAGCACTCTCTCTCGCTCTCAGGCATCCGCTAGGTCGTACTGCCTGCGCTTGTCTGCGTTGCTCAAGGTCGAGTAGGCCTCTGCCAGTTCTTTAAACTTCTCCTCGGCCTGGACAAGGAACGGACTCCTCTTTGTCAAACGCTCTTTGTGCAAAGAGGTTGATTTCATTGAGGGAGCTCATCAACATTCTGCAGTGAACAAATTGCTTCACGATATTATCCAACGTCTCCCAAGGTGCCTGCTTGTTGCCAGGATTCTTGTCCGGGTGATATTGGATGGCAAGCTTTCGATATGCCTGCCAGTTTCAAGCGATCATATCCTGAAAGCATAAAGCGCAAATGTGAGAGAAGGCACAGCCCAAGCCAGAAGTGCGGTGCGGCAACGAATCTAGCGTGTACGAGCCTGTGCCAAGACTGGTTCAAAAGAGATCTGTTCTGCTATGCTGTTGGTTTCTTCATCGGCGGAACTGACCAACCGACTCCCACGCACATTCGGCCTTTCTGATGTCTGCATCCGCGGCATCCTTTGTCACCCCCAGCACCTTCGGGACAGCTCACTGACACTAAAGTGAAGAATTCGGAGCAGCACCAACTGAACTTCGGCTTTGATGACGCCTTGTAATAATCCATGGTCGCTTTGGACATGGTGGCTCCAGCTGCACAGGCTGCGCGGGTTCTGTGATTGTTGACGTTCAATCCCAATATCTTGTCTCGTGATGCCCAGGGACTGCCAGTCGAAACTTTCCTTGCTTGCCAATGTTCTAGCGTCAGCTGGAGAACGCAAGGCGTACACACGCAAACTGCACAAGTCGCTCAAAAGCCAAACAGAAAAACAAAAACAAGAAAAACACAGCCTAAGCGAGCAGCTTTGATCCAACAGGTGCAGAGAATGTCGCACACGGTGCAAAGCAAGCACCCTTTCCAATTCGCAACCCCTCCGATTGTGATTGTCACCTGCCACCAACAGTTTGCATATTCTTCATCTTATCCTTCTCTCACAAACTCGGCTTCCGAAGATGTTCTTCGGGAAGGCTACAGCGGATGTCTTTGACAGCCAACTGGAACTTGCCGACTTCTGGCACATTATCAAATGTAGCGTCTGGCGAACAAACCAAAGCAAATATTGCATAACACCGCCTTCACTCTCATTGAACGTTTTGCCCGGCCAGTTGCAGATCTGCTGCTCGGTCTCATTTCTTCCCTGTTTTGGCGCCTTTCCTCAGATACACACGCTTCATTCACCCTTGTGAGTTCAATATGATCGAGCCCTTCACTTCTCCAAGCAAACTCAGTGATCGGCTTCTTCTTTTTTCCTTTCTTGCCCCTGAGGCCCGAGGCAGTAAATGCATGCACCTCTCGTGCTTGCACAAGACAAACAACCGATAAGGTCTCTGCTTTTCCAGCCGCCGTACATAGATGATGTCCTGGAATTGCGCTTCAAGGCTTACCCCATGCAGGCGGCTAGGTCCCGATGCGGGCTCACTTGCTTGGGGCTGGTTGAGGTCAGGCTGTTGTCGCTCTGGGCCAGGGGATGACGGAGAGTGATGCCATTTTGGCAAACTGCAAGGTGCGCCATGTCATAACTTTGGCCAAGAAGTAATAAAACTTAATCAGGATCTTCGGATGAGGTGCTTCGGAGACGGCGATGAGTTTCTTCTGGAAGCAACTTTTCCTTCGAGGCCTTTAGTGATTATGGAGGATCCTTTCTTACGTTGGGGTTGCTTCAGGCTTGGTTGCATTAGGGCTGATGTCGAGCTGATAAAGGGCGTTTGTTGGCCGAATCTTCGGGTCGAGGCTGGTTGGGATGTTGGCCCTCACCAGGCCAGATGCGACCCTGGCAACATTAGCCATCCCACCTAAACTCCGAGACAGGCAACCTGACTGCCCAAAGCCAGCCCCAAGCTGCAGAAAATCCTTCAAGTCGGTCGGGTTGGTCAGGGTCTGCGCAAATCGGTCGATCACCAGCAATGATTCGGCACCATCACCTGCGGGGAAAAAACAAAAAAACGAGTGTACATGCATGGCCCTTCCCCAGGGCCACGAACTGAAAACATATTCGTCTGTATGCTGCAACACTTTGCCAAGATGAGCGCAGGCCTGCAGACAGGTCTTGTGCCAGCGGCATTGTATACGTCGCCGTCCGCTCCGGAGTTTTGGTTTCGTTGTCATTCTCATCTTCTCCACCAGACTCTTCCTCGCTTGCCTGGCGAAGGCGCATGTCAATTCAGGCCAAGAATCGTGTCAGTGCTTCCTGGAGCTCGGAATTATCGACGCTTCTGCTTGTCAGAACAAAACACAATCCAGTGGGATATTCCAGTGAACATTCCATCTGAAGTCAGACATGTCAGCCACATTCAAGTCTCCAGAGCTGCCAAAAGGCCTCCTCACTTCCCTCCTCTTCTGCTTCAGCAGCTGCAGCATCAGCGCGTAACTTCGCAGCCTTGGCTAATTCCAGCAGCAAACATATATAGATATATGTGTACATACACATGTGTATATATATATATATATATACATATATAATACTATCACATACCGATCGTTCTTTTTTTAATTCCTTTAAACCCAGGCTCAAGTGTTCTTCGATTCAGGACAGTTTGGATTAAACGTCAAACCACTTCACCCCCGCCCGGCCCCCCCCCCCTCCCCCGGCGCTTGGCATGGACACATTACTTTCCTTCGAGTGTTTCTGGGACGACTTCGACGATGGTTCATCATTGCCCCCCTTTGCACAGAATGGCGCCAAGCCTTGCTATAATTGATCTCGGAAACCAGCCCCTGCCTGCCTCTTGCACTAGGGCAACCATGGTCAGACTTATGTGGATTGGATCTTCCTCATGATGGGTTTGACCCCTGCAGCGCTCGCGGGATGGGGATCGCACAAGGGGTCTAAGCGAAACAACCACTCCTGGCACTATTCGAGCAACAACTGGCACTCTAAGGGAGGCTACGGAGGAAAAGGCCATGGCAAGTCTGGAGGGCAAGACCCCTTCAGCTTGCACATGCTAGACCGCTTGCTGGAAGATCGGAGGAGAAAGCAGTCGCAGAAGCCGCAGTGTAGATTGCAGATCAGTGACAGCCGGAGAGTCAGCTCTGAAGCTCGCGACGAGCGAGCCAAAGAAGCCAAAAAGGCATAAGTGCGTATTGAAAAAGCTTGAGGCCCGCATCCTGCGTTCCATTCCGACTCCTCGGGTCCCCCAACCACATGCGGCCGCTCCTGTGGCAGCGCCAGCCAATCCGCAACCACTCGCAGCAGCGCCACAGCCACACCGGAGAGAACCAAGCGCCTGGTCGAAGCCTTGCTCGATGAGATCCCTCGCGCGACATGGGAAGACATCGGCCGAAAGGTGAACGACCTATCTGCCAATATCCTGCAGAACATTCTCAAGATGCGGTTGCCAGATGCAGCCATCCCAAGGTACACGCCGACCAGAGAGTGGTCACTGCGTAGGGCCGCGAGCCAAACTCCTTGCTTTGTTGGGATTTGGGTCACCTTGTTTGGGCCCTGGCGCTAGCTCTGAAGACGCTTGCTCGGGAATACAGGCACGTGTTGCAAGCCGTAGAAACCTGGGGTGGCGCGCTTTCCGGGGGCTGAGAGCTGGCCTTCCCTGCGCGCGCAATGCCGCACAGGGCCGGAGTGACAAAGCGTTTATCTTTTCTCTGTGTTTTGTTGCTTGAGTGACGAGAACCGACCCGGCCTAGAGGGGATGGATAGTGTTCTTCACTGCGTAGCGCTGATTAAAATGCCTTTGCCATGCCAATTCGCTGTATCTTCGGCTCGAGTGCCCCCGGCGTATTTACGCTCAAGACCACAAAGAGAGCAGGCCCCACATGCATGGGTTCCGGGGTGGAGGAAGAGACCTCGATGCATTTCTTCGCTACAGGTTCTCTCAAGGTATATTCTGATTACAGACACAGAGTGTCATGTGTTTGACTTTCTACAATGGGCATAGCATATAATTCAGTTGGCTAACCTATACACTCGTAGACCATGCCTCCAAAGAAACGCTAACGGGAACTTCCAAATTTCATCAAATAATTTGCACATAAGCCCAAATAGTGCCCGAGTTGGGTGTATTTGCATTCCCCGTCATTTTTCAGGAGCTTTCCTTAACGTATGTGGTCAGCAGGTGAGTAAGTCAACTCTTTGGAGCATTCTTGTGAAAGGCACTGCGGCTTGCTGAACTTCCAATCGTGCATCGGCATGACCAAAGGCAAGTGACTATTGCAGCAGCATCGAAGCCTCCATCTCCGGCAACCGATGCTCGATAGATAGCAGTCACTGCCTCCGATTGCACGGCTGACAACCATGCTGGCACACTGGAGTGAATGAAGCAAACAGTCGCACATTGCAGGGCCACGTGCACTTGTAGCAGTAATAGAAGTAACCAGGCAAAACACACAATGGCATGGCAGGTGATCCATGCTGACAAGCGTGTCCTGTTCTTGCCTGATCGGTGATGGCCTGTATGAGCGACAGGTTTAGGCGGCGCAGTGCTCTTGCATGAGGTATAACCTAGCACCAAGATCTGCCTCTAGAAAATAACAGACCTCGTAGAATGGCACCGAACCTCAAGGAAAGGGTTGACGGAGAGATTCTTGCATCCTGCGCAATAGCACAAGAACAAGGTTGTCTGGTGATATCTCTGCAAGTGAAGAGTCCTGACAGATCCAATCTTCTGAGCCGTTTGCAGCTCAATAAAATCCTGCGCACATGGTCATCCTTAGCGTGAAATTGAAAGCCAGGGCTAAGCAGAGCTACAAGCAATCGCAAGAAACGGTCAGTTTGTCGGGGAGTCGGGGAGTGTACCTTTGTGGTCGGGGATTGACTGTTCTCCTTGGGTGAACCCCCAGAGCCTTGCACAAGCCTCACATGTCCACAACAGAACTCAATGCAAGCGGCTCGAATCATGCTGATGGACGCCAGGCTCAAATCCTGCGCGTGGGATTCGGTGAAGCCGCGCCACGCCGCAAAACACTCCTCCAGGTATTCGCACTGCCTGGAAATTTCATCTGGCAGCCGACGACTCAGCTGGTGACCTGAGAAGGTCATCTGACCATTGACTCATTGACCCAACTCATTCCCAAGATAAAAACAAATAGCTGACACAGGCGCAGACCAAGACAGGAAGCAAAAGACACGAGCAAGGCTGGTGTCAAAAAGGACCTTGCACACAGCATGAGCTCCCCACAGCCAGCCAAGTCCAAGACCCTCAGCCGCTTGAGGCTACTCATGGCCTGACAGACCACGTACATCCACGTACCCGATGCAAGTTGGAAACTCCAACAGAGCCTGGGAAGCCGCGTCGTCTGAGATGCGATTCAAGGCCAGGAGGAGTTTTTGGATGCCTGGCGAGGCTGAGGCAGCTTGCACGATTGAGGCACACTGGCCTTTCCCAACTGCTACCATTTGCCATGCGGCAACAAAAAAGACGTGGTGCAACAATGTTCCTTTCTGAAAGACTCTGAATACTTCGAAGGTCAAGAACCTCAAAAACGGCGGCAATCAAAGTCATGCAAAGCTGCACTACTTGGGAAGAGCGCAGTGATATTCCTATCTTTGCTGTCTTTTGTGTACATGGTACCGTGGCAACAACAGTCCCAAAGCCGGACCAGTTGACTGATGTTTACCTACACAGTCCATAGCACTCCATAGCATGGATTCCGGATCATACAGTGATTTCACCCGAGGACCTTTGTGAGACGGTAGGTAGATTGGAGAAAACGTGACTGCGAAATGCGGCAGGTACTGGTGTTTGTGAGCAGAGCAAATCTTGGACTCAGGTGGGGAAACAGAAACAACATAATGTGCCTAACGACAAGGATCAATCACCAACTATCCAACAACAATGGCTAAATGGCTGGCTAGTATGTGAGATGTTGTCTGCCCTCAAATGGGCAAACTTCCAAGCATGGGATGTAATCGAATTCTCGGCTCCGCAAATACAGGGCCTGCCTGAATTTGCCTGTGTGATGGCCAAAAGTCCTGCCCGCAGTGCTCTCATGGCTATCACTGCAACTTGTCTCAATTGTTCACCTTTTGTATTGCCTGATTGCGTTTGTTTGGCCTTGATAAGATCTGTCTTGCTGGCTATGCTGGGATTCCCTTGTCTCGTCCCTGAGCTGGTCATACGCAAGCACTGTCTGGGACAGCTGTTTCCGGCCGCCTGAATGCATATGCTTGCATCCGTGCAGATCAAAGCAGGCGCTCGTGTGAATCCTGGGTGCTCACCTTTCCAATAGCAAGCATGCGAGCTCCAAGTTTGAACCACCTTTCAGTACCCTATCGAACCTCCCAACAAGAGTAGCAGCCGCGTCCTACGTCAGCAAACCGCGGGCAGCATTCCAGGGCCAGGTGCTTTAATCCTGGAGTTTTCAGGAATCACACCTAGCTATCTTGCCACTGCCATGGCTTCATCTTTTCCCAACCCGTCAGAACACTAATAATTGAAATAGAAAAACAGCGTTGCGATATGCATCTTATGCATAGAGAGCTGCACTAAGCGCTTGCGGCGCAAACTGACAACTGGCCAAGGCTCCCCTGCAGCCTGAAGCCATTTGCACCAACGCCTGTGGCATAGCTTGTGGGACGACAATGTTCGAATTTAGTTTCTGTGCGCTGCATTGGGAGAACTTTGCGCGCCTGATCAGTGACTCCATTTGTGTACGAGAGCTCAACGACCTGCGCAAGGTCATGCCCATCAGCCAAAATAAGACACAACTCGACCGGCGAAACTGACCAAACTAGATGTATCTTTGCCACATCAAAGTCATGCTCATCTTGCAAACTGTCTCACAACCGCTTGACCCGAGAGTGGAAAACCATGTTAAGAGGCGCAAATGCTGGCGCGGCCCAACACATACTCAGCTTGAAGTCGTGACCATGGCAAGAAACTCGGAAGGCCTCCAGCCAACGGAGCTGCGAGAGCGACCTGCAGGAAGGAAATGACTCTGAAAAGACGCTCTGCAGTGCCCAGATTCGTGACATGGACATGTGCACGACAACCGCACGGCGATCATTCCTCTAAGTGAAGGAGCTCCTCATTTTGACACTGCGGCTTTACGGACCAGATATGTTTGACTTCCGAGAAAGGAAAAAAAGCCGCGCCTGACGAGGTCTTCGGTCACCGCTTGGCAGCTTGATGCCCTGGCAGAATGGCGGCCGTCTAACGGAAATGTGAGTGACACGACATCTGGCAAGGTTCTCTTGGCAAAAACAACCTTTATTGTGGCTGCGCAATTCTGGTGCAACGTGTCCATCGCTCAGCTCAGCTGAGCAGAAACAAACGTAATATCATCGTGGCAACCACAAGTTCTTGCCCTCCGCCTGCCCACTGCTTCGGTGCGCAACTGACGTACAAACGCTCGACCTTCTGACGTCCCCGTGGCAAACCGCTGGCGACAGACCCAAAAGTCAGAACCCATTGCTAGCGATAGCAATAAAGTTCTTTCTCGAGGCGTCCACGGCTGAAAACACTACCTCCTATTCCTTCGCGGCACTTGCTCTTGCTGCTTCACCGCGGGCCATGCCTTTGGCAGAAACATTCTGGTCGAAGACCTCTCCGCGCATGGCTTCAATCCGCTCTTTCTCTTGCCTTCTGCCCGGATTATGGCCGACAGCTTCGAAAAGCAAGACCCCTCTTTGCTTCGTCGACAACCTCGCTGCCTAAGCCGCTGGCATGAGTCATGAAGCAAGGTATCGTCTGCGCTGCACGTGAGGAAGCTACATGCCGAAGTTCACTACGCCCGTCACATACCAAAATCATAGCGCACCTACTCTTCAAACGCGTCAGGCTGGCGCTGTCTTGATTGGGAGATGCGAAGGAGATGAGGATTCAGAGCTTTTTTTGCAGGATGTGACTGGAGGTGGGTCCATGGGGATGGTCCCGAAGCAGACGCTCAGCGCCACTTTTTGGCCCCTCTGCGCTGAGTCCACGGATGTAACCAGTCGCCTTCGTCCTGAAGGTGTGACTCAGGCAGGCTTGTAAAATGACCTTCAAGCATCCTCGCGTCAGCTCTGCGCTCGCCCCTGGGCTGCCCCGAGCTGACTCAACCTTCCAAAGGCCGCGTGGCAGAGCGACGCAGCGATTGGACGCCATCCTCCCACCCAAAACCCCTCAAGTCCTGTCATCTCGACTCCCTGGGCCTCGTCTGGCACCATCTCTGAGACCGAGCTATCTCTTCTAGTTTCTCCTTCCCGTTCTGTCTTCTTTGTTTGAGTGCTCCCGCTGCTTGATGGGTTCCACCTGCACTTCTTCCTTCGTTGCATCCTTTGTCACGGCGCCCCGTACCTTCTTGGCTCAGCAAGCCTTCTTTGCGGCGCAGCTTTCGAACAGCTTCACCGTTGGAGTGGAACAAAGGGAAAGCGCGGTGGTGCAGAATGGTGGCCAAGACATTGTCACTTGAGCCTGTTGAGGTTCCTCTATGCTCGTTGCACGGAAAAAAAGGAACCACTACCGCACGATGCCAACATCTGGACTTCATTTACTTTTGAAAAGCACCTCTCAAGAACTATCCATTCATTGCTTGTCACATGCACCGATGGCAAGCAATCCATGCAGCGTGGCGCTGTCTTCAGTTATAATACAGGTACAGCCCATCAAACCTGCCTGAAGTCGCGCAGCTCCAACAGTTCCTGGACGCCCCCCACGTCAGCCAGCGTGCAACAACTGATGTCCAGCTTTTCGAGCTTTGGACATCCTGGCGAACAAAACAAAGACCTGCACAGCCATTGGCAAGCTCTCCTGCAAAGATGCTGGCCAAGGACTTGTCATCTGCGCGAGTGCCACGAAGATTCAACCTAGCAATGCTGAAGCATGTGCTATCATGTACTCATGTCCATGGGCATCAATCTCTGGCTGCAAAGCTCAAAGCAAATGAGGACGATGCTCACGCAGCTGCTTCATGTTGTCTGCCATCTTCGCCAAAGGCTCTGCTGATAGCCAGGAGAGGTCAGACAGCCGTATTCGCCTGGCGCAGCAGCTTTCGCATTTCTCTAAAGGCAGTACAATCATGCTCGGGACTGAATGGTGTTGGCCACAATTTGCTGGTTGTCGGGGTTCTTCAATGCCTGGTAAACATCAGGTGCATATGCTGCATACGTGATCCAGCGGCGTGACAGTATGACACTTGTCCGCCTCCGCCAAACGCTCATCACTTGCCATTGCTGCCTCGCACACGGCAAATCACATCCCACGTATGCCGAAGACTCCAGAACCAGGAAACCACAAGTACAAGCTAGGGTGTCATGTACAACTGGTTGTAGTCGCAACTTGATCAGGTATCAGAAAGTGGCCACATTGTTTTTTGGTACTGCTTTATTTCCCAAATCAACTCGCTTTGTGTCCTGTTCAATTCTACAACTGATGGCCAGCCATCAAGCCAGACGCGAACCTCAGCCCTCTCGGCTGTACTATCTCGCACAGCCAAGAGTATTCTCCAAGCTGAAGCTACTGGCAAGCTGAGAGATGCAGCTTAAGGCAGCGAATGTTACATCCAAAAGGAAAGATATATGACATAACATCCAGCCTCCAATACCATGCAAAGGTCTGAACCCACGTTCAATGTATGTGTCCCTTACTCATCTTGACTGCTTGTAAATGACCATCTTGCAATAGTTAAGGCTTGCTTCCCACCAGCGAGGACACATTTTCTCTTCTTGAGGATGGTCTCAAAATTGAATAGGAATCGAATACAAAAAATCGAAGGCAGCTGCAACAAGCAGACGCCTGGCTTCGGAAAGTGATTACTCCCGAACCAAAAATATCAACAACTCGCCCATGCAAAGTCGAGCCCCAAGCCATGCAGCCGGAAAGACATGCTTGAAGCAAAGACATTTGCACTTGGACCTCCTGGAAGACTCCCTGCGCTTCCACGGACATGCCGCTGATGTCCTGAATCCTCGTGAATGGCGCAAATTTGGCTTTGATGCACGTCTCTATGAGCCAGTCCTTGGAAGAGGTAGAAGCCTGCAAACCTTCTGAACTCTGGGATCAAGAGCCTGTTCTCGTCGCGTGCCTGCGGAGCGTGGTCGCAGCTCCTCAGGGAGCTTTCCAGGGCCTGGAACATGTGCTCAACGCAGTTATGAATATCTGTCCTTCTCGGGGATCCGCGCAGCTGGGCCTTGCACAACTTAGCACATCTTGCTTGCCTTCTTGCCGTGCTAGACCATTGACGTGGCCTGACTGCCCTAGCTGTCGGGGCTGTCGGACATCTGGCAGCACCTGCAATGAAGGCATGAACCGCACGCCTGAAAGCACCAACCAAACTCGCCAGAGGAGCCGTGGCATACGTGCTGCCGCCATGCCAACCCGACTTGAGGTAACTGGTGTGGAGGTGCCATGGCACAGCGTCCTGGCAAACGGCCGAAAGGTCAAAAGCTGGCACTGCCAGAAACCCGTCTGCTTGAGGGGGCCAACTAAGGCCGGATGGCAAAAGCTGATTTCTTGTCTGCACGCTTGCATGCGGTAAGGGAAACAAACATACATACCTGAGCATGGTTGCGAGCAGAAGAGCCTATTTGTTGTCATCCAAGAGCAGATGCAGGAAGGACGCAATGTAAGGGCAACACTACCATTCTGCAATGTCTCGCTTGGCCGCCAAGACATGCCGCTTGCAGCCATGCCCAGAGCACTACATTGTCTACTTCCCTTTGGGACTAATGGCTGCAGTAGAGCGCGCATTGCGGCCATTCCATGGAATTGACAGATTTCCACTAAGGAGTCGAAGTTGCGCAGCCACCTTTTCTCTGTCTGCAATCTGCCGCAAGCTGCAAGTTCTACCTAAGTGTGTCTGTCCCATCTTGCTTGCCATCGCTTGCCATCGCTTGCCATCGCTTGCCATCGCAACATGCATGGCGAGAGGCTCAGCTCAGCTTGGCAAAGGCAACCGTGGCGACCACCACCAGCAGCAGCTGCACCCCCAGGGCCACGAAGATGCCCACCATCCAATTCTGCCATGAGTGACGAGTGATATGACAGAAAATTAACTGGCCATGTGGATGGTGGGCAGAAGTCTGGGATTCTACCATGAAGTGAAGTGACAGAAAGTCTTCATGCCACAATTCTCAATACAACTCGAGTGGGCACGGTGTATGCTGCACTCTCGTAAGCGCTGATCTCCGTCGCCGGGTCCTGCATGTGTGCACCCAACGAAGCGCTTTCTTGCAAGCTCCGGCAGGCGTGCCAATGGCCTGCATCCAATAGAAGAAGATGGGATGGTTTGCATTGATGTTGTAGGCAGCCTTGCACAAGGTGCCAGCTCTTCTGCGCTTTCCTACCCAACACTGGTCTCGAGTCTAAGTCCGCCGCTGTCGCTTGGTCCACGGCTAGGCGGTAGTACGAGCGCAAGTCGTCCCTCATCAGCCGAAGCCCGGAGTGCGCACCGGGGTTGTTGAACTCACCTCACCGCGAGCTTGCAAATGACCATGAGCCAACCATGAGCCCCAATATGAGCCAATTATGTCAAAGGCGTGTCCTTTTGGTGCGCAATTCAGCTTGAAAGCAAAGCCCCGGACCACAGTGGAAGTCTGCCACATGCCCTGAGCAGCAATTCAGGCCTCAGGATCATCTCAATGCGTCCGACAGTTTTGGCAAACTGCCTGTATGCTCAACATCAAGTGTGGCAGCAGACTGGATCTTGCCCTGAACTGCTCCTCTAAGGCTTCAACCTACGGCCCAAAAGTCGTAGTTGGCCTGCTCCCCAATTGAAATGGGAACCACGCAGTAGGTGTCCATGTTCCTTGCGATGTTTCAAAGGCTGAGTGCCGCGAGAAGCGCAAATTGCTCTGTCAATGTCCAAGTATTTCTGGAAAAAGTCTGATGTGCAACCAACCCCTGCTTTTGCGTGGTACAGTAGTTTGCGGCTTCAAACATCTACTCACCCTTTTCATGCTGCCACAGCAATCCGCATCTTGCTTCTCATACTCCCAACATCTTCAAAATCTTCCATTGCTGCAAACGTATTGAGTACTGCGTTGCTTCGAATGGCTGGAATGTGGCTCTCACATTGTAGGCTGACCTAGCAAGTGGGGACTCGCCAACATGTTATTGTTTCGACACCACTCTTTAGAATTTAGATGTGTATTTGGATAGGCCAAATCACAAGACTTGAGCACTCCGCCTGAAGCCCATGGATTTGCTGATGTCGAGCTTTGCTTCGGGGACAAAATGGATGCGGCCCGCATCCATCAGCTGGTTTCCTGCCAGGAACGAACGCTCTCACATTCCGAAGGGCAGGCTCGGCTCCTTTGCTCTCTGCTGGGTTCACCATGTCGTACATGTTCATGTTGTTGACATCCATGAAAGGCACCAAGTTGGCCCTGACTCCAAGCTCTTGGCCCTTTTTGCAGTGAGGCATACGACGCATACGAGCTGCACATTCATACGCCCGGCCTGTAGTTCATGTTGCCAAGCACCACTCCCAACGCCAGGTGGCCAGCACAGCAGAGCAGCAGGAAGAAGTACCAGCCCGGCTGTCCATCCTCTCCACTCCTGCCACGCACTGCCAGCTCTGTTGTTTAACTTGTTTAACTGTTTGCAAGTGGAGAAGTCTTCGCCTGAGATTTTGCAGGGTGGCGTAGGCAACCCTGGCAGCGATGCATGTGTTGCAGCTGAAGCAAATGGTGTGCCATGAAATGCTCCGCTGCCAAACTCTTAGGGTCTCGCAGTAGGACGATAGCTCCAGCGACTACCTCTCCCACTACGACGAGCCCAGGGCTTTCATAGTGCACGCTGAGGCTGCAAAGACTGTACACCTGCACCAAAGTACCACATCCGGCAGAGCTACCCTTGTTGGTTCATGCAAAAAGCATGTGGCGGACCATTGCAAAAATCAGCCATGGCAGCAGAAGACACCTGAGCGTTGCTGACACAGCCCATGAGGAGTGTGATTAGGATCTTGCGTAGGCTGGGCACTGAATGCACCAGAACATGCCGAGCAAAGCACAGGGCGAGGGCCGGAAGGTTGATGTTTCTCCTCTGTGATCTGCCGAAGGCTGACTTCATGCCTGAGTCAACATCGAGCTTAGCCGCAGCTATCACATGTCGGCATTCTCGGGTCATTACAAACAACACAACTCTTGCATTGCAAAGGCAGAAAGCAAGAAATATCAACAAAATGCACCCATGGGTCGAATCGTATTTCAATCTCAGCAAAAACAACTATGAATCAAAGGCTTCCCTCACCGACCCCCAGAAAACAACAAAAACAACTAAAGAAGACTCATGTGACACTTAAGCCTAACTAAGGGCTTATTGTTCCCATACTGTCTCTGATGTGTGGCTTCTCCTTAAGGGATATGTTCCACAACCTTTCAAACTATGGTTGGCAATCTGGATTTGCTAGATCCAGGGGACGTGGCCTACCAGCCTGACAAGACATTGACCAGACTATGTTCCCTCTCTTTAGCCGTCCGCTGAACTCAAGATTCCGGCCATTCTTGGCCTCGAATGCGAAGGGCTGAGTCCTCAGTGTGTTGATGTGTTGTGATGAAACCACTGCGGCTGTGCAAGGGAGTAAGGCAGGATCGCTGCTCCATAATAGGACGCTGCATCGGATGGGTATCCTGATTGCATGGTTACCTGAGCAGAGGTTGCAAGAAGCACAATGACCCAAAACCAGTGGAGCAGCAAAAGCTGGGCATCAAGCCAGGGTCACTACCGGATCAAACACATAGTCAAGTGGACTTGAGATGAAAATTGCGCATATGCAGCAAACTCAAGAGACACACTTCGGCAATGTAACCCTGCACTGTGCTCAGTGCTTTGTGGCACACCTGACCACAAAGGAGCAAGCAAACAATTGGTCCCACTGATTTTCGTGAATGCTTTTGGCGATCCCCGTGTCCTACCAAACCCAAATAGACTGCCAAGGGTATTGCCAGTCCAGGCACCTTTGGCTCTGATTGCACTTGGCTAGCGCAGTGCATGCCCCAGTACCCTGATCAGTGCTGGCAATGTCGCACATGTCAGCCTCATCTCACTTTGGGATGTACACAAGACACCAGTGCAATGTTACCAATGTTACTGGTAGATCCTTGCGTGGTTGTCGCGGCCGAACGCGGCCCGTCAAGCTTGAGCTTCTCGGCGCGAGACCAGCCGGAACGGACGAATGGAGTTTATCGGCGATATCGGCATCGAAGCGGAGCACCAAGTCATCAAGTGTTCAATAAATCCCCCAAGCACTGAAGGTGCGAGGCCGATTGCTTCACGGATGCAGCAAGAATGGGATCCCGGAAGCTTAAGCACGAGTCTGCCCAAGAAATGGCAGTACTTGCGGCCGAACGAAGGCTCTGGCTGGTGGGAACAGTATCCACACCTGTGATCAAGGGCAGCAGTGGCTGCAAAGATGGATGCGCATCCTGCGCCTGCTCCAGCAGTGCTTTCAGGTGGTCCAGTGCAGCGTGAACTGACAACTCCAGTGGATCCTGACTTCGCAAAGCTTGGGTCTGGGGTGGCTGGGACGTCCGCTTCAGTGGGCTCCAATGAGGTGCCGTGAGCTCAGAGCTTTGGAGACGTCGAGCGTCGTTCAAAGCTTTTCGATCAAAGTCATGGCTGCCATAACTGCTGTTGCGCGAACGTGTTTGAGGGAGCGCAGACAATTGCCGCAGCAAGTCGGTTGCTCTTTCCTCAGCTGCTATGCATCTCTGTTGAGACTCAACCAATGTTTTCCTCAGGTCCTCATTGATGCTTTGCATCTCCGCCTCTCTCTGCTTTGCTTTTTCATGAGTGGAAGCATCAATGCCTCGAGCAATCTCACTGGCTACGGACTCCACACGCTTCACAGCCACGTCATAAATCAGCTCAAGCTTAGAGACTCTGTCTGCAAGATTTGTCATGTCGGAATCCATGGCACTAAGCACCAACCCTGTCTTTCCCACAAGCTCAGCCAGGTGCACTGCAGCACCCAACAAGTTGGAGCTGAGCTTAGGAGTTGCACTTGACATTTCCACAATCTCGGCACAACGCTCCATGAAGGCGTGGCAGCACTCGCCCAATACTTCTGCCCATGGCTTGTCCGTCGGGTTTCCCGAGTTCTTCCACTGCTGAAGTCGGCTGGAGACCTGGGCGAGAGAGGCCTTGCCGCAACGAGTCACCTGGGCAAGCTCTGCTGCGTCAATGGCTTGCATCGCCTGCATCCATACATCACCATGTGACGCATCCGGAAGAGGTGCCATTAAGGATGCACACACCTCGCGGCCGATCCGCGTGCTTCCATGGGAGGCTTTGGACATGAGTCCTCAAGTGTTGAGCTGTGCTCAGATTTATCACTGTCATGTTCGTGTGTGGCTTGTAAGGCAGAGGCGGCTGCTCAAATATGTTTACAACAGCAGGCGGGTGCTAGAATCGCTAGAACTTGAATGGTTGCCCCACAACTGTTTCGTCTGGATGCTGCGGAAGGCGCAGAACGGGAGTCATAAGGTGCAGGTTTTCTTGCTGACGGATGTCGAGCGGTCCTGAACATCTTTTGCGGCTGCATTCTCTCACTCTTCAGGTCCGCTCGCGAAGGGGGTGATTCGCAATGCGTTGACCCTCAGGACGGCAGTTTACTGCACCGAGGGGATCCACTTCGCCTCTCAGATTCGCATGATTAGCGGATTTTCGCAGGTCAAGTGTCTGCGGCGACCAGCATGCGGTGAGACATTGAATTCTAAGAGCTGCATTCATCACAAAACCATGTCACACATGTTTTTCTGAAGCCTCATCTACCTAAGACTGCCTAATCAACCAAGCTCTACAGTGAACGCCATGAAAAGCTTGTCCGGCGGCCGCCCACTCAGGATTCTGGCTTGGATGTTTGATCTCCATCGGCCTGGTCATGAAATAATCCTCTTGGAGAAGCATCGCTGTGCTGTACTTCGCACGCTGCCGAATGATTACTGGCCACAAATGTGGTTTCTTAGGCCGACACCAGTCCGTCAGCCAGGAAGCTCCATATGTTTGGAAGGCCGTGCTTGCGCAGGGTGTAATCCCTGTCAGGGGAGTAGCCATGCTTTGAGATGCGAGTCCTAGCCCGTGCGCATGATACTACTAAACTATCCCCAAACCGTTGGTTCATCGCCTGGAAAACACGGCCGGATCATGCTCAATAGAACCCTTTCAAATACTGACGCCAAACACAGCGAATTCAGATGGTGGCACATGTCTCACAGAAATATTGCAGCAATCTTGCAGCAACCTGAAGGAATACAATGGCGCAATTCGCGCGCGCGCACCCGGTGACTTCACCCTTCATCTCCGCCACCAAGTTCTGCGACTTGCCCAATGAAAAGTAGTGAAAGCAGTGGACCTTGGGGCAAACAAGGCCCGCCCAAGGACTGGAGAGTGCACATTCTGGACACTTTGAATTGCGCCAACCGCAACGACAATGTCTACCCAGTCTCCGGCCTCAAACTCCACCCCAAATATGTTGTGGTAAGGAATCTCATCGGACGCAAGGAAGGAGCCTCACAAGGCACTCGGAATACATGGTCTCCAGTCGCCAAAGTGCCTGAGATGCTCGAGCCAAAGATGTGCACAAATGCACCTTGCCTGTCTGAACGTGTCGCAGCACCATGGGTGATCCTGCTGGCACCTTGGTCGGGCAGCATCTTCGGAAGCACGGGGCCGAGAACATGCGGCAAGCAGCAGGCTCGCCGTCCATCTCAAATCTCGCAGCGGTCTCCGGGAAGAGCGCCTTGCAAATGAAAGCACTTGAGACTTGGTACAAATCAAATCCTCACAATGCAGGTATCTGCGGGCACCTGCCAGAGGGTCTCTCCATTGGGCACAGTCAAGGCAGTCACCTCTTGATGCCTGGCGGAGATGGTGTCATTCCAAAGATCAGGCCCGACAAAGCACCGACCTGGAGAACTTTGCAGCCGCCAAGCCGGTGACCATCTCGCTGTGCAAGTAAGAGTCCGTTGCAATCCTTCATTGACGTATGGGTTTTTCGTCTTTTGTTTTATGCGGCGAAGATGTATGCGCTGGGCTTCCCACTCGGAGAACGGGCAGAGCTTGATGTGCAGGTTCTGCCCGTAGTGGACCACGTCATCCTCGAAACCTGATCCGCCAGCTTGCGGAGCTCAAGCGAGTTGCGCCAAAGGCCCCAAGGCGCACCGTCCGCGGAATCTGCGCGTTCCACGGTGAAGACGTTTCGCACGCATGGGCTGCCGACGGGGCTAGTTGTCACCATGTAGGCCTTTGAATCGCTGGAGGAACATGAATCGGATGAATCGGATCATGGCGCTTACAACTTGTGGCCCTGGCGGTGTGGGACTTGGTCACCACATCATAAGGATTCACGCTCCTAACATTGTTAACATGCTGGCTCAAGTGGTGTGCAAGGCCGAGTTGAGTTGAGCACAACGATTGGCCTTTGCTGGGATCTGAGTGCAGCACAAAACACCCTTGGACTGGTGATTCACCAACATCACCTTCATGCCGAAGCGCAGCAGGCCATCGGACGAAGAGGAAAGCTGGCAAGCAAGCTGAGTCAGAGCAAGCTGAGTCACAGCATATGAGCCAGCGTCTATATTTGCTGTGTGGGGTGTATTCATTCTACTTTTAGTGAGTCCCCTATCGTTCTCCACGTTTCGCGTGTTCATGCTGTGCCCGATGAACCCTCTGCAGGGATCGCGCGCCTCGAAGCGCTCCCACTGTGGCGCCGTGCGAATTTGTAAAGCGCCCGATGAACCCTCTGCGAGGATTGCGCGTGCCACAGCGCCCTCGCTGTGACGCCGTGCGAATTTTAAAACTGCCCGATGAACCCTCTGCAGGGATCCTGCGCGCCCAAGCGCTCTCGCTGTGGCGCCGTGCAAATTCGTAAAGTGCCCAATGAACCCTCTGCGAGGATTGCGCGTGTCAAAGCGCCCTCGCTGCGACGCCGTGCGAATTTGGAAAGTGCCCGGTGAACCCTCTGCAGTGATCCTGCGCGCCCAAGCGCTCTCGCTGTGGCGCCGTGCAAATTCGTAAAGTGCCCAATGAACCCTCTGCGAGGATTGCGCGTGTCAAAGCGCCCTCGCTGCGACTCCGTGCGAATTTGGAAAGTGCCCGGTGAACCCTCTTCGCGGTGACCACGCGTGCCCAAGCGCTCTCGCTATAGCGCCGCGCGAACTCGAAAAGCACCCGACAAACTTTCTACGCAAACACAGCACTGGAACCACACGCGTAGTCTTTTGTAAGCAAATGCACTAGGCCTCACATTTGCAACTCGGGCCAATGTTCGGGGTATCGACGGGGTATCGACCGGGGTATCGTTCTGGTCGTGTGTCGCGTGACGAAAATTTTCACAATTTTCCATAAGCTGTCAGAGCCAAGCAAGCACACAATAGCCTTCTCTGCCTTGCGGTAATCATATATCAGTCTTGGCGGCTTGCTTGCTGGCAGCAACCTCAAGGTCGCAAGTCGCAACTTTCACCACAAGCGCAGTGCACAAGTTACACTTCGGCAGCTCCAGCTCGAAGGTCGCAGCTTGCGGCGGTCACGTGTCAGTCTAAGCGGCTTTTGCTTGCTGGCAGCAACCTCCAGGTCGCAAGTCGCAGCTTTCAGTACAGGCACGGTACACAAGTTAGACTTCGGCAGCTCCAGCTCGAAGGTCCAGCACAAACCATGTTCAGGGGTATCGTTTTTTGTGAGTCCCCTATCGTTCTCCAAGGAAAATGCAAAAAACCAGTATTGAATGAAACGCCGTTGATAAAGTGGTCTTTGATAATCATATGCAGATCACATTGTAGACCCACTCCTCGAACGTTCCGTAACCAGGATTCCATGAAAGGGACTCTCCCGACATTGTCCATGAGCTACTGCATAAGTGAAACTCGTTCTATGGCTCCTGCCTTCTAGGGCCACCTGAGTTCCTCAAGCCTTCCCACCATCAGTTTCAAAACATTCAAGCAAAGAATTTACCTTGTCTGCTATCCTGCAATATCCTGCAGTCTCGTAATCTGCCATGGATATTTCATGCCTGCAAAAGCCGGGCTATCGCACACGCCTCATCCTCTTTCAATGAAGACTCAAGCTGTCGCTGCCTCGGCAAAGCAGCACGACTTTCTCACTTCAGCCCGAGGGCTGCTACAGCTGAAATCAATCCGAGCTTCTTTGCAGTGACGATGAGGCTACCTGTCTCCTGCGTCACATCTGCCCCGTGGGAGGCTGCATGATGTACTTATTTCCATATGCTCTGAATCAAAACAATTAGAACTTAGAACTCACCAAGCTCGCGTTACTCGCGTTACTCGCGTTACTAGCGTCTCCTTCTTCTTCAAGTAGTCTTTCAGCTTGATCTCTTCAAGCTCGAGGTCCTAGAAGCACCAGCTGTTTAAGTCCCTCTGACGAGCTCAGCTCCGTCCTCGCTCCAGTTGCCTATGCGGGTCTTGTGATGATACTTTGGGCCGCCCGTCAGCTGCTGTGGAGTGAACTGCATCCCGTAGCACCTCACAGACTCAAGCGACTTTGTGAAGTCCGGAGGATCAAATGCTGAGGCCCAATCGAATTTCGGGCAAGACACAAATGGTGGTCAACTACCCAGCTGGGAGCCCATCTCCAGTTCAGCAAGCTTCACAGGTCCAAATTCACACGAGTGCAGGCGTGGGGTCTAAGACTCTGTGAATGGCAAACTCCGCACTTTTAATCCTCGCATTACGAATTCGAGTTTGTCGGTCTTTTAGCATCGCATCGTCTTTGACGCCTGCGCTGCCCCTAGAACTAGCGGCTCAATGACTTGGTCAACGTGATCCAGGACTAGATCACCTGCACAAGCAGCAAATTCACTTTGCTACGTGTCCGCTTTCTTTACTCACAAACGGCATGCCTTGCCAACATACGCTGGGTCAAGAGCTCAGCCTCAGGCATGATATGAGAGAACTGACGCAAGTAATCGCTTGGGCCCCCAACAGCTTTCTTGATCGCTGGCCTGCAAGCGCAAGCAAGACTGGTCCAGGTATTTCCAGCTTGCTCAAATGTCTCCCACTCTCCATGTCTTGGAATATGATACTCTGCCGACCCCTTTTCTGCCTCAGTTCTGTAAAATCATTGCTGGGCTTTGCTTCCCTGAATATCCAAAAAAGATTCAATTGTCACTCTAAGTCCCGGTGATGATGCTGGGGATGTTGCTGCTGCATGTGTCATTGTCGATCCCGTGTCTGCCCAGCTGTTGCGTCTGCTTCCCATTCACATTTCCGATCTCGTCTGTCCCCGGCTAGTTCTTGACGCTATTGAGTCCTTCTTTCTTTTGTTCCTTCTTGCTGACCCGATCAAGTCCCATCCCGGCTGCAGTTGCCCTCTTACCTTTGTTGTGCCTCCTTGCTTGTTTCATAATGTCTCTGCCCCCCGTTGGGCAATCCCGTCCCTGCAAGGTTCCCTGTCTTGCTGCATTTTGAATCTCATTGTCAATCCCGTGTCTGCCCAGTTGTGCCGTCTTCTTCTGCGCTCCAACTCACTTTTTTCGATCCCCTCTGTCCCCGCGTGATGATTTCGTTCTCCAATCCTTCGTTCTCTTCGTATCCTGTGTCTGTCTGCTTGCCCAGTTTCTTTCTGTCCATTTGTCTTGCTTCTCTCTTTTCCGATCCAGCGTCATCCCGGTGGCCCTCTTTCTTTCTTGCTTGTGAAATTTCTCTCGTGCAGTTCCGGCTCTCGCAGCATTATTGTCTTGCCGCAATGCGAATCTCTTTTTTTTGATCCTGCACCTGCCGAATATTCTCTGTCTGTTCCTTGGTCTGGGAGCACTGACAGGTTCGACACCTTGGAAATCACATCCATTCCCGTTAGCTGGGGCTTTTTGCGGGGGTCGGAGTTGTGGCCACCCAGGGGATTATTTTGCAAACTGCATCACGAGCATGCATGTGTCTGTGTGTGTGGGTGCTCACAACCAACCACTACATCGTAACGTTTCTCTTGTGCGTCCGCCAGCATTGCAGCATTGGCCTCTGTCTATTCCACACCGACACCTACTTGGCTTCTCTGATTTGCACCTTGCGTTGGCTCTTGCAAGTGGCTGGATCTCCCTCTGGAAGATCCCCCGACTCCCCTCAAGGGTGCGGGTGCCTATGCAGAGAGAGTCACATGAATGTACAAATCGGAGAAGCCGAGCAGTGTCGTGTCGAACAGCAAATAACTACTCATCACACTCAGCCCTTCAACATGGCTCAGCACGCCTAGCACTTTTCTTCAGGGCTTCCGCTGCGGCTTTCGAATCTGAATTCTTCGGCTTCGGCCTGCATTCAAAAGACGCATCGCTGAAGCAGAGGAAGAGACTCTGGCCTGATGTCAAAACCATCCAGGTCGCTGCTGTCCAAGTCCTGAAAACAAAACTTGGTTCTGCCCCCACCCCTAGCTTGGCCTCTTGCTCACAAGACTATTGAGCAAAAGCATGAATTGCTTGTGGCGAGAAGACAAATCAAAGCACTTGAGTGATGCAGGAATGCCACAACCGGGTGGCATGAAACATGATGTGAATGCTAGCTGCATCCCAAACCCTGGCTGACATGGCAAGCTGCTAAGCTGACCTGGATGTCAAGATCCCCAGAGACCTCCTTCCCTTCGAAGGAGCCCTTCCAAGACAGCTTCACCTGGCACCAAGTCCAGGCAAGGGCTGGCGCAAGGCTAGGGCGGCTCGGGCCTGGAACTCAAAGCCAAGGCGGGGCCTAGCCGCTAAACCGCTCTCCGTTCTAGCCATTCGAAAACTCAACAGTATGCTCTCGCACCGTACACGCACTGCTCCTGCCGCGGATGTGGTAAGCTTGGGAGTCGCCAGTAATCGTGGCTGTACATCCGATCACCTGTCAAATTTAATAATAATTAAAAAACAATAAACAAAATGGCGACATGCATCATGCATCATGCGTCAGTCGCACGTGCATCCACCAAGCAGGCCTTGTTGCCATCCGCATCCAGCAGGGCAAATGTCTCATCGGTGAGGATCTGGGGGCCGTCTTATGGCACAGCGAAGTGGCAGTTCTGCAGGCCTTCTCCAACTCCGCCCGAGCTGGCGCGGTGGTGTCCTGTTCTGGAAAGTGATCACACGGGTACGCTGCTCTGCAATGGAAAACTGCGGGCACAACTAGCGCCTTCTCCTCCCACGTTCCGGCAGAGTTCCAACTGCCAAAATGCAAAGCAGTGTGAAGCGGGTGCAGCATAATTGTGCAGTGGGCAAAATATGAGAATGATTGAGAAAGTATGCTTCGCCGATAGAGAAGGGCTGATCAAAAGGGGCTCAATGGCAACTAGCGAAGCGACCGGATGCGCTGAGTCGAGTCCGGCTTCGAGACGGATGTTCTCCGCTGGCCTGGAGCCCACGGCATCCTTCGGGGTCTCCTTCGCTGATCAGAGCCGTCAGAGCCCTCTCTATCGGACTCGCAGTTTCGGGGCTAAAGCTCAAGGCCGAGTGCCCAAAATGCCATCCACAAGCCCAAAAATAGCGCGACTCCTTGGTTGTTTCGCCCTCTAGCTTCTGTGGTCGATTGTCTGGTAGAACATGAGCATCATCAATGTCGCGTTTCCAATACCTTACTGCAAGCAACTGTAGTCACTCCATGCTTGAGAGTAGGATGGCTGCGTGTAGCCGCTCTTCTTGCTTGCATCGTCTTCCTGCAAAGTTGCTTTGTGTGTTCCAACAGGAACTGCCAGCCACGCCTTGGCTTCTGCCATTGCTCAGATTTCGTGCAAAATCGCAAAATCTCAACGGTGCTCAAGCTAGATTCATTGCTACTGCTGGCTGGTGGGTCTTCAATCGGCTGCAACCTAAGCCCAGCCCTGATGCGTGCAGCGTGTTGTTTTACAATCTAGGTCTGCATTGATGTCCAACTGCACAGCTCTCAGAAACCGTCCTGTGTACTAACTTCACTGGCAAAGCAACACTCGGCCGTCTACAGCTTCGAGCCTTCCAAGCCTTGGACTTGCCTCATATTCTCATGGGAACTGGTGTGCAACATGTGTTTGTCTTTACGTCGCAAGTAACACCGAAGGGTGCCCTCGAAAAAGGTACACCTTCATGTGATCCTTCTCGCTATAGTAGCTGATGGCCAATGCCGGTGCTTCTCACCTCTATCTGCCTTGGCTTGCACTGTTGGATTGCTGGAAGCTTCACCCTTAAGCAACACTTTGGATGCCAGACCTAACTGTGACCTTCACCCTGCTCTTCCCTTTGTGCGGAAATCCTCTCGCACCCAGATAGCTGCTCCTGCACTTGGCTGCTGTCTCCGCCGCAATCTTCACGACCCCAGGTCACCACTGCCCCAGATTCAAGAATGGCAGCAAAAGCACCCTCCGTTGCTTGGATGTGCTGGACGTTCCTCAGCTGCTCTTGCACCTCGCTGCTGTCTCCGCCGCAATTTGCTCGACCCCAGGTCACAACTGCCCCAGATTCAAGAATGGCAGCAAAAGCACTCTCCGTTGCTTGGATGTGCTGGACGTTCCTCAGCTGCTCTTGCTCCTGGCTGCTGACTCCCCCTTCTTCTGGATCACCCCATGTCACAACATCCCCGGATTCAAGAATGGCAGCAAAAGCAGCGCTATTTGATTGGATGTGCTGGACGTTACGCAGCTGCGCTTGAACTTGGCTGCTGTCTCCGCCGCAGTCTGCATGGCCCCAGGTGACAACAGCCCCAGATTCAACAATGGCAGCGAAAGCTCCGTTTCTAGTTGCTTGGATGTGCTGGACGTTCTTCAGCTGCTCTTTCACCTGGCTGCTGTCTCCTCCGCGTTCTGCATTGCCCCAGGTCACAACATCCCCAGATTCAAGAATGGCTGCGAAAGCACGGTCAGTTGCTTGGATGCGCTGGACGTTCCTCAGCTGTTCTTGCACCTGGCTGCTGTCTCCGCCTTCTTCTGGATCACCCCATGTCACAACATCCCCGGATTCAAGAATGGCAGCGAAAGCACCACACCCAGTTGCTTGAAGGTGCTGGACGTTCCTCAGCTGCTCTTGCACCTGGCTGCTGTCGCCTCCGAATTCTGCCTGACCCCAGGTCACAACAGCCCCAGATTCAAGAATGGCAGCAAAAGAACTTGCCGCTGCTTGAAGGTGCTGGACGTTCCTGAGCTGCTCTTGCACCTCACTGCTCTCCCCGCCATTGCCTGGATTGCCCCAGGTCACAACAGCCCCAGATTCAAGAATGGCCGCGAAAGCACCGTTTCTAGTTGCTTGGATGTGCTGGACGTTCTTCAGCTGCGCTTGCACTTGGCTGCTATTTCCGCCTTCAAATGAATCACCCCAGGTCACAACTGCCCCGGATTCAAGAATGGCAGCGAAAGCACCGCTCGTATTTGCTTGGATATGCTGGACGTTCCTCAGCTGCTCTTGTACCTGGCCGCTGTATCCGCCATTGAATGCATCACCCCAGGTGACAGCCTCGACCCGGTGGCCATGCCAAGCAAACGCACTGCAGGTGGCAGCCAGCTTGCCTGGCTCCAACGCAACCGCAAGCACCATGTCCCCATCTTGCAGCGCAGCCTCGCTCAGCGTGGCTGTTTCATGGAGCTGTTGGCCTTTCGCAGTGAGCTTCAAGCGGCGCTGGAAATGCTGCTGGGCTGCAGCCTTCAGCTCGCTGATGCGTGTAGCAGGTGAGACTTCTGCAGAGAAAGCATCTCCACTGGGCAAGTGAACATCAACCCTCATGGCGCAGGAAGGTTGTTCTGCGTTGTTCAAGGTGCCGGAAAACAAACCTGAGAACCCTGTTCGATTGGCTTTGAAGGGCCAAGCATGTTCAACGCTTTCAAATCCGTTTTCATCTTACACACCCATGCAAAGGAAAATGCTTTGCGGGAGTTGACGCGTGCCTGTGACCCTCCAGCTGTCAAACCGGCTCTTGGCAGTTCAGCTAAAGCCGACAGCGGCATCCGTTTGCAATCGGACCTGAAGAAAGGCGGACTGCAGAGTTGTACCTTTCCTGAGCTTTCCTGCTGAGTACCCCAAACTCAAAGCCGAATAGCTCAAAATGAAACTCGCGCGTGTCCACATTGCCTGTCCAATGGCCAGAGGCGAAAAAAATGAAGCGGTATGAGGCTAGTATGCTTTTGGCTGGCTTTGAGGTCCTGCGTTTTGGTTTTCCTTGAAGAGTTGAGTTTGTTTGAGTGAGTCCCCACCGAAATGCGTGAGCTGGCTTCCATGTGCATGTTCGCGCGTTTCCACATGGCTAGGGCTATGAGAGCAGTCTGAGACCGGGCCGACTGATCGAAGCCTTGGGCCTGGGCTGCCGGAGCCACCAAGTGACTGGACAAGTTTCTGAGGAATTTGACCGGTTGAGGGGGAGTTGGGCAGGCTTTCACAGGCTTGGCTGGTCTGAGGGAACTTGACCGGTTTCTGGAATGAATTAGAGGCGATTTGACCACGGAACTTGGTGTCCAGGGCAGTTGGACCGGTTCTAGGGAATTTGATCAGTTGCTTGCGCGCGTCTGTTTGCCTGGTGTCTAAGACACGGTCGTGGATGCCTCGAGGCGTCGGTTTGGGCGGAAGGATCTGGCTGGGACTTGCGTCGGGGCTGGAGGCAGGATTTGCTCACAAGGTTTCAATGCCTCAAATTCGTTCATGTCCTGATATCGCAAGTGGTTCAGAAACGCAAGCCAACCCTTGTGGCGAAGATTTGTTCACCCCTTCTCACCATTTTTCACGTGTTTATGGCAAATCAAAGTTCCTATCTGCCGAAGACATCACTCTATGTCTATCAATTGGCAGAGAAATCGGCTTACATCCAAACAAGGATCTGCAGGGACGAGCATGGTTGTGCCCCGGTGTCACACTGCCATGGTGGCGTGGTGTCTTGCGCGCCTCAAGGAACACGTCTATACACACTTGACCAATTTGTTTAAGAGACATGGCGACTACATGCCAGCATGTCTGGTTTTTGGATTGCAAACATCCCAGCACTGGAATTCCACAATAGCATACGTGCCTCTTGCATGGGGCAATACTATTGCCTTTTCTCACTCGCACATCATTTGAGCGAACCTTTGAAATAATGTACCAGGCTCATTAACGATCATTGGCTTGCAGGAAGAAACAGTGTAGAATGTGTGTTGAGAAGCAGCAGCCACACCCAAGATTTCAAACGTCAAAGAATTGCAATGCAACACAGAGAAGCCTTGACAAGCGACAGGTCTGTCCACACAAGCTTCAGCTACGTTGGCCGAAGCTCACTTTGCCTGAACTCCCCATGGCACTTGCACCTCGCAGATGCGCTACTCCGACGATTCATTTGAGGGACAAACTGACAGGCGCACCATTGGAGAGAACTGTCGAACCACTGTTGGTGGCGTCACGCTTGGAGTCACAACCTGCAGCTAGGCGAATCAGGAGTCAAAGTAAAAACTAACTTAGGTCAAGGCTGCAGCCGGCTCTTGCTGGTAGACAACGGGCTGCAAACCAGATGTCCACGACTGCGATGCTGGCGCCTCAATTCTAACCCCCTTCAACCTGGGAGGTGACAAATGTTTGAAAACGCCGAATTGTTTCGCGGCGTAGCCGCACATGGGTCTGACAAAGGATAAATTTGGTGTTGCAACGCATGGCCCCTCGCAAATTCTGCTAACTATGGTCTTCGTGGCTAGTCAGTTTCCAAAACGAATGGGGCATGGACAATCTGTGAAACAAATCAGAATCTCGCACGGGCTGGCGGGTCAGTGCCGTGCCCAACACACTCCTTAGAGTCCGTCAACACGTGGCCTGGGAGTTCGGCCAGCCTGGCCTTTCTGATTAAAAAAAAAAACAGCTCGCATAGCTCGCCAAGGCAACCGAAGGCTCAGCAGGGGACCTTTGTGAAATTGCAGCCTGCGCAAAGCATCGCCCGTAAGCCTCACCCTTGCCAAGGTCCGCAATCAAATTCCTTCGTCTAAACGACCCTCGTCCAAAAACCTCGCAAGTAGATCTTATGTCGCAAAGGAGTGATGTGATGCGATGACCAACACTCAAACATCCGAAATGTCCATTGTTTTTCAGCTGAAGTATGCCACTAAGGGTCAACCTTACGGCAAATACCTCCTTGCAACGGAGATCGGAAAGGGCGAAACGACGCCAAAGCTTTGGAGGCTGCAATCGCCCACTCACTCTGTCTAACTATGCCCGGTGCAGTCAGTGGATTCACCGGGTTCAAGGAGGTCGATGGATATCGTCGGTACGGTGCCGCATCCATCACCTTGCCACACGTCTTGAAAAATAAGCATGTGATACTATTCTTCTATAGAGTCAGAGGATACAAGGAGAGAGAGAGAGAGAGAGAAGAAAAAACACGAAAGCCGAAATCACAATTCTACAAATGCACGCGTTGGCTTGCCTGAAGAATTGGGTTGCACCAGCATTCAATCACAATTCCTGATTCACATGTGTCGCCTCGCCCAAACAACAGAAATATTTAAGTGGCTCTTGCAAGATCTTACGGCAAGTGCCAGCTCTTTGCAAGCAGCAAACCAGTCGGATGATGTTTTCAGGAGTTAAGCATCATGCCATCTAGGATCAAACATGGTTGCATTCTGGAGGCTAGCTTTCGTTCTGCCTACCAATGGCAAGGTGGGGAGTTGTTTCAGGTTTTGAACAGTGCTCAAGCCTCAGTAAATCTAGATATCTTCGTAAAGCTTGCAGTCTACTTGTGCTGTACTATGTGTGTGTGTGCGCGTGTAAGGGGATTGCCTTTCTGGGCCCATTGCCACTTTCTTGTCCATGGCATATTTCTAAAGTTCGTTCATGCTTCCTGCTGTCAACCAGAGCGGCCACGGAGCTGTTCAGATTGAGCATTTTTGGCACTGCTGTCAACGTGGAAGAGATGGTTGAAGATCATATATGCCCTGTGACCACTATCACATATGATTCGCGTATCCTTCGCTCATACAGTTTGAGAAGCTGGCAGGAACCTCTGGTGCATATCCGCCTGGCTCACCAATGACCTAAGAGTGCCAAAGGCAACCGACGACGAGCAAAGCGTGCGCCAAACTTCATCTTATCAAGAGGTGCCTGCGTGGACAGGTCGTGGGTGTGAGTGTCGATGGCGTCCCAAAGCCGTCTGTACTCTTTTGTTCTCTCTTCAATCTCCTAGCAAAAGTCAGCAAGGCCAGTGCTTGAAATGCAGCAGCCAAGACGGTCCTTCCGCATCAAACTATCGAAGATGGCAAGAGTCTTCTGTACTGAATCGACCTTAGCATAGATGCAGCGTAGCTGGTTACAAGAGAAGAACTAGCCCAAACAACCAAAATAAATGTTGATAGAATATAGGATCTCCTCCAAATATTGGATCAAAGAAAAGTGTATTAGAATGAAGATCACCCAACATTAAAAGAAGTGTACCAGATAAGATAGGTAATGTTAATAAAAGCATGAAAGCTGTAATCAAGAAAGAGAAAGGAAATAATGGGATAGTCTTTAATATAAGATAATAAGATCTCAGATTTAGAATTGTGGTCCAAAAGTTAAGAGATGTAAGACCAACAGAGTCCAAACGATATTTTGAGGTCACCCCTCCGCTTTTGGTAGTTTCAAACTTCCGACTGTCAGATTCGGACAAACGATTGGGAGATAAATACCTCCCCACCACAAGATTCCCATACTCGTCTATATTTGAGAAAGTGCTGCTGCCAGCAGAGTTCGTCGGCACAGCCACAAATGTGCCACAAATTGACAAATGTGTGTCGCCAAGGCAGCTCAAGGCCTGACTCAAGCCGTCTCTCTCGCTCAAATGACGCCTGAATGAGGCTGCAGCCCGCTCCTCCGTGGATGCATGGTGCTTGTGGCGCTCAGCCTTCTCCTGAGCCAACAGCTCCTGCGATCTTGTGAGGTGACTCACATCAGCCAATACAAAGAAACGTCTGCTCCCAAGTGATGGACATGTGACATTGACATGTGAACAGTGAGTATCCCTTCTGATTTGATACTTCTGTGCATTTTGTGAGTGTGTTTGGACAAGGTGTACAAGTCGGTCCTCAATTGCTCCTCGAGCAGCCTTCTCTTTGTGGACAATGTCGTGCAATAAGCTGTGATGCCTAAACAGGTGAAGGTAGTTACAACAGGAGCTTGGGGCAGCATCTGGTTGCTTAGCCAGCTTCACTTGAAAGCTAAGCCTTGAGGTAGCCACTGTTCGCGCGCGCTGCGCTCCTTCTGGATCACTTCATGCACATCTCGATGACGCCCCTGAGGCTGCATATGCTCAAACACCAAGGTGTTGCTTTCTTGTTTAGCCTGCCTCATTGGCTGACCGCTCTCGTCCAAGCAGTTCTTGATGATGATCATGCTGTTTATCCTCAACGCAACGACATTAAACAGTGCGTTGGTGAAATGATTCAACGGAATGATGCCCACACAAAGCTGCAGCTTAAAAGCAAGCCTCCAAAGAGCCCTTTCAACAAGACATGTCTGAAATAGAGACATGGCTAGGGGTCGCGCTCGAGCCTCTTTCTCGCGCGCAATCAACTCCTGTATGTGGGCAAGGAAGCGGTCGCGAGCAGCCTCACCAGAACTTTGCAAGGGATCAAAAGCCTAAGCAACTTTGCAGTCAGTTGCAGTCAAGTACAGTGATTTACAGTTTACAGCGAGTTGCAGTCAGCATGTTGCAACATGCCTTCTCGTTGTTGAACTGCTCCTTAACCTTGGACGCCGACAGCTTCTCTCTCTCCGGGTCGCAGGCTGCCGAGGAGCCATGTTCTCTTGCGCTTCCCTGGCTTTGCGCTCCGTTGCCAGGTGCCCCTGGACGTTCTGCTCGAGCGATTCTCTGAGACGACCTTGGCTGAGCTCATGCCAAGTGCTGGCAATAAATTTGACAGATCAGAGGTTGAGCTGCCCGGCGTTCGGTGCCGATTTGGTCAGAGATGGAGTTGCACTGCTGAGTCCGCGCCGTCGCCTGGCAACCACAATACCAACCGCCATCCCGGGGCCATCCAATTCAGAAGCCTCACTGCGAAGTTGATCTCGAACTTGAGACAGAACCTCATGGTGCCTGGCAAAGCTTGCAACGTGCGATCCGAGGCTCTAAGCCTTGCGCCTTGCACATCCTCTGAGACGCACGCTCTCCGGTCACTGTTTCGAGCTTCTGCAGCCGCTCCTCAAAGCCAAACTAAACGCCATATGCAAATGGTAGCAGTGTCGCCGTGCGGTGCATGGCAAACTGCGCATGATTGTTATGTTGTGTTTTTTTTTAAAAAAAAATATATACACACACATAAAAGAAAGAAAGAAAGAAAGAAAGAAAGAAAGAAAGAAAGAAAGAAAGAAAGAAACAAGAAACACACAAAGAAAAAAGAAAGAAAAAGAAAGAAACAAGAATAAGAAAAAAAGAAAAAGGAAAGAACAAAGAAACAAATAAAGAAACAAATAAAGAAAGAAAGAAAGAAAGAAAGAAAGAAAGAAAGAGGGAAGAAAGGAGGAAAGGAAGGAAGAAAGAAAGAAAGACAGAAAGAAATACAGAAGGAAAGAAATACAGAACGACAAAAAGAAAGAACACCAGTAGAAAGAAGGAACACAACAAAACAATACAATACAAACAAACATGCAAACAAGCAAGCAAGCAAACAAACAAACAAACAAGCAAACAAACAAACATACAAACAAACAAGCAATCAAGCAATCAAGCAACGAAGAGGAAAGCAGTCCTCCACTGTCGCGTGGTGAATACGCCCCTCACGATCGTAACTGAGTTTCCCCTCCAGGTGTGCATGTGCCTCACACGACGCGGCATGTCTGCATCTGTTGCTGAATTCCTCGAGTCCTGGCCTGCTGTCGGAGCTGCTTCTCCTCGTGGAATTGAGAATGGAGCTGCTCCTATGTCCGAGTTCACGGCGACTTGGGACGTGCGCACCCGTGTCCATACTCAAGCGTCGCAAAGTTTGCAAAGCTCCTGAGCTTGCCGAGCAGCCTGCAGCTCCTCCATGCAAGGATCGAATGACTCGCATAGACCCCGTGCATCTGAGTCCTTCTTGTGGTGGTCGGCAGAGTCGCCAAACATCTTCTCCAGGTAGTTGACTCCTTGAGCCGGGGGCAGCTGGGCAGCTGGGCAGCTGGGCAGCTGGGCAGCTGGGCAGCTGGGCAGCTCTGCGAAACTCTGGGCCCGGAGCTTTCATTCAAAGTTGCGTGATGGGAATCACGAGCTGCCTGCCAAGGCTTCAGGGCGTCAGGGCTTCAGGGCTTCAGGGCTTCAGCACTCTCGGATTTACAGTCCCTTTGTGGGAACCCAAATCAACGGTGCACTAGCAATAATTGTGCGACCTGTTCAGCTGCCTTACTCCCTGCTGCTGTTTGGAGTATGTCCTCAGTTGAGTTGGACGACCGCGGCTTGGGTTTATGTCCACAGCCTAGGGAACCCCAAAACATTGATCTCAGCGTATCGAATCTCGCCTGGTCGTTGAGGAGCTTCTCGTGGCTTTTCTTTACAGTGTCCATATGGCTGCCGCGGGCCTCACGAGCACAAGCCCCCCATCGCTAAAATCACAAAGGAACCAGCGCGGCAAGCAAACAACAAACAACAAAAAGCAACATGAATCTCCGACAGCTGCGCATTGCAACAAGTTCTCCTGTGCGCGTGCTTGCATGTGTGTGTGTGTTTTGTGAGTTTGCATGTGTTTTGCTTGTGATGTGTGTTGTACCTTTGTGCTTGGGCGTGTGTCTTTGTGTGTGTGTGTGTGCGCGTCTGTTTGTGTAATGTTGTTTGTCATGCTTTTGGTTTTGCGTGTGCATGTGTGTGTGTGTGTGGGTGTGGGTGTGTGTGTGTGTGTGACTGTAAGTCTGTATGTGTGTTTGTGTGTGCGTGTGTGTGGTTGTGTTTGTGTGTGTGTGTCTGTGCGTGTGCTGATTGCTTGTGCTGTGTGCGTTGGTGTCGGTGTGTCTGTCTGTCTTTACATCTGCACGTCTGTGTGCGCAAGGAACACAGACATAGACCTGGAATGACCTGGACACTTGCCTTCTCTGGGAGGTACAACTGAGTGCAGAAAGGAACCCCTGCTGACAACAGCCACAATTTAGCCACGTTGGCCCCCCGGCTCAAAGGCTAGGCCAGCTCCTCAAACATATATCAATCCTCAAAATATCAATAATCCAAGTCAGACATATGCCAGTCATCCAATAGAAGTCGGCGCAATGAGCCGGAGGCTCTAAAGTTGGCCATGTTGGCATTCCGACTCATCCGCGGAAACAGCTTCAGCGCCTGCCTCGCAGTCTGCCAGGCGCTTGTGCATGCTGTTGATCTTGTCATGAGCTGTGGCCAGCTCCTTGGCATGCTTGTCTGCTGAGTCGCCCATCATCTTCTCGATGTACTCCAACCGCTCAGCCATGGTAGAGTGATGGGCATCTCGTGCTTTCGTCTCTGTGGACATTCGCGAGTGGGCCGATTTCAGAGCTTCAACTTCTCTTGCATGCTGATCAGCTGACTGGCCCACGCTCTTTTCCAGGAAATCTAACCTCTCAGCGAGGGAGGCGTGGTGCGAACTCAAAGCCGCGCGTTGCTCCTGAATGGAAGTATGATGCGACCGATGAAGCTCGGACACGGTGGAACCGTGCTTCTCACACTCGGAAACCCGGTTGTGCATGTGCTCGAGCTTGTTCTGGGTCGCTTTGATCTCCCGGGCATGCTGCTCAAAGGAGTCGCCCACCTTGCTCTCAAGGTAGTCCAATCTTTCAGCAATTGTGGCATGCTTCTCGTCGCGGCCTTTTTGCTCCTTGCTCAGTCTTTGATGAGCCAGCTTGGTTGCCTCTATCTCCCGCCAGTGCTTGTCATGCGTTTCACCCATCATCCTCTCTAGCCGTTCCAGCCTTTCTTCCATGGTAGAGACGTGCTTCTGTCGAGCTTCCTTCTCACCCTGCAGCAGAGCCCGCATCGTTTCCTCAGCATAGCTAGATCTGCTCAGCGACATTCCAACATTCCAACACTGATCAGCATGCTTAGCAACAGAATTGGCACAAAATAATGCAATAAGAAATCACGGCATTGCGGCGCATGAATCCGAATCAAAGCGTGGGGAAGAACACTGTGTGCACCAAGAGGGGCCTGTACTTCAATGCAGTCTTTCAGCAACGTGCCTTTTCATGCGACGAACTTGGCAGCACTCGTCTAGTATCTCATGTGGGTGATGACTATCAGGTATGCTAAGAAGCTTTCGGTGCGTTGGGTCACAAATTTGGCAACACTCCTTTTGTGACGAAGCTTTTGGCGACAAATCGTTTGGCTAGATTCTTGACTGAGAGTTTGCCCATAAGTTGCGGAAAGTGGACCGCTGACGCATGTTCAGGCTTGTATGTTGCAAGCTCCCAGATTTGTGATAGTCTGCGCATACCTTCGCTGACTAGTCACTGTATCCTTGGAGTGCCTCGCCAGTTCAAGTTCAAGCGCGCTGTCAGAGTGCCGTTAAATAACAAACTACGTGTTTCCATTTATGGGTCCCGGTCGTCTCATCATGATGGGTACAAAGAGGGATCTTCCGTCTCACAGAACCGTCACTGCTGCCGTGAATCTTCGTGCAAATTGCTGGAGACTCGGTGATGAACTTGATCGATCTTGCTGTGAGCTGCCTTCAGCTCTTGCTCATGTTTGTCAGCGGAATCCCCGAGAGTCTTTTCGATGTAGTCCAAGCGCTCTGACACTGTGGCATGATGCGCGTCGCGCGCCTTCGTTTCGGTAGACATCCTGACATCAGGATGGGATAGATCATTGCAACCACTGGTTGAACCGATGGTTGACAAGTGGTTGAAGTTTGAACCACGTACGGCGAAATGTCCTTGGATGTCCTTGGGTTCTCTCCACGAAGGTTGAACTATGCTGTGCGCAAAGTTCAAACCCAAACGCTCCCCACTCACAATGCAATTAAGTATACCAAAGCGACAGTGCTGTGAGATTCCAAGGGTGGTAAAACCTTGCTTGCTGAACTCAGGCCAAAGACTAGTTCAATCCAAAGCATACGAAGCTGTGATAAGCTTCCAAAGCCCTTTCCGGGCCGTTGAAAAGCCGCGCCTGGAGTGCGACGCTTTGAGGGCCTCAAGCTCCCTGCCGTGTTTATCCGCGGACTCCCCCATGAGTCGCTCCAAATACACGAGGCGCTCATTCACCGAGGCGTGGAGTGTTTGGAGCTTCTCCTGGTGGTCCTCAAAAACCGCCCTTGGGGAGGAGCGACAAAAAGTCCAACCAATTCTGGCAAATTGTATTTGACTAGATATCTACGTCTTTATGGTTCAATGCCCCCACGGTTTCACGTCTCTCGAAGATAAAGCGGGCCAATAATCCTTTGAGTGTGCAGCCATTGCAGTCCTGGGCTACAGAGTGGTGGGACTTGTGGAGGTCGGCCAAGGTGGATCCAGCTTTCTCGCAGTTGGAGACCCTAGCATGCATATGCTCCAGCTTGTCATGCGCTGCTTTGATCTGCTTGGCGTGGTTGTTGGCCGAGTCGCCAAAGCTCCTGACTCAGTGATGGCTACAAACAGAAAGGAAGGGGTTGAAAGAGGAATTCTGCAGCTTCTATGGTGCTTTGCAGGTCAGTGCGGTCCATTTTGGACCGCGGTGCTCATTGAATTTCCCATTTGAAGGGTCACAAAAGGGGGCCAAAAAAGGCATCAGTTTGGACGCTTGGACCACCCCTCATGGGGTTGGTGGTTGATTGGCACAGTGGCGGTTCAGTCAGAATACGTGCTTATTCCTGTCGGCGGAGAGCCCACAAGGCAGCTGTAGAAGGCAAGGGAATCATGGTACGGTATGAAACAAACGATTGTCTGTCTCATATGTGTGTGTGTGCGATGATAGTTGCAACACTTTTTTCGTTAGAAACATCTCTGACATGAGGTGACAGGTCATCACTAGCCTTAAATGGTCTTTCTCACAAAATGCGGAGCACATTTGCAGCTTATGAAGTTGTCAGATTCTAGGAATACAGCCGTGCGTGAAGGGCTGCAGGAGGCAGGCATCATCGAATTTGTTCATCATTCCCACGCAGGCATCACCACAGGAAGCGAGAACCTCAAAGGCCAAAATTGCAGGCTAAGCGACGTGCTTGTTGTGTGGCCAAAGGCAGCATTCTGCTGTTGTGGTTGCTTAACACAGGCGCAAGGCAATCTCAAACTGCGAGTTCCGGATTTCACTACTGCTTTTTTCTGCCTGCCGGCTCTACTTGTAATGTTGCTTGTTTTGCTGTTAATATGATTGCCTCAACCATTGTGTGCATACTGGTCATAGCGTTTCTTGCGAGTTACTTTCGAGATATTATACGTGCTGCCTTCTTGATAATGCTGGAAGCCGGTAACCACCTGTATTTCAAGCTCAGCGCAAGACAATGAACGCCGAACACGCATGCGTTCTCCTCTCCAAAAACTCCACTCGCTCTGCCAACGTCGCATGGTGCGCATCTTGAGTTGACTTCTCCGCCGCAAGGCTGGCATGCGACTTCTTCAAGTTGTCCAGGGTGGGTCCTGCCAGCGATTGCTGCACACCGCACCATGATCCGAGAATGAGCCATCTGATTGGTGGGAATGCAGAACGTTGGCTATTGGCGCCTGATGCTTCACACACTGCGAGTCGGGAGTGCATCTGCGCAATCTTATCGTGAGCTGCAGCGAGCTCCTGGCAGCGCATGGAAAGACTCGCCCATGGCTAACCTTTGCCATTCAGGGCGTGCGATGCTTATCTGTTGCTGTGCGAGGAAAAGAACCGTTGCCATGCCAGAGCTTCGGAACGAGCACGTTCCAACATGTTGGCTGCAGTTCTTCATTGGGTGAGGTCTTGCAATCACTGATCAAACCCAAGTCCGCCTGCCACTTTGACTTTGACTTCAGAAATTCACCGTCAAGCAGGTGATCACACATTGTTGGGTACAGTGCAAGGTCGTGCCTTCTACATACGAATCACTTTGACTGTTGCTCAAAACCTGGGCTTCGGAGTCTGCCAATGCCTCACATGCCCCCGTCCCTACCTCCATTTGAGATTGCTTGGAAAGCCTCGGCGAGCTAACGATAGCGCGAAAGTCGCGTACGACTCTCGCACCATGGAAGGAACTTGAGACAAGGGAAGTCACGTCATTGTCCAGCGGACCCTGCTTGCGCGGTAAGCCTCACAATGTCGTGCTTTCGAACATGCAAACCGAGCGCCAAGGTCCTTGGCATGCTTGTCCGCGGAGTCACCAATCAAACGCTCCAAGTATCCAAGTCGTTCCCCAACACTGGAGTGATGGGCGTCCTGACAGAAAGTGTACTTAAAGTGGACACGCTAAGCTTGCTCAAAGAATGCATGCACCCTCAATACAGCCCTTCATCGTCCTTAGCTTTCGACTCAGTTTGCAGGCGACTGTGGGCCGCTTTGAGGCCTTCAAGCTCTCTTGCGTGCTTGTCTGAAGAGTCGCCGAGAGCACTTTCCAGATAATCCACGCGCTCCTTACACTGCCGGCGCTGGAAATGCCACATCTTGGCTTGCCAACAGTTGAGAACCGAGCTCGCAAAGTGGCGTGATGCGCGTGAAGGGCTGCATTCTGGTCTGCAAGCGTCACCTGCGCATCAGGCAAGCCGCCTTGCCATGGCCTGCAATGATTGCACGTGGCGATCGCAAGAAGGACGCTGTGCCTAACACCTGTTTGCGCCCATTGCAAACTGCTTTAAACACTCAAACTAACCTTCCAGCTTCCACATGCCGTGCATTCATTCCCCGCAGTGCCTCCTTGGCGCGCTGCTGCTCCGTCAGTGTCCCGTGAGATTTCTCGAAAGCAGCCAGCCGGCCGTGCAAATGCTCCAGCTTGGAGTGCGCCGCTTGCAGCTCCTGGCCTCAGAGCATTGACATCAAGCCACTACCCCAAGAGGCACCGGGCAAAATGGATGTATGTGTGTATACATATATATATATATAGACACGTACATATATGGCAATGATGCATATTCCTTGCTTCCTGAAAACACCATCTTCGAGAGCGAAAAAACATCGCATGCGAATCTTTCGCTGTTTGCAGCGTGCGCTCTGGAGCCATTGTTGCCGCTGCAATTACGCTCGCAAACGGTAACCACGCGTTCACTTGCACTGGCAGGCTTGCAGCTCCATTAAATAGAAGCTGTCACTGTCATTCGCCCTTTCCGCTTGTGCTTGCTGAAAATTCGCGGAACCCTTGCAACTGCAACAAGTTCCATGGGCGTTCGCAAGATCGCGGATCTTTTTCGAAACTTGTTCCAAAATAGCCAAGCCGACGTTCTGGTTTTCACGATTCGCACAGACAGAGAATCAAGGATGCAAGTAAGTGTGCTGCACGTCTCCCTTTCGACGAGGGAGTGAAGTCTACGAATATGTAAGCGGACAAGCATGCCTCCAAGGAGCTTTCGGATTTAGCTACGTCTTTTGCGGACAAAGAAATATCTATTGCAGACCCCTTCGTGGATCTTTTGAAGGCACAAAAGCTTGCATCGCCATGGTCCTACACAATACAAATCCTGACAAGGAACTTTTGCTCAACTCCCGTATGTATATATATATATATATATGTGTAATAATGATAATAATGGTGATAATGATAATAATAATAATGAAATAATAGTACTAAATATAATAATATTAATAATAATAATAAAAATAATAATAATAATAATAATAATAATAATAATAATAATAATAACAACAACAATACTAATAATAGTAGTACTAGTAATAATCAGAATAATAATAATAATAAAGTGTGTGTGTGTGTGAGCACTACATAGACGTCATACAAGAGCTCTTTGCCCCACTCATTTGAGGGAGTGGCTCCGTGTAACGGAAAACTTTAAAGCACGTGAACGACAAGGGAGTGACGGCTGTATGAGCAGCATGGCCAGTATGGGCAGTATGGGTAGAAGCTAGAACCCAATGTGTCAACCGGAACGCCCTTCACCCCTGCCATTCCAAGGCTACTCCGCCGGGCTGAAGGCAAGTAGACGCGAGAGACGCTGCACCGAGTTCTGGAGCCTTTTGTAGGCTGCGGCTTCTGGTGAGTCGGTGAGGAACTGGCTGTTCGCAGCATCGGTGCGGATTCCATGCTTGGCATCGTCCAAAGAGTTAGCTTTGACAGGGTCGTGCAGCAGTGGTGTGTTGTCTTTGCGAGGAGTCCCAGCCTAACTGGTATCCAAATACAATGCCACGTTGAATAGATGTTTCAAGTTCTTGCCTTGTGCAGTTTATTGTGCACAGATTCCCAACTGTAGCGTTGCAAGGATTGATGAAGAGCGTTTGCAAAAACAATCACTGACCTTTATGCCACGGCAAGTGCACACCAGCACCCACAATCGCAATTGATCATGAAACAACGGAACTTAGGCACAGACCGTGCTTACCGGCAGAATCCCCCAGCATTTTCTCGATGTAGTCCAGCCGCTCTGCCATCGAGGCATGGTGCGCGTCTCGCTTTGCCTGGCACGATTCATCAGCACCGGTACCAACTCACGGACGCGCCTTTTCACTAGCGAGTACAGCGTGGTTCTGCTTCAGGCTTTCAAGGGTGGTCCCCATGGCCTGCCACAGGTTGATATCCTCGCTAGGAAGCCCCATTGACTGGGACAAAGCTGTTCGAATATTGATCTATCTATACAAATTGACAGCAGGCAGCTGTATGCCCGGGCTTCCCAAGACTTTGGTCACAACATGTCATAACACATATACCCATCTTGACTCTCCACGTCTCACAATGAACACACAGGCATTTCATGGGCACATGAATGGCAATACCATTCACAGCTGGCTCCCTAACTTGTCCAGAGTGCTTGGCAGCAGCTGCCTCTACAGCTGAAAGCCGTCCACGAAGGTGTTCGAGCTTGGCATGTGCCTGTGAGTCTAATGACCATTGAAACTAGAAGAACCAAAGCTCCTGCCTGGCCAATCTCACTGGAGTGATGGTCAGCAGAATCACCCATCAGCTTCTCCAAATAGTCCACCCGCTCTGCAAGTGTGCTATGATGTTGCAAGGAACCTTCAGCCAGAGTCATCAGATACAAAGCTTGATTGCTAACATGCTCGAGGCAAGCACTCTGCTGATTTCCCAGTTTCTGGTGAGCATGATCCACTTGGCTCTTCACCTTGGTTCGCTAGTTTGGTGAGCACCATCTGGAACAGTAGTAGGGTGACGAGTGTACCTTACATGTACCTATTCTACATATAAACCTTTTACCCCTCTGCCGACGGTCGGAAACGCGTTAATGTGTTGACGGTTGCTTGTGTCAGTATTCAAGGAGACTCTGACTGAGCCAACATTGGATAAAGCTATCACTTCAAAACTAGTGTTCAAACGGAAATATGCGCATCCACGACGCGCTTCTTGGGAGTGCAATCACGAGATCCGAATGAACAAGCAACGAGCGTCCAAGTCTCTACAGCATGTTAACCAGTCTTGTTGCCCTTGAAGCCTTGCTTCTCTCAATCTCTCCTTCTTTGCTTCTTTGCGTCCCATCCCTTCAAGCTTCGGGCATGCTGCAACTCCTGGGCATGCGATGCCTGAGGCCAGGCTAAGCAGCTAAGCTGATTCGGGGGTGAAAGCAACGGATGGAATGTTGAAAAACCTTACGCACACAAAGCTCTCAGGGCAGCTCGAAGGTCCCACACTGCTGCTCCAGATTTGCCAAGCGTTCCTTCGAAGAAACCAGTGACATTGGCAAGCGCTTGTCCCGATTGAAGAAACTCAAGAGGATTGGCCCATTTGAAGGCCGCTCAACTCTGACGAGGGCTGTCTTCTTGGACCTGTGGATTCCGGTGCAAATCGGTCAGGTGTCCTGGATGCTTCCATGAAACTGTTCCATCCTGAGCAGCCAGTCCCAAGCGGACTTACTCGAGACATTTGACACTGGCCTTGAAGCCATTTGCTCTTGGAAGCTTCCATGAAGTCGTTCCATGTTGGAATGCGCAGCTTGGAGACCCTGCCACCATCCCGTCTCCCTCTCATGCATCGTTTATCAACGCATGCCTGGCTGTGTTTGTCCGCAGACTCTCCAAGCAACTTCTCCAGGAAATCAACTCGCTCCTGCAAGGAGTGGTGACCGGCCTTATGCAGGCGTGTGAAGGCAGCACAGAATTCACCCGCAAGGCAAACCCTGACCTGTACAAGGCTGAGGGCTGGGCCTGTGATTCACAAGCTATCAGCCTGGTATGCCTTGTGCTGATCTTGAAGGACCGACCAAAGGGACAAAGCAACATGGAGACATGAGAACAAATGAAAAAGTACACTTCAGTTCCAAGTGCCGGGCATGTTTTCGAGCCGCGCATGCGAGGACTGGATTTCCCTGGAGTGCTTGTCGAAGGAATCGCCCACCTGCGAATTCCAATCCCCCGCGCTCGCGGCACGGATCTTGAAGTCTTGGGCTCGGGCCAGCTGCTCAATGTAGTTAAGCCGCTCGGCCACAGAGGCGTGATGAGCCTGCGAGATGCCCATGTCTGCAATTAAAACCAGAGACAGTGAACATTTCCTGACCATGTTCCCTTCGTCCTTACAACGAATTCCATCAGGGCTTCTTGGACAAATCTCACCATGTGCAACGAGCTGCACATCTTGTTCAACAGGAGGCGCGACTATCCAGCAGCGGGGGACGCTAAGCATGTGTGCAAACTGTTTCACATGTCTTGCTATGCAGATCAAAATGCAAGCATAATATTGGCCGCTATTTGAAGGATCAATGGCAAAGTATGCTTGCAAGAACGGTATATGATACGGTATATGTACAAGTTCAATCCTGCCTCGCGTGACTGAGCCTCACCAGCTAGCCTTGCCTGCGCTGACTTGGCCTTGGTGAAAAGCCTTGCCACAACAAATGAATGTGTTGAGTTGGAAAGCAAATTCTGTGATTCCTGAGACTCACGTCCGTTCTGAGCTTCACGCGGCCTCAATCTCCTGGGATTGCCTATCCACTGCCTCGCCCAGCAACCGCTCCATGTAGTCCAGCCCTCAGCTTCCGTCCGCTTCCGGGCCAAAACGTCGAGTCGAGGCGAGTCGAGGCGAGTCGAGGCTTCGGCTCTTCTGCATGGAGGCAGAGCTCTGCTCCTGTGCCACCAGCTTGGCCTGCCAACCGGTCGCTTCATAGCTATCAAGGTTGCGCTGACGTGTTCAGCTTGCTTTGTATCTTCACACCCTCTCAGAAAGCCACCTCGGAAACTCTGTGCCAGAAGCGATTTGGAATGCCATGGTCCCCGCCTTCTGCTCTTTGACATCTGTCTGCAACGGCAAGATGTTGGATGGAAGACCAGAGCCCATGTGATCTTTCAGAGCTGAAACCTCTCACTCCACATGCTCACACCAAGCGCAGTGAAAGTTGTCCACAACCGGCCTCCCCCTGCAAGATGGCAAGATCGCGGACAAAGATTGCCGTCTGCTCTCGAATCAGTCGCAGTTGCGACTGATGCAGTTCCATTTCCTGCAGGATTTCACAACACCTTTCTTGTAATGGACTCACCACCCATCGCCTTCTGGTCCAAAGTCTCGATTTCCTTCTCCCAATCCTCCTGACGCCGTGTCACTTCGTCCACCGCGGTCCTGCCTGGTGCACTGCTGGAATTGCAGTGCAGCAGCCCAAGCAAATGACATGCCCAATGCAAATCTGATCAAATCTGCGTGCCTCCCATTGAGCGAGAAGGACTTTCGCCAAAGGCCTTAGCTGCGACATCTTGAAGCGCATAGGTGTCATGCAATTGTGAGTGATCAGTTGAGCCGCACTTCGTATAGACGGTGAGGGCATCATGGCTTGTCAAATCTTTGTACAAGTCAGAGTCTTGAGCATTACACTGCCAAATGGCGTGTGCAATTTCAGAGAAGGGAGTGACCAAGCACTGCAAAGTGGCCAACGACTGCATGGCATAAACAGCGTGGTGCGCAATTTTTGACACCGCTAACTGAGAACGGTCCCGCTGTCCTTTGCTGGGATCATTCACTGCTGCTCTCCTGTGCAAAGGGACGATCGTCAGAAACTGCAACATGGTGCCGTTGACCAGCGATAACATCCACAGGCCCAATGTCTGAAATCACAGTCAAACATGTGCACGGCTGCAAATCGGGAAAGGATCTGGTTCAATGGACCGCTTTTCTTGAGTGTGGCTGGTAATCAGAGAAAATGTGCATCTGCTTGAGATACTCGATTTGATTCAAACTGTCAAAACCAAATGATTTGCAAATCTCGCTGCTCAAATGCCAAAGGTTCACTTAGTGTCTTGGATCCCGATATTCAGCTGCTTCAACCGCATTCCAGCCCGGTCCATCAGTCTCTTTCGGTGCATGGCACGTGGCATATGAGGCGTATGGCATAAAAGTGCAGTCATTGCAGTCCTCAGAAGGTTCAGCAGTCCATCTCTCGGGTTCATCTGGCTCATCTCCGCTGCCCATTTCGGCAGCTTCATCTCCGCTGTCCATTTCGGCAGCTTCGTCTGAACTGGACCCGGAGCTGTCGCCTGGCGCAAATTTCGTGAAGGCATCAAACCGCATCAAATCGTATCAAATCTGCTCGTCGTAGCTAAGGCACTGGGGCTTTGTCCAGTGCTCGGTGAGGCTTCGCCAATACCAGCCTGGAGTTGCGCAGCAACCTGAGTCAATCGCACATTGTGAGTTGCTTGCCATCGGTGCCCATTGCAACATCCACCGGGCCAAGCCTTCTCTCGAAGCTTTGAAGCTAATCGGGCAGCCTTGGCCTCAGCCTCCACGGCCTGGCAATCTGGCAGCGCGGTGCCCGGCGTGCAAAAACTGCGCGAGGACTCAAATCGTGCGGTGTCTGCCTCGTCGGCATCAGCAGGCTTCTTCCGACGCACCGTGACTTTTGTGGTTTTCACCTGGCGAAAAAGAGGCTGAAACCCCTGTGCAAATGGTCTTTTCCACATGAACGGAAGTACCCGTTTATACTTCTATTTGCGCTTTCTCTGCACCACAGCTTCCCTCAGCTGTTTGGCTTCGGGTGAGTTTGTGAGCTGCCACCGGCCCTCAGTCATGACCTTCAAATCCCGTTGCCATTCCATTTTGTGAGGGCGTCCCTCACCATGACGCGGCCGCGCGCCCGCTTGACGAAGCTCTTGGCTCCTTCCTCCATCAGGGCTGTCTAAGCACCGCCACATCAACCATGATCTTCCGATCGGCAGTGAGGCACTCACTGCTCAGCACGTCGTAGCCTGATACTGCTTCCAGCCACTCGCGTAGAGTTTCTGTGAGTTTCTGCTTTCATTTTGGCGCGATCCCGGACCTTGACGGACCCCTCTTCACCGTACAGTAGGCCGCCACTGTCCCGCAAATCTGCGTGGAGCCCGGAGTGTCCCCTCGGTTTGAGCGCCGGCTTCGGCCTGGCTTGCGCAGTCTCTGCGAATCCAGGCCTCCACCGCCGCAACGACGGCAGATCTGCTGACACTCTCCTCCCGGTTAACCGTTGGAACCACTGGCGTTGAGCCGGCTCCCGGCCGCCAAGGCAGAAGCGGTCGCCCACCTTTTCCCAGGTTTCCACAAGGGCATTGACCACCTTCACCACGATGGAACAACGCCGATTCCTGCCGCTTCGTTTGGTCCGGTATGACATCATGAAGAACCCCAAACATAGGTCGACGCCCCTCAAGCTCCGCTTTGCCATCGGTGACAAACACATTCGGTGGGCCGAACGCATCACACCATTTGACCAGGGCAAGCCAGTTCAAGATGCTTTGTGGCGCGTTGATCAACCTCAGAGGTGGCTACTTGGAGGCGATGGTGGAGCTTTATCTTCACATCACACAAGATTCTCAGCTGCTGTCGGGCGAGGTGAGCGCGGCGGGTACTCAAGGCGGCGATCGGAGGGGGCTTCGCGGTGAAGGAGCACGTTTCGCATTTCAGGCCAGCGGCTCCTACCGCCGATCTTCAGGGCGCAGAATGAGCCGTTTGTTGTGCACGTTGGACCGCGGCGTGGAGAAGATCTTCAAGGCACTGCGGTGGGGTACCTTGGGAGAGCCCTTGGAGAGCTTTCTCTCACGCGTGGCCATAGCTACCACTTGCAGCTGGAGGGCCTGGGCAACTCCTTGTCGACGGGGGGCGCTTGTATGTGCGCTTGGGACCGAGTCGAGACAAGGCCATGGTGCGAGAGCTGCAGATGTAGACGGTCGCGGCAGAGGCCGCAGAGAAATGCTGCAGCCAAAAGCGAAGCGCAGCTGACCCAGTCGCGGCCCTAGCATTGGGCTACGAACGTTGTTGCAAGGCCGCTTTGGCGGAGGACAATGAATCCGCCGTGCAATCTAGAGGGGGCGGGCGGTCGTCTTTGGACGAGCAGTATAAGGCCAAGCAGCGGATTGCGGAGGTGAAGAAAATGCGAAGCTACTACAAGAAGGAGAGGCGATGTGTACCTGGATGATCAGGATCGCAGCTCAGCTCGAGTGTTTATGGAGGAGGAACAAGACAAATGGCGGCGAAAGGCATCAGCAGCTCAATGCTCCAATTGTGTTTTCCGCGGCAGCTGTGGAAGGCGCAGGAGGCCCTGAAGCAGCAACCGCAGAAGTTGGGAGCAGATGTGGAGCGGTGCGATTTTTTCTCCAAGGCTGACGTCAGCCGTCGACCGCCAGTGAGTGACCAAAGGCCGGCTAGTGAGGCCGGAAGAATGTGCGTTGCACCGTGGTTCACGACATCGATGTTCTCTGCGGGTCATAGCCCTTCCGACGGAGACTGAGAGCCGTGGCATCCAACTCCATAAGGTTCCGGGTGAGCCTCCTCCTTCACGTAGGGCACCCAGCTCGAAGGTCTCGTAGGTGATCATCACGCCCACCTCAGCCACGCCACGCCCCGTCCTTCACCGACTCAAGCTCGGTCACCTGGCCCCCGTGTGGTACCCAAGCTCAGCCACCTGGTTGACGCTCCACTGCCACTGAAAATGCGGCACAGCACTGCCGAGTTTCCCTTTGGGGGTGATCTAAGTGTGAGCGTGACCAACGTGTTCTTGCTTTGGTGACTGCTCATCCATGTTGGTTGAACATGTCGGAATGTCCGGTCTGTTTGCCTGTGCCAGAGCCCTACATGGATACCAACATTAAGAGACCAGTGGATGACCAGGTCTTCGAATTTGAACGCAAGCTTTTCGTCTCCTTTGTCCTTTAGTCTCTCGTAACAGTCTCTTCATCGAAACCAGCCCTCGCCTCCACAACTTCCTCCAGCTCTTCTTGATTGCCTTCGGCATCACAAACCACTTTACTCCTTCGCTTCTCCTCCACGTGTACATCTTGCTTCACCTCCTCTTTTTGTCCTTTCTCCTTTTTCTGCTTCTTGCTCTTCTTGTCCTTCTTGCTCTTTTTTTCCTTCTTCTCGCCAGTCACGCCCTTCAACTTGTTCTTCTCCTTCTTCTTCTCCTTCTTTTTCTGCTTCTTCTTTTTCTTTTTCTTTTCTGCTTTTTTGTTTGCCTTGTAGGCAGACACCACCTGGCCGAAAGCTTGGCCCAACTGGTCAAGCAACATGCAAGTCTCCCAACTGCGCCTTCTGAACAAAGGCAGCGTCCATGCGCAGGTAGTCTTGAGGCCGCATCTTCCAAGGTATCCCGCCCTTGCAAGAATCACTTGTTTTGCCTTGTCTGCGACACCTGCTTGTCAAAACCAGCGAACCCCCCAGAGAGTTTGTCAGGCTCTCCTTGCTCAGGCCCTTCAGCTCCGACAGGAAAACATCCGGTCGCCAGGCGGGGTCCTGGGAGCATTTCACCCGCAAGCTGAGCGACGGCGGGTTCTCATAGGTAGACAATCAAGGGTCAGTTAGAAGCATGAATGCAAAAGTCCCATCCTTTCCGAATTATCAAGCCAATACAGATTGGGCAAGTGCTACCAATGCAATGTCCGACGAAACAGGTAAAGCTCTGCTCAACTGATCTCCTTCCCGTTTGCAAGTCGTTCGAGAAGCACATCCTGAAAGCAAATACCATCAACTGCAGTGAGGCATACGGGGCATACGTTTGGCATACATACCTATTCTATCTGGTGTAAGCTCTTGTATCTGTACAGCCACTTGCCGGGCTTTGCTCAATTGTGTCCAAATGCCTCCTTGCTTGCAGCATTGGCCTCTCTTTCCTCAGCCACGGACGTATGTCATATGTGGTGTGAATATGCCTCCTATAGCATTTGAATTGCGGGTCTTTCTTGCATTGATTGCTTTCTTTGAAGGAGGTGCTTGCCATGCTCTGCATGCTGAGGCAGCCACATTCTCGAATTGGTTCAGAAGGTTGCTCGTCACCTGCACTGCCACCAAATACGACACACTGGGACCTCACCTCAGACTTGGCCTCGGCCCCCTCGGGCACTTTGGTGACTTGCCGCACCTTGGTGTCGCACTAAGTGTTCCAGGATTCCACTGCCAGCTGGTTCTCCCAAACTCAGCTTCTGACGACATCGCCCTTTCGACTTTTCAACGATATGGTACATCGGCTTCCTTTGTCCTAGCGACTTGAGCGGAGTCACAAGACTTTCCAAAGCCCGTCTCCTGGATCTCCCGCTCTTTCCAAAGGTCAACTTTCTCGAATGCCTCACACGGTGAATCTGAAAGCAAAGAATGAGAAGTTGAACTAGAACAGCTAACATGCACAATCACATGGTTTGGCGAAACATGCAATGTTTGCCCAGAGAAGGGACCAAGCGGACCAAGCCTTGTTGCGGGACAGGGCTTGACCCAAGAACGATTCAAGCGCCATAACACGCGTGGCCACAAGGCCAGGAAGGCAAATCAGTCCATTGCCCGAATTAAATGCAAATCAATTGTGCAGCTTGAGCTCAAAAACCGCTGAAGGTACAGATTTGCACGTCGGAGCATCGGAGCGGCGTCTTTAATGTGTTTCGCTTGCAATCTCGAAATTCCATGTTGCAGCCGCCTGCGGCTAGCGCCCAGTAAGCCGCAAGCCACTTTGGGCTTGAAATGGGCCAATCTTGCGCCAAAGTCAAGCTTGGGTGTTCTGATTGGACTCCACGAGGCTTTGCCACCTCTGCGATTGCCGCATTTGGTAGCCTTGCTGCCCTTTCATGGTCCACAGAGCATGGCCCTGAAAGGTCCCACGTGCAGCGGCGACGACGCAGACCATTCACGAGAATGTGTTGAGCAAGATGCCCTGCTAATCCAGCTCTGCGAGGGCGCTCCCCGGCACTCCGGACGCAACTGATTTCGCAGGCGCATCCTCGTCAATAGTCACAAGGGCCACGGGGTGTAGTGATAGGTGCGCCAGCGCCGGGAGTAGTGGGTAAGCCGCCTCTTTGCAGCCAGTCGGTCGCGCATCTTCGCGAAGAGGCGGCGCTGCATTGGCAAACGCCTCTCGTTTTCACAGTGCGTGAGTTCGGAGCATTCCTTTTTGTGGATGCTCGTGCCATAGGGTTCGAGAATCGCCTGAATGTCATGTGGGATGCACCAGCAATGCTTCACTCGCCATGGGGCAGGATCCACCGCAAACGGGCGGCCTTCCTGATCAGTGCCGCACTCCCTCCGCAAATGGGACAGTGTAAACGTAGCCATCAAACACCTCCGGGCTGTAGGTGATCTCTCCTTTGCACTTGCAGATCTAGCACCAATGTGTTCCTTAGCACACGGCGATCAGCTCGTCTGCTCGGTGAGGACCGGCGTCTGGAGGGGCATGGCCAGCCTAGCCCGGCAGGTGCTGCCGGAGTCGTCCGTGCTGACGCCTGCGGCCAGCACCCGACAGCTCTGCCAGCTCGCAGCCTCCCAAGCCTGGGCTCTGTGACCAGAACCGAGGAGCCGAGGAGCCGTGGAGCCAAGGAGCCGAGGAGCCGAGGAGCCGGATGCCAAGATGGTCAAACAGAAGCAGGCCGCACACACCGGCAGCCCAATGGGACTGCACATGTGAAACATGTGAAACCGGCTCACTGAGTAGTGACTCAGTCTGAGCAAAAATATGGTACCTATCAAAGCCATTGTGTGGATGAGCATCCGCAACTCAAGCAATGAAAGGTTAGGTTGTCATGGGTCATCACTCGACATGTGGCTGACCTGCACTTTTTTTAGGAAACGCTCCGGCGAATACAGGAGCTACTTGTCACAGCCGTGAAATCATCGCTTTGTTCACACTGGCCGGTGACTTCTGCCCTGCCCTCATGCCCTCTGGGCCATTCGGCCATCTCGACGGCTAAGGACCTCGCAACCTACTGAGGAAATTGTAGCGAACCGCTGCGATCCAGGAGACCCTGCAGGTCTTCATAGTACTCCTCGTTCTCCGGCCACTTAGGGTCAACCTTGGTTCAAGATGTCCCACCTTGAAGCTTCGGGCCAGGAAGACTATGAACCCCACAAGTCTGGGCCCGAAAAATGAGGGAACATGAAACTGAATCTTTCACAATTGTCTGCGCTGCTTCTGGGTTGCCAAGTCACCTGGACCTGGAAGTGCAATTGAACTGGCCTGCCGAGATTGCCGCGGAAAATGGTGCAGCTTGGATTTCGGATTTGAGTCAAAATCGAAACTGGAATTGCAGGTCTACCCCAACCCACGTAAAGAATGAAAACAGCGGCCGTACCTGTTTGTGGCTGGGACTGCCCACTACTAACCTGCCATTTTTTAGGCTTTGATTCTGGCTGTTGGTCTGAGCCTGTCGGCATTTATCGTCTCTGATATATCTCTCTCCGCATCCTCCGTAATCTGCCGTAACCTGCAGTCTCACAACAGCACACCGTGTGCAGCACTTCTTGCTCCGAGTTCCGCTCCAGGCTTGGACAATCTTTCTCTGTCCCTCGCTCATCACAACAACCTGTGGGTAGTGAGCATTGCACACAATCACCACAGCGACTGATCTTTCTCGGGCGTGGACCCTTTGGCCAAGCAAGAGTGTGCCGTCCGGCTCTTGCTGCCACACCGCATTGACCACCTCTGCACAGACAAGTTGTACACGCTGACAAATAGGAGATCTCTCAGCACGGTACTGTCAAGTGGTAGGGCACTTCCTCACGAAGGACACTGAACCTGGCAAGACCCCTCATTGTTGGGCGCACACATGTCGGTCAAACAAGGTGTGTGTTTCAAGCAAGCAAATGCATGTTGGCATGTGTGCAAGTGTGTGGCATATGTACATGTCACAATGTGTGTTTTCAGCATGTGAGCCAGTCAGAGTACCCCGGTTCCCACACAGAACTGAGTCCCTTGATTTATGCATATTTTTTGGTGAGTCCTCTCAAGTCCTCCACAAATGGACCGAAGACTTGTTGGCTGCGATGGGTAAAGCGCATCTGCAAACGGTGGCAGCTGTGCAGCTTCTCTCGAGTGATTTCAGATGCCGCCACGCGAGCAGGCACATCGCTGATGTTGTCCAGAGGGTAGATGGGACTGACAAAGCCCATTTCAGAGAGTCTCTGCGAAATGTGAAGCTACCCAATCGGCCTTTGTTTGGGAAGATTCTCACAAAGCCACCTGATCAGCCATCTTCCATCTCTATCTCTCTCTCACACACTAGCCAAAGCAAAGTGTCTGAACTTGCAGAGCAACGCCTCTTGATTGGTGCCAGAGAGGCAGGATCCTTCAGAACCGATGTAGCCCACATGTTGTCCAGAACTTCCTCCGGCAAAAAAGTCGAAGATGCTCGAAGGATCTTGTGCAGCACCCTTGGCTGGCCTCCCCATCCTGGCGAGTCCCCAAGTCCTCTGATAGCCGCTCCTGTCTCCGTGCCAAGGCTGGCATTCGCAATGATTCGCAATGATTCGCACCAGTGTTTTGTGGCAAACTCGGCGCATGCGATCACTCTTGCGAGAGTAGCACACAGTGCACACGCCGCACCCGCATTTGCAGCGTGAACTCTTCGGTGTCGATGTCCCTCTCTTCTAAGAGGTCCATTTTGTTGAGAACAACACTGACCTCCGACAGCCGCGAGTTGCGCTTGCCGGAATCGACACCGAATCCTGAGCCCAGCCTTCAGCTTCAAGCGCCGAAGCTTTCGAAGAAATGCCAACTCTTCGGCGAGCTCTGGATGGAGCCACCTGAAGCGCATCCATGGCAAACGTGCTGATGCGCACGTGCAACTGATTCCAATCCTTCGTCTCAGGACCGTGCCAAGGATCCGCAACGGGAGCACCAATGGCAACACCATCCAACTCGGGACCTCAGAGTACAATGCCGGATGGCTGGGTGGCTGGATGCAAATCAGATCCCAGCAAGGTGGCATGTAGTCGCCATACATGTAGCATTTGGAGGCATCAAGCACCCAAAAGACCGCGTCGGATGCCTCAGCGTGCCGTTGCGTTGCGCTGTATTCAATGCTCTCAAGACTCGCAAGCATATACGGCTCCAGCCCGCGTCTGCTTCCAAGCTGTTTTGACCATGGCCTGCATGCCCAGCCCCGAGTTTGGATCCGCGAGTACTCTTGCTGGCAAGCATGAGACACTCTGAAAGCTGTCGGTTGGAGCTGTTACTGCAGCTGATTTATCCGATAAGACTCTATGTCACAATACCAGTAGGAGGCATCTGCGAGAGGCTGATGCTTCGATTGGGTTGAAGAATCAAGGCCAAGGAACAGTCAGGGCAGCAGTTTCAGTAAACTACGCCTGCTGCCAGGTCTTCTTCTCAGCAATGCAATGTGGCCCAACAGGGGACCCTCTTTTGGTTGGCTTTTTTAGCGAGAGGCTGATAGTGTCAAACTGATCAGAGCGGCGCCACTGGATGTTCGGGTGTCACTTCCCAACGCATGTCAAGAATGCGGCATGTGCAGCAGCTATGCTATATAGATGATTATGGCCCACTCGATCCCAGCCATGGGTCATATGCATAATACACAGCTCCAATGGCACAATCTAACTTTGTGGGCGTTCCTCGCTTCCACTTGTATGTGCGTATGCCTGTGAGTGTTGCCCGCCTTGTGCAGGCGATTCTGACGAAACAAGCGCTTTCGCTTGTGCCTGTCAATATGCAAAGGTCTTAAAACAAGCTGATGTGCAAGGCTTCCAGATTGCCCCGGCCTGAAACCAAACTCGGAAACCTCCTGACCCATCTCCATGATGCCAGCTGTGTCTGCAAACACAGCCTCAGAACTGCACAAGGCTCAGGCCTTCACAATGCTAGCACGCAAGGTCTGAACCTGAAAGACGAAGCCGTTCTGCCCATACACTTTGAGCCACGCGACTTGAGTCATGTATGGCACGGAAACCCAAGGTGCCCGGCTTGTGTAGTCGGCGGCATGCCAGGTCGAGGAGACAACAAGGCAAGACCTGAGCTACTACTTTGTCGGCTCTCTCATGCAGAATTGTGTCCTATGCTTGAGGAAAGGAAGCCACGAAACATCACCAACAAGTTCTATGAGTCATGTGGATTGGTGAGCAGGTATGCATGGCTGCATGGCGTTTGTCCAGACTGTGCCACTTGGGGACCCAACCCAAGATGCGTTGTCGCGTTGTTTGGGGCTTTGGCGACACAATTGAGACCTGCGGCAGCAAGGCATATAGAGATGGCTTGCAGCAGCTGATGCATGCCAGCCCAAATAAACACAGCAGCCAAAGTGATGATACTCAAGCGTGCCTTGGTACCGACCAGCTCATTGACAAGCGAAGACTTGCCGGAATTGGGCACGCCAAGAACGGCAACTTGCCCACTTCGATCAATCTCCTGAATGCTGATGGCCTGAGGAAGGCGCAAGCGCCACTGTGATAGAGACATTGCAGCTGAACAGCCCTGCCAGCCCGGCCTCAGTGCCATCGCTCTCCTCGCCATCTGCCTCGGAGTGCACCGCTCAGCTTGGCAGCGTCCGATTCCGTACATGACATGTTTGTCAGACATACATGTTGGTCAGACTCAAAGTTGTCGAAGTCTCTGGCCACAGCTTCAGCGTCAGCCCTTGGACGAGAGGCCTCGGAGTCTAGACTCATGGCACCTCACGGCTTCACGTCCCGGAACCCGCCTCCAGATCTCGGAGTTCGCTGATCATGGCGTCCAGCTCTGTTGGAAGATCTTCATCAGCCTCAGCCTCAACTTCCTCCCCTGCAGCGGGTCAGATGATCGCGTTGCACTCTCACGATACGTTGCAATGGCACGCTCGGCCTGAGATATCCTCCACCAGAGACACGTCCCTGCCACGGCCAAAGTGTGCAACGAGCTGCTGTGGCAATCGACGCGCCTGGGAGAGGCCTGAGCTCTCTCCACGCGCGCCCGGAGCCGACGCTGCCGTGACCTCAGTCAGCAAAAGCAAAGCCGCAGTCACCATGAGATGAGACCGCGGCTGGTAAGCCAGCGCCACTGCCACAACGCTTGTGGTCTGAACCCGGCATCCCTCTAGTCTGCGAGTAGATCGGGCACACCTTGGCACCGCGCACCGCCGCAATCGCACAATTTCAATGCAGGGCAAATCATGGAGTCTTCTCTATTGCAACACACATCCAATGAGCAGTTTTGAGAATTTGAGAGGACCTGTTCAAGTCTAATGGGGCTAGTTTGGCTTCTTGCGTGCTCATGGGAACTCCCAGGCCGAGCCTCAGCGGAACCGTGCGCCCAAAGGGCGCAGCTGCGGGTGGACCACTTGCTAGCTCCATGGCCATGGCACTCCAAATGCTTGGAGTGAGCGTTGTGCTTTGCCTTGGGTGCCAAAACCACGCAGGGGAGGTCTGACCCGTACTGGTACAAATCTCCAGAAACGATCTTGCAACTCATAGCTTTACCTATGCCGTGAATAGGGCATGAACTGCTTTAGGATGTGTGCGTGTGTGTTTGAATCTCAGGCGGGCTTGCTTGACTGTTGAGTTGAGAAGCTCTTTTCAAATCCAAAATGAGCTGAGGCAGCTGGTAGTTGAAGCATTTGCCCAAGTCTGCACCATTCAGTGCAGGAGAAGGAAAACGCACGGCTAAACATTTGAGGATCAAATTTGCTTTCCCCGTCTTTTTGGCTCTTGGCGTCTCCTGCCGCGCTTGAAATCTGCGCCGTCGTCCTCCAAGGCCAAGCAAACAACCTTCAAGCCTCTCCCAAACACTACGTCAGTTCAAGCACGAGCAGCGTCCTCCTAAACCAAAAGCAGACCGAGCTTGCTCTTCGCTCATGAAGTAGCCTGCTACAGAAGCCTAGCCTTCAAGAACTTCCTCCTAACCCAGTTCCAAGAGGCCTTGCTCAAACCACCGGCCAACTTGTTGAGCGGCGCTCAGCTCAGGGTCCTCATGGCATTGCCGCATACGCCATACATATTGCCGCGCCCAAATGGATAATACTATGGGTGGCCTTCCGTTTCATGCCAGAAAAATCAGAAAGGCTCTCAATCATCCCTAAATCAACATCGCACTCAAGCACAGCTACACGCTGTTCAAGCCTGAAGCAAGGCATGGCGAGCCAAGGCCGCAACCCAATCGTGGCACGGCACCGCTTCCGTTGCCTGACACATCTAGAATGTGGGCATCGGTTCCATCATGCCTCCGCGCCTCCTCATTCACGGTATTGACTTTGGGGAAGCAACGGCCACTCACAGGACAGACCAGGAAGCAATCATCCGCAGATGGAACCTCGCCGGAACTTCGCAACCGGGCTCTCATGGCTTGTCCACTTTGCGTGGGTGTACTTTCTAAGAAGCACCCTGCTTGCCGAGGCACGCAGCTCGCACAAGGAGTGCTTGGCGCACACTGGTGTAAAACACCGCTGACCTATCCAAGTCTAGAGCCAAGAGCCTCTCGGTCTGCCAGAATTGGCAGAACTTCGATGGCCTCGCACAGGAAGGCGTCGCCCTCGAGGTGCAGCCGGTGGAACCTTTGGGCCAGGCCATCGGGGCCATGCTGCAGATCCCTCTCAGCAAAGGGCCGGCACAGCCGATCACACGTGTGGTTGGCATCAGCTTCGGCAGGAACCTCGGCCAACGTTCCTCAAATGACAGCTCAGTCGAAATGGCCGTCATGATTTTACAGGTTGATAAATCCCATGTACTGTGCAACCCCCTAAACAGGCAGCCACCAGCGACACCAGATCCTGCAGCCGCAAGTCTCGGCTTGAGGTCTGGGCTCTAAGCCCCACCTGCTGCAAGTCCTGCGGCCAACGTGAGTCCATGTCGAGGCAACACCCCAATGCCCGAGAAGGAAACAATGCAAAACTTACACCCGCAGACCTTCACAACGCCACTAGTTTGGAAGCGGGACATCTATCCATGCCGTGGTAGAAGCACTCCTCGCGGCACTGCTGCAGTGCTTCCTGTATTTTCAGATGGCGCGAACCTGTCGACCTAGGGGGAGACAGAGCACTTGGATTGCTGAGCAATGCTTGCCTTCGCACTTGCCAAATCAATAGGCGAATGGCGAATCTGTCGGCTTGGATTTCAAGCCCTGCGCCTTGGGATTTCGCACGCCATGGAATTCGAGGACCCTTGACTTGACTCCTTTGGAGCCCAGAGCAGCCGTCGGGAGCCCAAAAAACGGGAAACTGAGCCCGCAACGGCTCTGAAGTCCAGCCAATCTTCCTGACAAAACAGATACGCTTAGCGAGCTCGCTACATGCCCGACAAGCCTGCCTCCAGCGCATCTTCCTGCATTCCAACCAGGATGCGAGCAGCAAAAGCTGGCAAACAGCAAAACGGCAGAAAGTGAAAATCGCGGCAGTGGTACTGTGTGATTGCCCTTTGCCCACTGAGCTCGGAAGAGAACCCGCCAAGGCTGAGGATAGCCATCTGGCACTGCCTGGCAATGTGATCAATGTTTCCACTGCAAAGTTGCCATCGGATGAGTCCCGGCAAGTTTCAGGATGCACAACAGAAAGAGCATGATGAACCGAATCCGCAAATCAGCTTCAGGCACGGTGCGTTCGGCTCAAGCAATGCCCGCCTCTCGACGTTCAGCCAGCCGAGGCCAGGTCGCAGCGAAGTAGACCTGGACAGCAGGCATTCTCTTCAAGAATTGTCGTGAGGGTGAACGATGGAAAGAGATGAATAAGAAAGCACATATGAACCAAAAATAAGTGTAAACTGTGAATTAGACAAGATAATGAGATATGAAAGAACCTGATAGCCTCCTATATAACAATCAGCAAGGGTCGAGCGATAAGACAAGAACTGTGGCATTTTCAATTTCGGTCATTCTCATGCTGAATATGCTTTTCATTACACATAAACTATCATGTCGAATCATGTCCGTGTCCTCTGATCATAAGACATTGTTAGAATATTGGTTGCTTGATAGAAATTACTATTATTGTACAAGTTATCGCAATAGATTTACATGTAACATCAGAGATTAACTCAGCATCCCGATTTTAGTATGTCCAGCTTCATCTCAAAGGCGTACCAGTCACACCGGAAAAAAAAAAAAAAAAAGGTCAGTGCCCACGAAAAGCTAGATAATCCTTCACAACCCGGGAAAATCCCTACAAAGCGTTTCCCAGCTTGTGTCTTTTCCCAATCCTTTCCTGCACTTGGTCTGACGCCAGCAGCTCTCCACCGAGATCGTGGCTTTGGTTTCAAGGGCAAGTCCAAGGGCGTGAAATGTGTCAATTGCGGCGGAGACCATTTTGCTCGTGACTGGCGGGTTCTTTTGGGTTTTGCGATTTTTGATGTCTTTGCTAGCTGTTAGGGCGGGGAGTTGTTTTGCGTTAGGCGCGCTTGTGTTCCGCAGCTTTTGACTCAAGCCGTTAGCGATCTTTCTTGCCATTGTTAGTGAGCCATGTTGATCTTTCTTTCGCAGTATGCTCACATCAATGGATTAGTGCTCTGATGATGCACTCAACTCCAGAAAATGCCTTAGTTCTGGTCATACTCTCAATCTGTGTTTTTGTGGGTTTTATGCAGCCTTGAAATATTGAAGCACTTCACTGAAAGAGCGCATTTGAGAAGCTCGAATGGTTGTGTAAAAATCATCTGAGAAATATCCGACAACAGACGGAGTGTTGGACACAAGAAATGCTCCTTACCTCTTTACCGGTTACCGGCCGCCCCCAGGGCTAAAATCAAATCTTAGGGGCTGAAAGGGAGAAAAGATCTTATAAGGGGGGAAAGGGGGCAAAGATCCTAGGGAGCAAAGATCTTAGGGGGGAAAGGGCAAAGATCTTAGGTGGGAAGAGGGTGAAAGGGGGGAAGAGATCTTCGGACGAGCAGGGAAAAGATCTTGGGGGAAGCATCCTGGCCGGCTCCTAGTGGAGTCCAGCTGGGTGGCCTTCACCTCTTCCTCTTTCACGTGTCTCGGCCGCGGGACCTCCTGAGCCACGCGGGTTTTAGCAACCGGCTTGTTACTCAGCCGCACAGAGGAAGTCGCAACCGGGCCGCGCCCAACAGCACGCTTTTTCGGAGGGGGTAGGGGGAAAAGATCTTATGGGGGGAAAGTGGGAAAACGATCTTCGGGGATGAAAGAGGGGAAAAGATCTTGTAAGGGGTAGAGGGAGGGAAAGATCTTAGGCGGGAAAAGGGGGGGATAGGAGGGGAAAGGGGGGAAAAGATCTTATAAGGGGGTGGGGAGAGGGGGAGAGGATCTTAGGAGGAGAGAGCGGAAAAGATGCTAGGAGTGCCAGGGCGGGAAAGAGTGGAAAAGATGTAGGGGGGGGACGATCTTGCGGGGTGCAAGGGGGAAAGGGAAAGACTTTAGGAAGGGGGAAAAGATCTTGGGGGAAATGGGGGGACAGATCGGTGAGGCCCACTGCCGGGGGAACCCATCCAAGAAGGGAACTGGTACCCTGTGGTAGTAGAGGTCCTGGATCTATTCCGGAAAAAAGTCCAATATGCCAATATGGATGATTGGAGGATGGTCCCTGGTGGATTGTATTGTTGTATAATCCTGTAAGCGGCCTGCAAAGGTTCCTTTGTCACGCAATCATGAGTATTGCTATGGTACAGAAGGGCCTTGAGCCAAATGGTTGCGGGCGATCAACATTGGTCAAAAACAGACACAAAAACAGACACAAAAACAGACACAAATTTCTTTTGCTCGACGGCACTACATATGAAATATCTTTGGCTTCTTGGCCTTTGGCCGTAGCCTTGATTTATGCCGTAGCCATGTGTATATTACTTGTGACAGATAATGGATATATCTTGCCAATTGAAATACTGGATTCATCCTGTTTTCTGCGCGGATGAAATGTCTTGATTTGCAAAATGGAAAACAGTCTGTACTGTTTCTGTGAGATACCTAGATGTATCTAAAAGATGAGGTACAACGCTATGTACACGCGGGACGGATGTGAAACTATTGATCTCTCACTGAATAGTCTTGTTGGCGGTGAGGATCAATTCGGTTGAAATTCGTAGTGCCGATTTCGGGTGTTCTCTCAGTCGAGCTTCAGAAAAACTTCTTTCCTTGGCGGATCACTCAGACCAAAGGAGGTCGAATGGATGCCAGAGTGGCAGCTTCATCAGATAGTCAACGGTTCCACCGATAGCTGCTGTCGGATTGGCTGCCGTAGTTTCCGAAGTCGTGCCAGGTCGAGTCGCTGTAGTCCTTCCACTGCTTCTGATTGCCCCACTGCTGCTCGTTGTATTCCTTCTACTCTTGCTGAATCCAGGATTGCTTCTTCTTGAAGTACTCCTTGGATCGCTCAAAGTTTCGCTGCTTGGTGGCAGATCCGCTGCGGATGTAGACCATCAGCGGACTGTGTGAATCGGAATCTTGAGAGCCATTCATGAACATCTCGTTGTTCACGTGCTTGAAACGTTCCGCGGATGAGACCTGATAGTCGAAAATGGCAGTCGTAGGATCAGTTCCGCGTGGTGTCCAGTTGATCATCTTTCATTGCGTCCATCTCTTCCTTCCGGAAATCCTGCTGGATGTTTGTCTTGCCCCATCCAAATACGAAAGTCATGACATCTGGGAATGTTCGATCAAACCCGGATCTAGTCTTCATGTAGAGGTGATGACGGACGATGGATTTCAGGGTGCAGGAAGTCTCCATTGCATGTTCCATTCTGTCCACGAGTGGCAAGTTCTCCGTTTCATTCCACAATCTCTGGTATGCCTTCATGAGGATATTCATGAGACCGTTGGCCGGATTGTAGACCTGTTGGAGTTTGCTGTAGGTGTTGGCGTCTCCGGTGATCGCATCGCATTGATACAATGTCACGAGCGGCATGATTTCGGTTTGAAAATCGTCCCGCGCTGCTCCATGGCTGATTGATGGGTGGATGTGAAAAACTCCAATGGTAGCATATGGGAGGTCTGCCCTCGTCACATGGCGGCTGTCGAATTCGAGGAGTGAATCAGTGGATGACTTTGGAAACACGCCACGAAATTCATCACTTTGCTCGATGTGGATGACGACAACTTCCTTGTTGTTCCCATGTCCTTGGACAAGTGTGCGTGGCGGCAACCTCGGTCCAATGTATTTCTTGGATTCCCTGAACATGGATGTTCATGTGGTTGCCAGGCAGTCATAGGTCGGGATGTCGTATTCGGCATCAGTGCAATGGTTCTCGGTTCCGAAGAAGCGTCTGAAGTAGTTCCCCAGTTTTGACTCTTTGTGGGAATGTGTCGCGCCAATAGGGGCAAAGCATGCGATTGGTTTGGATAACTATGCCCTTGTATCCAAACCGGATGAACGTCTTGATGAGGTCCTTGGAGTTCTCATCTTGAGGACTGAGGAATGCGTCTGCTTCATTTAGGCATATGATGCGCGCGCTGTTCTGCATCATCATGCTCGTGATTGGTCGATCCTTCATCGCCATGATATTCACCTCCTTGTTGTCCAGCTTTGGATTCCTTGTAAGGTTTCCGTGGTTCATGGTGAGCATGTTGATCGTCATGGATGAGGTGAACTCATGTGCCTTTAGATGGTTTACAGGAAGACGGTCAGTTGGTTGCAACAGCGATTCGGTTATGCAAGAACATGACCGACGATGACCGTGCACTCTTAGTCTTGTACTCATCCAAGCAAGAACCCTTGAAGGCTTCATCCACATCCATACTCATTGGCAAGAAGCGGAAGGAAGCGACAGCCACTGAGACAAGAGCTTGTCAGAAGCAATTCCTTGAAGCTAAGCTTCTTGAGTGCAAATCTTGGCTTGATAACGAAGTGTTCGACTTGGTCGACACACGCAAGACTCATGTCAGGAACTGGGTTACCGGTCGCTGGGTCCTTACCCTAAAGCGAGACAAGGATGGTAACTTCCTAAAGACCAAGGCCCGGGGCTTCCAAGACAAGCAGAAGAACGATCAGCAGACAGACAGTCCTGCTGCATCCAGGAGTGGCTTCCGCCTTGCAATCCAAGCAGCCGCAAATAAAGGCTGGAATATATTCCACATGGACTTGAAGACAGCATTCCTCCAAGGCAAAGCATACGATCAGACTCGTAACATCATTTGTCAGATCCCTGCTGAAATGGGATATCCACCACACATTGGAGCGCGCATGAAGAAGCCTGCTTATGGGCTAAATGACGCACCCCGCAGATGGTGGAACATCCTTGATTCGGCACTCCGTTCTTACGGATTGGCGCCAACCAGGGCAGACCGTTGTACATCTGTCTACTACGGCAAGCAGCTTCCGAAACCCGCATTGATGAGTGAAAAGAAATCATCCAATACTTTCGATCTAGAAGGAGCAGTTGATTACCTCATGGATCCCGTTTCCGGTAACAATGCCAAGAATCGACAAGTTCATGGAGCACTTTCTCTTCATGTTGATGATCTTCTTATGACGGGTGACGATGTGTTCGAGAAGGAAATCATGGGACGACTTCGTAAAGATTTTCAAGTTGGTTCCGAAGACAAAAATGATTGCCTCTTTGTAGGACAACGCATCCAATGGAAGCAAGACGACAAGCATGGCTGGTACATCAATGTCCATCAGAACGTTGCCATTGACGAACTTCAGGAGATCACCTTTGATAAATACCTGAAGGGCGACACTCCTCTCACTCCACAAATGCACACTGCATACAGAAGTGTCTTAGGTCAGATCAATTGGTTACAATCGCGAACGCAATTCCACATTGGCTATCAATTCTCCAGGTGCGCGTCCAAGGCATCATCTCCGACCATTGAGGACGTTCGCACCATTAATCAGATAGTCAGAACCATCAAAAGCATTCCGCTTAGTATGAGATTCTGGCCCCTTCGTGGCAAGACACGCATAGTTGGTTATCCAGATGCATCCTATCGCAACAATGAAGATAAGTCATCCCAACGTGCGCATGTTATATTTCTTGCAGAACAAAGAAATCTTCGCCAGGGCTCATCGAACTCGAGAGGCTCATTGGTCGACTATGAGACGCATAAGATCACCGCCACAACAATGTCCACTACTGTTGCAGAATTTTCACGGACTGATGCGTTGTTACGGTTCAGCATTATTTCTTCGCGGTCTCTAGTCAGACATAACAGGCGAAATCGCAGATGTACACATCCGCACTGATGCGAATAATCTTGTCACAACAGCATCCACAGCACATCAACCGGAACAGAAAGAAACAATGCATTTGATCCAAATGTTGAGAAAAGAAAGCAACAGCGGACAGATGCATGACCTTGCACATGTACGAAGTGAAGGTTGTGGCAGATTCGCTGACCAATCATTCAGCTAAAGCAGACGAGCTCATCAAGGCCGTCCTCACCGGCAATCTCTTGAATGTTGACGCACATCCACCTTTCCGTACTATGTTGCAGAACAAGGCATTTTTGGTTGAGTGACTAGCACACAATACGAAGCACGGACCCGACATCATTGCCTTTGCAGGAGTCGGTATAGCAAAGTCCATGTTTGCTTATTGGGGAACCTGGGCATGATCCGCATGTCCACGAATTCTGACGCATGAGTTTTTCATTTTGCACATTTTCAATTCCTCAAATCCGTGATGCGTGTTTTTGCACTTGACCCATTTTGAATCTCAAGAAATATGTGTCTGCATCCGCAGCCACTTGGTTTGCAACCATTCCGACCTTTGCAATCGTGTATGCTTGATCACCTCGAAGACATGCTGGTTCTCAATATGATCTTTGGACGATCCGGCACTGCGGCTCCTTCGCCGAAGGCGCTAGTGAAGAGACGCGCATCTCCTTTGAAGGAATCCCCTGCTCGCGACGAGGAAGATGAGACATCCGACTGCCCCATGGAGCAGGTCGCCGATGAGAATCCATCCGCCTCTCAACAACCAGATAATGTCAACATGGAGCAGGCAGATTACGATCGAGATGCCGACAACGATGATGATCCGGATGAAGAAGAGCAACCTCCCGCAGGCAATCCGAAGTCGAAGGCGATGCCACATCCGAAACTGGTTCCGAAGTCACCACCACCGACATTGAGGCTTGTGTCAAAAGCACCAAAGAATACATTGGAGGAGGAGACAGAATCCGACAACAATCCTGGTGAACGACCTGCACTTCCAAGGCGACCAGCGATGCGGACAGCTCTCACATCCAACGATCGGTGGTACACATCCGAAGAATCAGATACCGGCACCTACCTCCAGAGGATTTCTGGAATTCTCGATTCCTCACCTTTGTGGCCGAACACTACAGGGAGCGCTCTACCATCCTCGACTCGTACCCGGACTTCCGCTTCATTCCTGAGCATGAACGAGAACCTGGAGCCAGGGTATTCTGGTTGAGAGCCAGATTGAATGATTACTGGCAGCCAACACTCCAAGGTGAAGGCCAACATGCAGAGAAACAGTACATGGGCTTCATCAAGAAGGTCTATAGTATCTGCTGCTATACCAATGCTCAGCCGGAAGATCGTCCCGATGGTATGCCACAACCGCATGATTGACCTTGACAGGACCGTCCAGAATGTTGAGCAGGTTTGCAGCTATTTCCACATGGATCCATCCAAGGCAAAACAGATCACCGACCTCATCCTCTGGCGAAGCGAGCGATTGAGCAGATTGTTTTCCGGACGCTTTCGACATGATCCAAATCAGGGCACCCACAGAGAACGCCGACGACAAGTGGAAATGAATCCTGACGGATCCGTTCAGCTCTACGATGCATTGGGATGCATCACACATGCGAGGAACTTCATGGGCAATAAGCCAGGACTTTTCCTGATGACTATGTTCCCGGATTATGGAAAGGCACGTTTCGAGATTGCTTTTGTGTATCCATCCGTGGACGGAACGCAAGGACAAGGGATGCATTATTCCAAGGAATCGATGGATCGACAACCTCACATCCAGATCCGCATATGATGCACTCAGGCCTGATGGCAGAGGATTCCTCAATGATCCAGAGATGGAATTCTACGTGAGATGCAACAGCGGTCATACTCGACAAGTCGATCTCCAATACTTTGGACGCCCCCTTTGGCCTGGACAGAAGCGTGAACCTCGTCAAGAAGAACCGGACTACGATCTTCCAACAGAATCCATTCCTCCAAGTCCGCATCCTTCAAGATCCGACGCGCCCCATGAAGATGAAGGCACAGCCCGGGCAAAATCCAGAATGCGAAGGCCGGCACCACCATCCATTGAAGAACAGAGAAAGATCAAGCCGTTCGCGAAGAAGCCCATCACGTTCATGTTCCATGCATAATATGGAGATCAGCTGATCAGCATCATGGAGAACGGGCTCAAATCTGGGAAATCCCAGTCAAACCCTTCGGAGAGAGCGCACATCCAAATGGCATGCATCGACGACGTTATGGTCCTCGACGACGACGCGCCAGAAGCAGCACTGACACATGTGCCAACAGGAAGAGACGCATTGTTGATCCTTGCATTCCTCAAGGACCAGGACTACGGCATCCGACTCTCCGAAGAGCGAACAGCGTTGACAGGACAAACCATCGAGGCGAAGAATATTGCTGCAGCATTTGATCCTGATGGGAACATCATGATGAGCAACAACTGGATCATGAAGAAGCCTCTCACTCGTGAAGACGTTGAGATGCACGACACCAAGATCCATGAATTCGCCGATGCCTTCTTCAACTATGTGAATACCGACCAACAAAGCAAGGAACAATCCGAAAAACATACATGCACAGAGACCAAGAAGCGACGGCACTCCACCGATCAGGACGAACATGATGAGGAAAACATGGAACCCTCCGGGGAGAGATCCGTCAAGCCGAAGGTCACCATGGAGTATCACAACCGCGAAAACCTAGAAGAGTTCATCAAGGAATTCAAGGTGACATACCTTGAAACGGACATGACCAAGAAGGACGCCGAGGAAGAGTTCAAGGAGACCAAAAGGAACTTCACCCGCTTCATGGAGAAGTACGACAGGGAGCTCATCCCGAATTGACAGAATGCGAGCGAGCTTCATTGGCCATCCATGGAAGAGTTCAGGGAGGCACAGCCAGCATCAGGATATCCCATGAAACTTCCATTTGGATTGAAGAAGCTCAGGACATATGACAAACCAGAGGTCATCCAGGCATTTGCTGACATCCCCCAATCGCCGGCCAATCGCGATCCAATCGCAATCCCACAAATTCCAATCGCGGAGCAATGTTGGGCATCGCTGCTGTTTCTGTTTCACGTTTGGCCGTCTTATCTCAAGCGCTGGCCTTCCTCCATCCATGCCTGGAAGCAGGAAGCTCGGATGGGCAGGCGCTCACTGGTGGAACTCGTGCAATCGCCGTCCAATCGCCGTCCAATCGCGGTCCAGTCGCGGAATTCGGCGGCGAAACTTCGGTTTGCAGCTTCCAGCCCTTGCCAGCAATCAGATTTGGAAAGCACTGTCTGGGCCTGCGCAGACGAAATCATTCCAGAGGGAACTTTTGCACGAGACCGCGCAGTCAAAATGAACGAGACGTGCGTCGGCAACATGCAACGTCTATATATTCATGATAATTGTGTTGCCCTTTCGCGGTCCAACCGCCGGCCAACCGCGGCTCGAGTTCTACCAATCGCGCGGTTCAACAAGTTGTCGCTGTTCATGAGTTTTAGACATGCAATTACGGTCGGCCCCCAAATAAGAAAGCAGGCCTGTAATGTCGGCGGCCTGAGCCGGAGGCGTTAAACTATTATGAATGGCATGTCATTTTGTCGTCTGTCTAATGGTGCAGCATGTGACCTCATGTTATGTATCTACATGTTGGAAGAGATTGACCTTATGCTTCACATTATTATAAACAAAATACTTTGCTTTCTGTGTTTAATGCTTACTTCTTCCCAAAGGGCACAGCAGTTGTGTGCTAGGGTTTACCATTTGTGGAAAGTAACAGTAATCACACATTGACATGTACTATCTCCCAGTCCATCTTCGATAGAATGGCTTTGTGGAGGACCTTGTGTTGGCCGTACAGCATTGAAGAGGCTCGGTCTCTTCCTTCTTCTATCTTATTTTGTCTTTCTGGTTTGTAATTTGTGCAATCTCAATGTTTTACTCAATAATCCTAACAGGAATTCTACTGTTTATAAACTAGTACTGCTTATGGGTGTTGTTAGGAAACATGTCCTACATAGAGAAAGCAGATCAACTCTGCTTTCTTTGCAGATCTTGCAGAGACAAGCACACTCAAGCGCAAATCGAGCGGAAAGCCTGCCAAAGTGTGTCCTCCAGTTCAAGCGCTCGCCACGCTCGGCATCTCGGCAATGTCAATGCTGCCGTTTGCTGTGAAATCTGTTTCGCAGCTCGTGCTGCTTGGGCCAGCACAAAAGGGAGTACGCCACGATCTCGGACCAGGGCAAGAAGCTTGCCACGCACAAGCGGACCTGCCGGCGAACTTGCAAAACTTGAGCTTCTGCAACCTCGCAGAATATCACGAACAACTCAAGTGCGACACGACAGCTCGCGAAAACTGTGTCCACCTCCTGTGGCCATCGCACGAGCTGTGACGAAGCCTGTCAAGTTTGCTGTATGGTTGCTTGCAAAGTCCAAAATTGTCTAGCTTTGGAGTGAGCCGCAGGCATGTGTTTCGTGTAGCCCAGTGTTGCTGCGCTTGCCACCTGCTCAAACAAGCTCAGGATAGCTGTAAATCCATTCTTCTCCGAGGAAAGCAACTCATGCTGGGCATACGTGACGTCGTCAGATCTGTGGCCTCTCTTCAGGGACTCCTCCAACGCCAGCAGCAACTCCTGCCCAAATGTCACCAGCTACTTGACGGTTTGCGCAAATCAGGGCTCCTCATCCTCCTCTTCCAGCAGCTCTTGATCAAGCCCGGTCATTTATCCATGCCTTGCAAGTCACACTGTAGCACCCCAACTTGTACGGAAGAACCGAACAGCAGCATGCCTCTTCACTCACAGGCGCTGAGTAACTATGGCTCATGGCTGCATGGGCAAGCATGGCGATGTGGTTCTGCTAAGATTTGGAGGCGTGTGTTGTTTCCGTGCATCTCTGCCTTGTGTTACTCATCCCTGTCCTACGTCTGCATTTCTCGGAGGTAACGCGCCCGGGCCTGCTTGGCATCAGCGGTTCAACCCAGTATCACCAAGCCAGGTGCCGGATCACGCCCGATTGCTTCAGCGAGAGAGAGGGCAGGCAGGCACACATATTTGTGCACGCAGTTGGCGCATATTCTATTTGTTCTTGAGGGCAAAGAGATGGGTGCCATCATTTTGCACCTTGCATCTTGCTTGGAGTCTCACATTCTGTCACTGCAGGCATCAAAAGGATCTTGGCACCAGGCTCCTAATCGAGACTTTCCTGGGTCTGCCAAGACCTGTGGGGTGTGATCAGGGGATCCTACAAATGCCAAGTCTTGCCATGAAAGCATTGGAATTCCCAAACCAACAGCCGGCCTCTGTAATGCCTGCAGTTTGTAGGCGATACCTGCACAAGGGGCATGACCGAGTGATATCAGATTATCCTCCTGTGTGTGTGTGTGCGTGTGTTGATGGTATGTATGTGCTCCCAAAAGCTCCATGGCTCCTTGAGCAAGCATTCTCTGCTCAATTGCCCTTGCAACTGAGAAGCTGCTGGCTCGAACGCATTGGTGGTCATCGCTCTCAAATATCTCGTGCCTGATTTCACCATACCGCCATCGCTCCGCAGAGCCATCGACAAGAATGCTGCAAATCCTGAGAACTGGGGCATGTGCTGCGAGTCTCAAAGCTTCAGGCAGCTGAGGCACAAGTCATTGATCGTTTGGTGAGTTGCCAGCACTATTGTGTGAGGAAACTCACCTCAGGCACTGCGATCAGTGTGCTCACTGCGCTCTCGAGTGATGGCTTGCTGTGCCTTCAACACCTTCAACTAGGCGTTGCATGCTGAGCGTATGAGATTCGCACCACTTGCGGCCGCCGTGGCAAACAGCCATTCAACCTGCAGACCAATTCTGAGATCCACTCCTCTTCAAGCTCTTGGAGAATCTAGATTGGCAAGAATGCAATGAACAAGGAGCTAAAAAAAAGAGTAATACAGCACATGAGGCTTTGGCCAGCCGCACACCGCGAGCTCGACACTCTTGCTCCGTCTCCTGAAAGCTATCGAGTAGCTCTTGCTTGTCATGCAAATAAAACGCCTTCTCGGTATTGCCCTGGTAGTCCCACGCGTTGTCGGGAGCGAAGCCAACCGGCCTGAAGCCGGAAGAAACGGATATCATATAATGGCTCCGAATGCTAGTAGGGCGCTCGCTTAAATTCCGGATACTCTGTGGAGATCTCTTCCGCGGTGGATCCAACAAATGCCTTGCCGGCCTCATTGGCCAGGTGTTGATCCGCCTCTTCCCGTGACTGACCTTCTTTGGCTTTGCTTTTAAAACCTCCAAAGGAAGCGATTATGTGTCTGTGTGTTTTGTGTTTTGTCATGTTTCCGTTCCCCCACTTTGCAACTGCAACGCTTCAGGCAAGGCCCCGGCGCAGCCGAACTCGTAGCTGCCACCATGGCAAAGCACGTTCTGAGGCAGAACGCGTTGTTAACATCCAGTGCCGGTGGCCCAAACTCGTGTGAAATAACGTCAACCGCGAATAGCATGCTTCTAACTCTGTTGTATGCAGATTGTATTTGTACCAAGGGAATTTATTGAGTGGCCTCGGGAGTAAGCTGCAGCAGGCTGACAGCCGGCTGCATGGTCAAAAGGCACCGCCTGCCAACGTCAAACCGGCGCGTTCGGTGGCCAATCCCAAGTGCTCCGCTCTAGCGGCTTGCAACATAAGGATGGAAGCTAGAACACCGCCAATGCTCCAAAGTCCATTGAATCGATTGCATGAGGCTGGAATTTGTACAAGTGTTCATGTCACTCTCGCTGCCGTGCCTCATTGGGCTGGACCTTAGGGGTCTGTGCACAAGCACACCCGGCTCTCGAAGGTCTGCACGGCTTGTGCCAACGGACTCCAGCAGAAATGCGGCGCGGCAACGCGTGGAATTGCTGCCCCGTGAGCGAGTTGTGAATTGTCAGGGCCAAACACGACACGCGGCGTTTGTTTCGTGTGATCCCCTTAAGGGCAGACTGTACTTTTGGGGTTTTCTGCGTTTATGATCGTGTTGATTCCGGGCGGGTTGCAGGTTGAATTTGCTCAGGGTCGGGGTTGGCCTGTTGGGTGGCTTTGAGGTGAGCTTCGAAATGCTGGATGGGTTCGGTTTTGTTTGGGCCTTGGACCTGGGTGCCGCGTCCTCCTTCCACTGCCTAGCTTGCCATAGGGGGAAAAACTCGGGGACCATTCCCTGAGGCGCCCACACAAATATCACGCGAGATACCTTTGTAGACCTGCTGGCTGCTGAGACTTTGGGGGGTGGGCGGGCGGTTCAAGAGGAATGCATTGCAAATCCACATCTCTTGGGAGTCACAGTGAGTGCCTGAAATCTTTGGCAAGCCGATGCCCCAGAGCATTCGCTTGCTGAAGTCCGTAATCCGTCAAGCCTGCGCCCAGACACAAATTGGCTGAGCATCGCTGGATGATCGCACCTGGATCTGCTTCCGCGACTTGGCCAGGCCTCGTAGCACACGCTTCTGCCTGCTTCCAAATGGCTGTGAGGGCGAGGCAAGCGGCACTTGTTGGCGCTTTGAGCATGGCGTACAAGCAAAAGCCTGACCTCAGACTTGAGGCTCTTGAAGTCCCCAGCTTCTAAGGTGCCCACCATTGCTTGACGTCCTGAAGACTCCCTGCATGTGCGAGGAGGAGTGGGAACCGGCTGCTTTGCAGGCTTTGTCGGCTGCCTGCACTACATCAACTTCACCACAAAGCTTCAAGCCCATCTGAGGAGTGTACAGCTCGTCCGTCTCCGCACCTCGTGCTCCAGCTTGGATTGACGATCTCAACCGCGTAACGACGTCTCAGCCAGTGAGAAAGAGAAGCACGCCTTTGATTTTGCTGCATATTTGCAGAAGGGCTGTACATTTAACATTACTATCCTGGCCTAGTGTAGTCAAGCCGTGCAGTGCTCAACACTGCATGCGGACAGCTCTGCGGGCTCTGCCAATCACGACACGACCACACAGCCATAGCCAATGCTGCCTGCGATGGTTCGCTAATGCGAGTTGTCCCGCGGAAAGGCAAAAGCCCCAATTGCGCACTTCCAGCGTTTACACACTCTATAATACATCACCCCAAGCTGCTCCAACGAGCCACACTGATTTCGATTGAGAAACAGTGGGCAGCATTGAAGCAACCCTGCAGGAGACCACTTCTGACAAAGCTGCCGAACTTAGCCTCCTAAGCCCCTGTTAGCTTGTACAGTGGCTTTGCTTCTGCAAAACCAGGATTGGAATCCTACCCTACGTTCATCTCCGTTCATCTCTCCATGCTCTCGGCCAGATTGCAGTGAGAGTCGATACGCCTGCAACAACCAGTCCCGCTAATTGTGAAGCGGTGGTCTCCACTTATGCAAGCCCCAAGCTTCACAAATGCACTTGGGAGTCACCCCTCGCTATACACTTGCAAAGGCTCAAAGGCTCAAAGTCTTTTTCCGGCTGAGACTCTGAGACCTTGCTTTGGGTCTCACACAGGGCACTCAGGCCGCTCGTATGTGTAGAACCTGACCTCGTTTTCGAGGCCAAGTCGCCTTCCCGCCGAGATTCTTCTCTTCAGAGGAACTGGTCCGCTGAGAGCAGCTAGAAGAGCCGCCTGCAGAGCCGAACCGCCCGACCGCTCTTTTTTGAGAGTTCCTGTTTTTCAGGCGTGATCACCATGGAGGTCAGGCGTCAGCACCACCACCCCCCCCCCCCCGCTCTCGCTGCGTTGCTTCCAGTCACCACCACCACCCCCCCCTTCCCCATTCTTGTCTTTGATTCACCTCAACCCCAACCCCCCTTCGCCGCCACCACCACCACCCCCCCCCCCCCACCACATCTTTTCCTTCACTAGAACCACCACCCCCCCCCACATCTTTTCTTCCCACCACCATCTTTTCCTTCGCTAGAACCACCACCCCCCCGCACCACCCAACTATGATCACCACCACCACCCCCCCACCACTACCCACGCAACCACCACCCCCCCCGGTTTCCATCTCCGTCACCACTTTTCGGGCTTGCCTGAAAAGAAGACTGTGGACCACCCGAAACGGCAGGACTCGAATCATTTCTCCAAACATCCGCCCGCAATCTTTGAATCATCACTCCTTCACCCTTGAAACATAGTTTGCATTGCGCGCCTATTTGAATCATCACTTCTTCGAGCATCATGGGGGGGGCTGCTGCCCCCCCCCAACCCCCCCGCTACTTAGCACATTGGGCAACAAGCTCTTCGTCGAGCATCATGGGCGGCACCCCCCCCCAACCCCCCCGCTACTTAGTACATTTGGCAACAAGCTCTAACTGCGCCTCTACTCGAATCATCACTTCGAACATCCGCCCGCCCTCTTTGAATCATCACACCTTCAACCTTGAAACATCATAGGGGGGATGCCCGCTACTTTTTAACGATTGTCCATCTAGATTTAGTTGCACCCCTGCTCGAAGCATCACTCACTCGAACATCCCCCTGCTGCTTTTTGGATGTTCCACCTAGGTTGCATTGCGCGCCTATGTGAATCATCACTTCTTCGAGCATCATGGGGGGGGCTGCCGCCCCCCCCAACCCCCCCGCTACTTGGTACATTTGGCAACAAGATTTAGCTGCGCCTGTACTCGAATCATCACTTCGAACATCCGCCCGCAATCTTTGAATCATCACTCCTTCACCCTTGAAACACAGTTTGCGTTGCGCGCCTATTTGAATCATCACTTCTTCGAGCATCATGGGGGGGGCTGCCGCACCCCCCAACCCCCCCGCTACTTAGTACATTGGGCAACAAGCTCTTCTTCGAGCATCATGGGCGGCACCCCCCTCCAACCCCCCCGCTACTTAGTACATTTGGCAACAAGCTCTAACTGCGCCTCTACTCGAATCATCACTTCGAACATCCGCCCGCCCTCTTTGAATCATCACACCTTCAACCTTGAAACATCATAGGGGGGATGCCCGCTACTTTTTAACGATTGTCCATCTAGATTTAGTTGCACCCCTGCTCGAAGCATCACTCACTCGAACATCCCCGTGTTACTGTTTGGATGTTCCACCTAGGTTGCATTGCACGCCTATGTGAATCATCACTTCTTCGAGCATCATGGGGGGGGCTGCCGCCCCCCCCAACCCCCCGCTACTTGGTACATTTGGCAACAAGATTTAGCTGCGCCCCGACTCGAATCATCACTTCGAACATCCGCCCGCAATCTTTGAATCATCACTCCTTCACCCTTGCAACATAGTTTGCATCGCGCGCCTATTTGAATCATCACTTCTTCGAGCATCATGGGGGGGGCTGCCGCCCCCCCCCAACCCCCCTGCTACCGCTTCCGGGGCCGGGGGGGGGTGGTGGTACCCCCCCCCGCCCCCAGTTGAGGTGGTGCAAACCCCACCCCTTGCTGTGCAGGGGGGGGGGGTGGTGGTGGATCCCCCCCCCTGAGGGGGGGGGGAGCTTGCTGTGCGGGGGGAGGGGGGGTGGTGGTGGACCCCCCCCTTAAGAGGTGAGGGAGGGGGGGTTGCTGCGTGGGGGGGGGGGGGGGTGGTGGTGGACCCCCTTCAAGAGGGTGAGGCGGGGGGGGGGGTGGTGGTGCGGGACAGACCTGAAAAAGTCCAACGCCACATCTGCGGGCACTATCTCTTTTTTCACATTCAATATCATGTGCAATGTGCCCCAGGAAGATATCCCATAAATCCGAGTTGGCAGGCACGCAAAAAGGTGACTTGTCCTGGATCTTGTGGGTTTGGCATTGAAATTGCGGACAGTGGCGCCTTGCGTCTGAGGGCCAGCTTTGGGCAGTCATCCGTATGGATCACCTGCAACATGATCACATTGTGACAGGCTGTGTCGTAAAGTCGACTCCCAACGACTCTGGACGACTGCCGACCTCAAAGAAAAGCATCCGGTCGGCCGGATCTGCCAAAAGATATCGCGTGATTGCTGGGATGGTCATCTCGTCGCTGAGCAGCAGCGACGACTCGTTCAAGAAGCCGTCTGCGCACAGGTGTCGCATGCCTCAAATTGCAGACTCGAGTGTGAGTCCAGTCAAAAGCAGATTCCAGACATTCCCGCATTCAACTGGGGAGCCGATCAGCTCCACTCCTTGAAAATCGTCTCCCAACTGAGGAGCACATCGCAATCGATCTGTTGCCACATCGAGCTGCCTGCGCTCAAGCGGGGTTTTTTTCGGACCGGAAACAGCCCAAGTAAGCAAAGGGCGAGCTGAGGAAGCTGATCGTCTTCTCACAGCGTGCTTTGGCCAAAGCTTCCTGGCTAGTGGTAGGATGGACGCGGGCACGAGTTGGGCGGCAACTCGCAACGCAGTCAGTCCAGGGCCACAGGAATGATGCCTAGCTTCAGCCTACGTCTGAAGCCTGAGGCCTTGCATCTCACCAAAGCAGGTAATCTAAAAACAAGAATCGAATAGAAGACTAAACGAGCACAATGCCGTAAACCCTGAAGAGACCTGGAGAGCATTGGAGAGAACAGAAGAAAACAAAAACTGGACTAAGAAGCGGCGTTCAATGTGTTTGATCCTTCATTAAAACTCCTCTGATTTCCCTGGCTCTTCCAAAACGCCGACCCCGGTATCCTCATTATTCTGATCATCGAACCGGATACGGAGGATCCAGGCACGACGAGAACTTTTGATCAGAAGCCGAGATGAGCACTGCTGACACCAGAGGATGCAACCGCCACGGACAAACCTTTCAATACAACGCAGACAGTCGATCCGGTCCTGCTGCTTCCAGGGCACCTCTCCCCTCTGGGAGCAGCCACGGACTTCCAGCAGCGCGCTACCTGTGCAAACTGCTGGACTTGTCACATCTTGAGCGCGGCAATGGCCTCCCGGACTTGTGCGTATCCACACAGCTGCAGCCAGCAAGGCTGCCTGCCTGGCACAGGTTTCCATCTCTTTGGCCTCAATGAAATGCTGGTTTCCATGTGCCCTCACTACTCACCATCAAACAAGGGAGTGGAACCCTGTAAACTGAACTGGGCTTTTGCGTGACCACTATGCACCAGGAGCCAGTTTCCCTGCCTGTCAAAGGCAATCTCCTCCGCTTCCTGACCTGCGCACGCGACTTCGCAAGCCGCTCCAAGCGAGAGGCATCCGTCGCAGTATCCCGCCTTTGTAGGCACGGCCAACGGAGGCAGATCCGCGTGCAAACCAAATGTGGTCGGAGTAGGGGCTCGCGGGTTTCAGGGGCATTCGCGGCGTTCCTGACAATTTCACGGCATGGAGCGATGGCCGATTTCGTGTCCGTGTCCGCGTCCTGGCTTCTCCGGAGGCGAGGCGCCGAAGCTTCGGGTCCTGGGCCTGCGTCTCAGAATGGACGCCGCCAGGCCTGGCAGGAAATTAACAGCGCACTGACACCGCTTACAGCTTGCTATCAGCTAGACTTCCGATCAAACTCCTGTGACCCGTCCTGAGCGGGAGGTCGGCCTTGCAGTGAACATTCGTTTGTGGCAAAAGCCGTGAGTCGCTCCCCCACCTGTCGTAGACAGCGTCAAAGGCTTTCCGCTTCTCCGGATCTCGCAAAATGTCGTACGCTTGCGCCAAGTCCTCGAAAGACAAGCGCTGACAAACACAGCTATATTCATAGCCGGAATAGTCAGACTTTCTGGTGTAGCTGCCTTTGTGATTTCTGAAAGTTGCACAGCAGGATTTCATTCCTCAACCACCTCTCGTCCCTCGCACACACACACACACACACACAGAGATACACACACACGAAGGCCTCGACAAACAGATGCTAGGCAAGATACTCAACTAAGGCTTCCCCCAATCCTTGAAAAGCTGCTCTGCCGCCTCCCTCTCCTGCACCACGCGCAACAAGATGTCAATCACGGAAAGTTTGATGCTCAAGATCACGTCTTTGCTGTGCACAGACCAAAAACGAGTGGCGTGTTTGTTGAAGTGAACCCTTAGGGCGATCGAATCGAAACAAAGTAGGAAAAACCCAATTTGGGGGCTCCGCCATTCGAGTGTCCAGTGAAAGCCAGGCGTAGCGCGCCTCTGGTGGGCGCTTGTCAGGATGGCACTGCAGCGCCAGGGTGCGGTACGCTTTTTTCACGTCTTCTTCGGCAGCGCCGACCTCGTCCAAGGGACAAGGGAATCTCCCCAAAATAACCCGGGTACACAGGTGGGAGGTTGCCCAGGGCTTGTCACAAGTGCATCCATCACAAAGAGACTGCGCCTGGACCCCGAGAACGACGTAGGGGTTTCGAGGCATAGCCTGTGGAGATGGCGGCCAGTTTAATGCGATGGTAGCGATTTTTACGGTTTTGAACAGTATCTGATATTTGACATTGCAAGGATGTATGGCCTTAGTTGCTTTGGATCTTTTGATTCGCAATCAAAACGTGAGAGTTGAACATTAGTTTCGCCAGATTGTGCACATCGCAGAAGGTATTATAACTGAGGTGTTGGAGTGCGCAATAAAGCGGGAACGGAGAGAGCAGAAAGTTAGAGAAAATAGCATAACTACGACACAAATGCGTCAAATCTATAGGAAAGCCAATAGAAGAAAAGTAGGCCAGGAGAGTGGGAAGGAGAAGGTATAAAATGAGTCAAAGTAAGAGCGTAACGAGAGGTTGTGGCTGGTGGACGAAGGCGGTTGACAGTCTGGGATTCAAACGTCTGCAGCGGGGTATTTATGTTATTAGCAGCATGTATGTTTCTCGATTTACAGCTTTAGTCCTTTCCCCCCTACTCTTTTAAAACTTTGATAATATTAGGTATGGTCGAAGGCTCAGCTCATAGAGGAAAAGAAGTTGAAGTTCCTATTAGTACAGCTAGACTTCGGGACTTCAAATGGCATACAGTTTCATTTTTTGCGCCCGTATTTGCACCCACCGCACCATGGGTCCAGCACCCTCAGCCTTGTCTCTCATCGGGTCTCATGGATTCTCATAAAGTGGAAAGGTGAAGATACCCAAAAACAGAAGTTTGCTGCATACTGTCTGTGTGGTTTGGTGGTCGATTCCCAGCTCTGTCATTTGGGATAAATTGCAAAACCAATAGCATGGCTCTCTTGTGGCTCTGCGGTGTTCGCAGTGCTTGAGCCTCACAAATTGCAGCGCAAGCTCAGATCATGTACCCCAAGAACGTGCAAGCCATGCTGCTCATTGAGGCCCCATGTGCACAGCAGCCTCCTCTTTGTAGACTGGGCCTTGACAGTCATTGCAAACGACTGACGGTGCTATGCGTGTCATGTCTGCCAAGCTGCCATGAGCGGTAGCGCTCTGCGGCAAGGTGTGGATGTCGCTTGCGAATCCTCGGTGTCTCAAACGATTACAAAGCAAGCTATGTGAGTGACCCTTTCTGAGTCCCCTGCAGGTCCGATCGCATTTGTCCCCGGTGTGGTCATTGTTTCACCTGCCTCACAATAAGGGCAAAGGCTGCGGTTGCGAAGTTGCCAAGGTGAGGTAGCTTCTGTCTATATGGTAGCTTATGTCACTATGTTTATGCTTGGGTGTGTTTGGATGTCGCTGCCCTTTTCTCAGATCTTGTGCGGGTGTGTGGGTGTGCATGCGCGCGCTTGTCAGCGCATAGTGGTGAGCGTGTGAACATGTGCACTCATGTTAACAACTCCGTACTTGCAAGAGTACGACAGACTGGCCTAGCATCCCCAATCTATCGATATGCAACAAGCTTCTCATATGCCTCATTTCGTTTTTGTGGAAGCCCTGCACCGCAAAGCACCGATCATCAATGAGCAATTGGCAACCCCGCAGGCGCGAGAGTGGTCAGGAGCGCAACTGCTCAGAACCCTGCCTTGCTTTGTAAGCGTGCCGAAGAATTTGCCTGGGACAGCGGTTGTCATGGTCGTCTCTTTCAGACAACCGAACTAAGACAAGGCCGGCTGGTGCTACAGATCGCTGGCTCTGCGCGTGGAAGGTTCATTGAGTGGAAATGCCGCTGCATGTCCAAGTCACAAAGCCTCAGCGTGGGTCTGAGGCTCTGTCCACTGCTTGAAATGCTTCCATCAGAAGGTCCGAGAAGGGCAGCCCCTTGCAGCCCTCGCAAGATAGCACTACTAAACATGCACGGCAGCACGGCATGGAGTTCGACACATCGGCTCTGCCTTCAACATCTGTGGTCCCTCCTGATTCGAGAGCGTATCCCGCTCATTCACCGGTACTGGAGGCTCTGGGCCTGGCAAGGCAACTGGCAGCTGGCAGCAGGAAACATTTGTCCAAAACCTGCAGTGGGCCCAGACTCTTTGAGCAAAACCGCTCTGCCTGCGTCGACGCTGGCGGGCCTGCGCAGGCTCTTGCAGCTGGGCAGGCAATTGATCTGCCTTTCTTCGTGTTACAGGGAATGCCTCGAAACTCTGTTGCCGCTGTTGCAAAGCCGTGCTCTGATTCCTTTGACTCAGTTAGAATGGCCGGCCTGCTGTGCGGTGCATCCTGGTGTCCAGGCTTCTCGATCGATGTGCCTGCCGGAGCATGTTGCGCGTCTGTGCAAGGCGGTGAATGAGTGCCTTCCCAGTGTACTTGGTTTGCTGCTCTCAGCACCTGTCACATTCCACAACTCACACACACACACTTGTATGAGTGTAGCGTAGCACAGGACGCCGCCTCCAATTGCTGAGCATGAGGCAAGCCCATCAGTCTGCACTTATGATCCTTTGCACGGACATGTACTCCAACACCCCACGTACATCCGCTGCAGTGAGCACGAAACAGACACAACTCGATGGCAAGTGGAGCACCACGTCAGGTGTTTGCATCTGTACACGCAGCTCCAACAAAATCAAAGCGCGTCTAATAAGGCCCAAGCTCTGTCACCCGTAGCGATGGGCTCGGGCACACGTCCAGGACAGCTGAAGGACTCTTTGCTGCCCGCGCTCAATTGTTGCTTCTTACAGCCATGTTTTATATCTACAAATGTTGGCTGACATCATAAATGCTCTGCTTGAATAGAATGTACGATTTTGCAAAGGTTGAGTCCATAAAAATCAGCCTCCCGTCGCGTACCCCAGCTTGAGAGACTTTTCACTGCATCCCACACCATGAATTCTGCGACATACATGATGCATCTGCTGCAAACAACATGCCGCACCAAGGTCGTGGCCGTCCTCATCTATATCCAGTGACCGTGCAAGATTGGGGGCCTGCCCAAAGAATAGACCCATCTCTTACCCTGCCCAATACATTTTCAAGCGCGAAATGCTACAAAGGCCCGCACGCTTTTGACCCCTCTCGGTGGAAGAGCTGGAAGAGGCAAACTGTGGCCTGCAAGCCAGGTGGCCAATGGGCACGGGCGAAGTAGTTGCTTCCGGGAGTGCAATGCGTCATCACGCTGGCATGCAAAACGTGCCCTACATGTTGAGAATTTGAGTGCCAGGCCGTGTTCGGCTTCTGATTCGGTCCCAGCAAACTTCGCCAAGTGCCGATCCAAAGCCGCCTGGAAACCGAAAGAAAAGGCGCACGCCAAGCTGCGGCCTGCGGTGCCTTGCCTTCACTCCACACGAGAAGCCGCAGCTACAATACCTCATCTCACGACTTGCAAGCTTCAAATGACCCAACTGACTCTCATTCAATGCTAACTGGGCTTGCGGCAGCATTGAGAAAACCTGGTGCAGTCGATCGAAGTCCGCAGGAAAGAATCAGTCCCAGCCGTTTTGCACAGTGAATCTGCTTCCTGCACCCCAGTATTCCGCCTAGCTCGGGTCATTTGTTTGATGAATCAATACTATGGGAGAACGTGTGTGTGTGTGTATGTATGGTGACCAAGGTGTTCTTCCAACAAACTTGAATGAAAAACATTGTTCTTCCGTGGATGCTGCTGCAACCCTTCCGAGAGCCAAAGGGTTCCTGCGCGGGACGTGCTTCTTTGCTTGCATCCCGCTTCCTTCTGCTGAGCCTGTGTGTCAACAATGATGAGATGTGCGAAGACGAGCGTGTCTTCAACGGATCTGGTAAGAACTGCAATGTTTCACCGCTCTTCACTATGTCATAACTATACTGTGGGCGGCTGATTCTTCAAGGAAAACCACAACCTGAATACGCTCGAACATTCCGCAAGCAGTTCCCTTCTTCAAAAGCTTCCGCACGAGTGGCGCCGTGCAAAGTCTCAAGAGTAGGTGATTCTCTGTACTAAGTCCAGACAAAATACGAATGAGGAAGGGAACAAGTGGATATTAGCAAAGGCATGGGCTGCTGAGGGTCTGACCAATGGCACAGCATGGCTAGGAAAGTGGCACACTAATATGCGTTGGAATTGCTGTACGTTCACCACCGTGTGTGTGTGTGTGTGTTGCGGCCTGCTAGGCATGGTCACTGGTTGCAGTATCACGCGCACCAAAGTCTGGGCAAAGCATCTATGGGGCATCAAGCTATAACATAGATCATATCTCTTGTGAAGCAAGCTGTGAGCCCAACAATATTGCCAAGGAAGCTGTGCGCTGCGGCCGCGCAAGGTATTGTCGCTTGACGCATTGCACCTTTGCCACATCGCCGTCTATCCGCTCCACGAGGATATCCAACGGGCTTTGCACCTGCAGCTTGAATGTGCAAGGCGCCCCACGAAGGAGTGGGCACAAATAGCACTCTGGCTGTTCAACCAGAAAGCTCCCGGACCAAACACTAGCGTCACTCATCAAAGGCAACTGGCAACCGGCAGCTAGCGAAGGCTCGCTAAGATGTGGGCTGCTGAGAGGCGCGACCGCCGCATATGTCTTTTCACCCGAGTTGGGGCAAGCAGCACCCACTCCCACCACCGATTCTGCGATCGCTTGCAGCTCCTCCTTCGATCTTCCGCGGGCTAAGAACCGGTGCAGGGACACAAATTGCCCAAAGCTGATTCTGCCGATACTCCCAGGATCGCATCTGGCCAGCAGTGCGCTTCTCTCGCCTTTGTCAAGCTGGATCGGAAGGGCAGCGAGCAGGCAGTCCAGTTCCGAGTGGGACAGATAGTCATCATGATCTGCATCGAAGGAAGTAAACAAACGATGCAAAGACGAGTACAAGCTATCCTCCTGCCACCATGCCATAGACTCTGGATGAACAAGAACGATGGTCAAAGGCACTGGCACTGACTTCGAACTAACCCGAAAAAAGGGAGATGCAAGGCCCGATGCAAGTGTGTCGGAGTTCAGCTGTCGAAACATGAGATCAGTTCCGACTTTGGGGCTGAGCTCTTCCACTGTGACCGACCGCTCCGACCCGGACCAAGCAAAACCTAGAAAATGCTGGCCCATGCCAACATCGCCGGGGAAGTAGTAGGAAGGCACCACCCGATACTCCAGATTTGCTGGCAGTGGCTCAAGAAGGACAGTCAGGGTTGTGTCCCGCTTGCTGGCAAAAGGTGTTTGAGCGAGGATGCGACGACGGTTTCTTGTGCACCATTTCACATCAGTAGAAACACCAGGAACAACGTCTTGTTGAAGCACGGTCATCCCAATCTGCGGATAGGGCAGAGACTGCCCCATATCCATCATAGTGGCTCGCATGCATCGCATGTCTGGCTGCGAAAGTGTGATAACCAGTTCAACTGGCTCTCTGGCAATCACCCGAAACATCGAGTTCTGGCAAAAGGTGGGAAAGTTGTAGCCACCTCCAGAAGTGGCATGCGTTACCCGCACACTAAACGTGCGCCTTTGCAACTCCGCATCCAGCAGCCTTCCAGCATGGCAAATTGATAGCCGATTGAAGCAAAGCGCAAAGTCGCCCAAACTGAGCCAACAGGTGCGGCCCCAAGTGCTCTCTGCACCGTCGGCACCAGACAGATCCAAAAGCTGCAATCGAACCTGCCCGGGCTGCCCGGGCTGAGAGTCAACGTCTGACACCACATAGGTATGGTTCAGCCGAACTGGCAAGTCCCTGGCCACACTATTGACTTGGGCACAGGCAAGCAGATCACCTCTTTGCCAATACTTGGCGAGCTGCAAGCCCAAGTCCGGCCGTGCCAGTCCAGCCACTTCCTCGACTGCCGCTTCTGTGAGGTCCATCAAAGCTTCGTCCACGTGTCCTCCGATGAGGGCAGCATAGGAGCCGTGCGCCTTGGCACACGCCTTCTCAAGGAAGCAGGCATACAGCTCTTGGCTCTCATGGTGGGCGAAGGCTGGTTGCTTGTGCGCACATGGCAGGTACGTGTCCGTTGTGATCTCTTGCCACTGCCCATTCAGAAAAAGCCTGACTGTGAACCAGCCTTTTTCAGGCTCATAGGCAACGAACAGTTGCCGTAGCAAAGACGGATGCCTGGCCAGAACGGCAATTGCAGCGACCAAATAACAGTCAGGCAAAAGGCCTTGCTTTACGCTGTGCACGTCTGGCTGCGGATCATCTAAAGAGCCACGGAAAAGACTTGATGTCGTAGAGAGCTCTTGTGGCCGTAGCCATTCCAGTTGCTCAAAGCATCGTCGTACTCCCGAGCCCCAAAGCGATTCATTGCTGGGCGGAAACTTCGGGTCGACAAACATGGGCCGTGAGCTGCTTGTTGCCATCAAAATAGTATATTTAGTATTTGGTTCGTTCGGAACAATTGGGAAATAGCATTCGCCTACAGTCTTCCGTGTCTCCTGCAACACTTCACTACCAAGTCCCTGCATTTCGGGACTCGGCACACCCACCTGCAAAGCCAAGTAAGCACTTTCTGCGGAGGGCCGATCGCAATTCTAGCTGGGTGGATGGCGCACTCTGGAGCTCATTTGAGTGTTGGGGTCCTCTGGACAGGCCCAAGTCGACAACATGACTTCCGAGCTGGTCTACTGACCTCCCGGGGATGAGCCTACTTTTTGGATGGATCTGGCACCAGTCACTGCTCAGCCACACTATACAACCATGGTGCAGGCGTCTGCGTGCCAGCAGCAATCCGCTCTGGCACACCAGGATCCAGTTTTGGAGAGTCCAGGTGCGAGAGAAGCACCCAACTGGATGCTCAAAGCTAAGCGTGTCTGTTCAACGGCTCTCGGACCAGAAGAGGGACACGCATGCAAACCACACTTCAGGATGCATCGCAAACTGAAGGCGCTACCAGCCACACGAATTAAACATCGGAAAGAGACGCGAAGTATCCAGACAAAGGGAGGCCAAAGGGCGGCCACTGGGACAGGCTGCATCACGGCGCGCTGCCTTGAGCTTGACTTGCTATCCCAGTCCTAAGCAACACTGTGCATGACGATGTCTGTTTGCCCAGTGCAAAATCCCTCTGACAGTCTTGTACTTCTGGCACGTCATTGAGTCAGCTTCTCAAGGTGAATCCGAAATGGGTAAACTGGTAAACCCTGAAACGACCTGATTTCTTGTGTCAACTGGACGCTTGCACCGAGCCACGAAAGGGTGTCCGCCTCGCGCTCTCTTGCCAGCTTTTCCTCCACCTCCTGGCCCATGGCGAAAACTCGTCTTGCGGATTCAACGAGGCACCGAGCTTGCAGTACCCGAGAAGCATGGGGCTCCCAAGGGAGTTTCGCGTTCAAGGCCGACACGATCGACGTGGGCTGAGATTCGGCCACTGAGATTCGGCCAAACGAAATGAATGGAACAGGGGCATCGCGGCCTCTCAATAGTCCCCGACTCCCGACGGTAAACTAGTCTTATGGCCTGCAAGCATGCACCTGGGAGTCGCGATGGGCCCGATCCGTCCTGCTGCTCTAGAAGCTCAGCCTCCAACAACTCTCGCAGTTCCTGGGCTTCCTTCTCAGCTTTCCGCCAGTCTTCCGGCACCTGCCGAGCTGGAAATGCTTCGGAAACGCGCCCACGCGCAGCAAGCGAGCGCGCCTTGAAGATGACTCGAGTCTCGCCATCTGAGCCCGGCGAGGTGTCGTCCATCAGCTCGGGCATCTCTTTTTCCCATTTGCCTAACATGTGCACCGCTTGCATCCTCGCTGCATATCTAACAAAGAAGCCCTTGAGAGCACAGCAGTACATGCACACGGGCATGAACTCTGCTCTCGCCTAGCACTGGAATGTGGTCGCCATCGACCCACATGGCTGGCTCAGCGAGTCCTTCGTTCGGAGCAACCATCTCGCCCAAGTCTTCATGGATTGCTCCTCAAGGCAAAGATGGGAAAAGGTTACGGCCAGTGCTACGAAAAAATCGCATGGCCCAAGGGCTGAGCGGTTCTTCAAGCGCGGGCAAATCTGCCGTCGCCCTAAGCGCACGGAATTTGCATACGTGCATCCCAAGCAAGAAACACAAGAGCCTTTTGAGTTTTGACAAAAAATGCTAACAAGAATGGGACGGATGCCGAACCTAACTGCGAGCAAAGCTCTGTATCTGAGCTGCGGCTTGGTCGGCATAGCTCTGGTAGGCGGCCGTACAACCCCGCAGGATGCTCGAACGGATGCATCCTCAGCGTAGGCAGTGCCATCCCACGCACGCAGGCTACCATGTGTTGTCTGGACTGGGTGCTTCACCTGAAGAGGTCTCGCTCCATGTACGTCTTGTGGTACAGAGCTGTCAACCTGCAAAGCTATGAATCTATTTTCTAGTCCGTGAAAAGACCTGCAGCGACAAATACATCTGCCTTCGAATCTGCCACATCATAGCAATCGGGTCGTTCTGCCGTGTTGTCAGGACTGACGTCGCTGTTCGGCCAATGCTCTTGCGGAAGAACGCCGAGCTTCAGCGCCATGTCCTCGCAACATGCCGGTGCAACGCATACGCACCCCCGCGTGTTGGACAAAAGAAATGCTCCTTCTCTGTCCGATTACAGGGATTTGACTGCAGTCGGTGTGACACGTACCTATTGACTGGTTTAGGATAGATTTAGGGTTGGTTTAGGGTTGGTTTAGGGGCAAGTTTAGGGTGGGTTTAGGGTTGGTTTAGCCTGGGTTTAGGGTTGGCTAAAGGTTGTGGAGGGTTAGTTTCAAGGCTGGCTTCCAGGTTGGTTTAGGGTTGGTTTAAGGTTGATTTAGCTTGGGGTTCGGGGTTGGTTTGGGGTTGGCTTAGGTTGGCTTAGGGTTGGTTTAGGATTGGTTTAGGGTTGGTGTGGGTGGGTTTAGGGCCAGTTTAGGGGTTGTTTACGGTGGGTGGTTTCAGGTTGGTTTAGGGCAGGTTTAGTGACGTGTGGATTTAGGCTGGGTTTAGGAGATTGGATTTCAAGTTGGGTTGGGTTGGTTTGTAGGTTGGTTTTGGGTTGGTTTTGGGAGACCCAGGAGACCAGGGGACTAGGGGACTAGGGGACTAGAAGATCAGGGGACTAGGAGACCAAGAGAGTTTGTTTTTGATCCCCTACATATTTGTGTTGATCCCCATATCATTTGTTTGTTCATCCCTGTATCAGCTGTCTGAGCCGGAAGCGTTGAAGCTTCCATGCCAGTGCCGTCCTAGGAAGTCGTGTTAAGAAAGCTCAAACAGGCTGTCACGTCGGCGCATTTGTGTTACAAATGTGCGCCCGTGTCGCTACTCAGTTTGGACAGTTGTTTGTTGGCCTAGTGGCATGCGTCTGATAACATTTGAGCCTGTGTCACCTCTAAAAGAAGCCATCCTTCATTGGCTTTACCCCTTGGCCAAGCGAATCTTTGCCGCTGCCAAGGTGAATTCCTTGGCCAATCAAATCTGGATTAGCGTTGAGAATTGGGCTGAGTCTTCTTGGGCTGCCTTCTACAGGGGCTTGACAGCTGCCTGGGCAGCATATGCTCTGTGTTTGATGAGCTATGCGAATGTTCTTGCCTTTTGCTGGCACCTAATTTACATATTGGGTAGCTCGCAGTAGAAAAAAGTCAGCTGCCATGCGCAGCATATTGGCCTGCTTTGCATGGGCCTACATCCTTTGAATTCAGTTTGCCTGTCACGTGCCTTGCACTTGCTTGCAGAATCATTCGCATCGCAATCCTAGGATCCGTGAGCATGCTTTTGCATGTCGTTGAGATTAGTTCAGTATTTCCAGCCAAAACTGTTCAAAGCTGCGGTCCGCACGTTGCGCGATAGATGTCGTTTTGAACCACGTGTCCTTCCATAGCATTGAGAGCTAAATGTCATCTGGCTGGCTGTCATGATAAAAATTGCTGAGCAGAGCTAACATCTGAATGTGCGCGAGTGTTGCGCAAATTTCGCACTCCTCCATACTGCAAACATAAACACCTCTGAGCCGACGTTGCGTGCGCTTCCGCAAAATTGGCGTAAAGAGCCAAAGATTCGAGCCGAGGCAAGGATCTCTCGCAAAGAACAAAGAATGTGCTGATGAGCGTCTTGGACATTCCGGCCAGCGCCGTCACGGTCTCTGCCGCAGAGCGCATGATCCTGACGGCATCCATGCTGCTCACGGGCAAAGCAAACAAAAACGATAAACACATTCCAGCCAAAGAAAGGGTCGTCCTTCGAAGCGGTCAGGGAGCTGTTCGAGAGAAGATGTGGCAATGGTGATGGCTTGTCACCTGAGACCTGCCGCCCATCTTGCCGCGATTGCACCGCGCACAAGTGATGGAACTGTATTCCCCGCCTTTGCCTGTCTGGAACGTACTGCAGATAAAGCTGATCCTGCTGAGACCTCTGACATGCACGGCCGCCTAGGAATTGCAGCTCTGAAAAGCGCCTGCTGCAGTCGGCTTCCAGCTATGGAGCCGCCAGCCCCCATCCTCGTGTTGCGAGACCTACTGGCCTGCCTGGTCTGGTTGACAGAGTGGCCGTGGAGAGCAGAAACATTGTGGCTGTCTGGCCACCCCTTGCAATCTGCAACTTTGCTGAGCGCCGCACCACAGGGGCAGGTAACACAGTGCGGGCTTCCTAAAGCATGTGCCAACCATGCAGATTCCTGGATCCATAAAGCAGCAAATTGCACCGAGAAGAAAACGCCCATATCAGCTTTTGCAATGCTACCCTGAACCCGGAAACAGTGGATCTGAACCTTCTTTCGATATCTTCCGCGCAACTACACTGCAATGTGGGCATGTATACAAACCCCCCATCCTTTCCCTACTACTTTTTTGGCGTTATCGTTTTTTCCTCCTTATCGTTTTACAATGCTTTCTTCAACTTTGCAAATCAAACTCGAGAATCCAAACTTTTCAGTACAAGTGTAGTACGCGAAGTACACTTCCGCAGCTCCAGCTGCAGATTGTCAAGTCTAGTTCTACAAAACGTTATCTTGTGTTTTCCTCCTTATCGTTTTACAGGGTTTTGGGAGACCTCACCACAAAAGTCTCACCCTGACTAAACTGCAATTGGGGGGGTTATTATACAAGCCCATGTGTTGATGTCAAGCCTGTCTATCACGGTGTGCCTTTTGCCTTCCCAGCGGGTGCAGCTGCGCGCTCACATCGCTCACTGGGTCTTGCACTCGCCCTGGCTTTTGCATGGCTCGGGTCTGCCCCACACCGCAAAGCCTGCCTGCGGCGGTGCGCTCGGTGGCGCTTGCCTCGAGGAAAAAGCGAAAAAGCGAAAAAGCGAAAAAGCCAGAGGTGCAAGTTACAAAGACCACGCAGACCACGCATACGTGGGAACTCCGACCGAGCTCAAGACGGTGGGCCATCGCTGTCGGAGTCCGCTCCTGGCAGTTTGGGCCGAGAAAAAAACATCGGCCACCACGGGTCGCCTGCCGCCCGTTGCGGCTTGTCGAAAGAGGTCACGCCAAACAAGCTCGGGACCACCACCTCGGATCCCGAAAGTTGTTCAAGCTCAGTTCAGCTCAGGCCAGGGCTCCAGAGCCAGTGTGCGCACTGGCAGTGCTGGAAGCTGACGGTTCGGCCGGCCTGTGGATGATCCCATCGTGCGACTCGATGCCAAGTTCTCCTTGTCTTCTGAGCACGAGGCGCATCGTCCTGCTGCGCCCTCAGTCCAGCACAGTTCATCTGCGGACATTCTAAGTCTTGCGAAGAAGATCATACTGGGGTGCCAACCCTTCTGGCTGCACGTCATTATCATACCTTTCAAGGTGAGAGCCAAGCAATGTAGTTCAGGAGTTGGATCGGCGTCAGCGAAGAACACTTTCAAACAAGTCGGGGGCTCTGTTCCCATGCTTTGGGATCTGTGTAGAACTTGCAAGGGTCAAGGTCATAGGTCTGCCAATCCACAGGGTGTCAATCAAATCTGGGAGATGTTGCACACCTTGCACACCTTGGCGTAGAGGATTGCCTCCTTGCCTTGATACTTCTCAAGCAGCGCCTAAGCGAAGTGGGCCAGCGACGCGTATCGAGCGGAGCAGGGCGACGCAACGGGCCTTCACGTTGCCCAGTTTGTGTGGATTGCGGCGATGGTAGACAGCTTCGATCTGGCATATGGAGAACCTTTGTGCGAGCCCTCCCATATGCCACACCTGGCAGCGCCAGAACTCCGCTGGGCTGTCCTTGCCGTCCTTGCCGTCCTTGCGCGGTCAATCTGCGGCACAAGCATCCACCGCAACTCGAAGGCTCCTCAGGAGCTGTCGTGCTCGGCGCCTGGTCTTTGGTTCACTTTAGGCGTGGAATCTTAAAACAACTGCCGATCAAAACGCGAGAAGGCATTCATAGCAACTTGAGGTCGGGGCATCTGCGCTCGCTTCCTTTGCATTGCATCAGCCAATGTCATTGCAACAAGCCCCCTGTCAGGTAGCATGCAATCTCCCAGGAAACCGTATGCCAATGAACGTTGCCAAGAGTTTACACCAGGATGAATTTACCACTCCTAGTAGATCAGTCACCATGTCGACAGAGTCTCGCTTCGGCCCAAAACTACGAATGGGAGGAGAGGATGGCAAGGCCGCGCCAACAAAGGCTTCCCCCCCCCCCGCCCAGGCTGCTGAAGCAACGCCCACATTCTTTCGGCCACGCCAACAGTTGGTCAATTTCTAGGGAAGAAACTCACTTCTCGCCCCCTCTCTCTCTCTCTCTCTCTGCTTGCTCAAACATACTGCTCAAAACTTTCGCAAGCTCCCTGGTAATGTCGATTCCACATGTAAATGACTGGGCGCGCTTTCTCTCTCAGTCTTGCAGAAGAGATCGCTTCAAAGCGCATGTTTCCTGGTAGTTGCAACGCGCAATGAAGCGCAGCTGCGTTGGGTCAGCTCGGACGTAACATGACAACTCCAACCTTCTTCAGCGCAAAGATCGGAAGCGCAGCGGGCTTGTGCTTCGGCTTGGTAGTGCACAAGAGGGGGTGCAGTTTGCACTTTTGTCGCGCGGGCTTAACGTGCCATATGTGCTTCCTCGGCCCGGGTTGGCACTTTGCATGGTTGTTGCGCAAAGCAAATGCGGCTCGAAATTGCCATGGCTTTGTGTTGCGCTCAGGCGTGCAGCTGGAATCACTACAATCCGTGAAAACGCATTGAAGTTGTGAAAGCGCATGGAAGAGCCGCAGCTCCCTTGCTTCCCAAACCAAGGGAAGGGTTGATGCTGTGACAGAGGGAAAACCCTGGATGCATCATGGAGAGAATGGAGCTTCAACTGCTGAGGCAAATGCAGACTCAAGGTTCAAGCTTAAGGTCAAACAGTATGAGCCTATGTGTGTGTGTGTTTCTGTGTGTGGGCATGACGGAGTGAGAACAAGCTGCAACTCCGAGGCTGTGCAAACCCTTCAGTTGCCTCTCTGGGGCACCAAGCTTTGGTCAGCTGCTCTTCCGCCGCTCGCTTCATTGCGGCAGATTGCCATCACAGGCTTTCTCCGCGGACGTGCGTGGGTATGTGTACATGTGTGTGTGTGCGTCTGCTTTGTTGGCTGTCTTGTGTACTCACTCTCCACACGTTCATAACCAAGCAAGCTCTGGCCCATGTTCCCTTTGCCCGCCTCCAGAGAGGACATTCATCATCTTGACCCAGCTGACCAATGATACACTTAAAAGTCTGACGCCATCACACCGTATAGCATGCGACATGTCATCCATTTAAGGTATGGCAGGCCGAGTTGACACGAAACGCAATTTACATGACCATGTTTGAAAACCACCTGGTCTTGAGCCCAGCGCAAAACAACAAAAGTGTGACTTGCAGGATTTGCTCGCGTCAAGTTCTGCGCTTTGTGCAACTTCGTGCTCCAAATGATTGATGCGTTCCGCGCGCATTGTTTGGTTTTGGTCGACGCCGCTGATCACGCCTACGTCTTGCTTGCCCCATGGGAGAAACACCACGCTTGCTCCGGTCTGCAGCGGCGCATGCATGATGAACGAAACGATATGAGCCACGGTCAATACTCATTGTGTCTGCAGTTGACATCAGATGTTGGCAATTGGACAACTATTGGCCTGTTCCCTTTACCACACAAAATGACAATGAACATCGACTACTGCTCATATGTTCTGTATACTGTACACGCATGGAGGTGGGAACGAATGCAATTCTATCCATGGCCCTCCCAAACAAAAGTCGCAGCCTATGGCATCGCGGCATCACCCAAATCGCTCCAAATTTCAAATCCAAGCTGGACTGCTTGCTTTGCTGCAGGTTTCTCCCGAAGCGTGTAAGTCGACTGGCCGCAGGTCAAGGCATCTTCTCACAGGAGAGGAGGCACCCGCCCAAGCGGTCGCGCAACTCGTCCCCCACCTGGCGAAGACCGTCGTCGAAGCTAAGCGTGATGCGGCGCAGGCATGACACGCCCGCGAGAAGACACAGGACATAGTCAGCAAATAGACAAACATTTAAAATTCCGCTGAGCCAGGTGGTTGGATCCCAATAGACGGAGCTCCATGACCTCATGTAGAGCCAATGCAGCAAGTAGAACAGGCGGTACGCGCCCATGAGACAAATCCAGGCAGACACCCCGCGGCTGTCCACTCGGCCCCTCTTGGCATTGCGATAAGAGCACACGTACTGCGGCACCATAACGAAGCCCTCGAGAAGCTGTGACCAAGTCCAAAGGATCTCCAGCGTGCCTTCTCCCAGCCATGGGCATGCCAGGAGAGTGAGGGCCAGCAGGGCCATCAGGGCCAAGGCCCAGCCAGGACAGGTGTCCGCATCTCGGTCATATGTCTCGCAGAAGAAGTGGAAACACAGAAGCACCACGAGCGTGCTGCCGCTGAAAGCCAGCTTGTGCACCACCAAATATGCTGACTGCTCCTGCAGGATGTCCAAGTATCGTGACACGTAGAGTATCAAATACATCCACTGCGCGCGAGCAGAAAGACCTGCCACCGACTTCTGGAAGCAATGACAAAGCAGCAATATTATGGCTGCGTCGTGCAGAACATCGCCGGCGTACCTGAAGCCGTTCCAGGCATGGATTTCTGGGCGCGGAGGCACGATGATCATGGGACCTATGGCCAGTGCTCTGAGCCCCTTGCAGCCACTTGAGCCGCGAGATCAAAGCGTTGAGGCACAGTATCAGGTGCCCGCAAAGCCAAGCGTGAGAATAGATATGCCACATGTGAAGACGTGCATGACAAAAATAAGCACACACAAACAGCAATAAATAAGCCCAGGTGGCATCCCCAACAGCCCTGGAACTCCCTGGAATCCGGAACCCTCCCTGAAAGCTGCCCCAAAACACCTGGGCAGAGACGCCATAGGTCTCAGCTGCTGGAAAAATAACACTGCCCTCCAAGAGCAATCAATTTCTGGTATGTATGGTGCTTGTTTAGTCATGCTCACCCTTTGCTGAAAACCTTCCGGTCATGTTTCCGTCCATGCATTTGCGCAAAAGGATTTTAAGCACTTTGAAGCACGTCTGGAATAAAGAATCAAATTCAAGATTCTCAGGACTCTCATCATTCAACTCTCATTTTGAATCCGGCAACGCTCCGGAATAAATGCATCAAAGCACCTTGAAAGTGTACAGGACTTGGACTCAAATTAAAAAACAAAAGTCCTGAGGACATTGAATATTGAACCCAAAACCGTGTTGAAGCATCTCAGGGTTCTACTGTTTAATGATGAGGGGCACACATTGAATGTATGGAAAACATCCTTCACACCTGTGAAGAGATGCCCTGTGCGCGTACGAACACGTTTTTCAACATTTTGAAGATGTCTTGCACTGTTCAAGGGTTCGGTATAAGAACACCATCTGCACTTGATTAGAGTCAGATCAAACTTGCCGGGATTTGCGGTTCGAGCCATGTTCACCCTTTTCTGTGATCTTTAACATTTGACCATCTTTCTGTCCATCCATTTGTGCAAAACGCTTTAAAGTGCAGATTCAAGATTCGAGATTCTCAGGACTCCAGTTTGGAATATTAAGTCCAGCAGGGAAAGCATTCTCGAATCAACATTCTGATTCTCAGGACTCTCATTTTGAATCCAGCAACGCTCCAAACTAAATTAATCAAAGCACCTTGAAAGTGTGGTTCCTGTACAGAGCTTAGACTCAAAATCAAAAACTAGTCCTGAGGACATTGGATATTGAACCCAAAAACGTGTTGAAGCATTTCAGGGTTATAGTGTTTAATGCTGAAGGGAGAATATATGGAAAGCATCCTTCGCACCTGTGAAGAGATGCCCTGTGCGCCTACGAACACTTCTTTCAACATTTTGAAGATGTCTTGCACTGTTCAAGGGTTCGGTATAAGAACACCATCTGCACTTGATTAGAGTCAGATCAAATTGCTTAGACATTGCAGTTCGAGCCGTGTTCACCCTTTTCTGAGATCTTTAAAAATTGAGCATCTTTCTGTCCATTTTGTGCAAAACGCTTAAAGCGCGGATTCAAGATTCAAGATTCTCAGGACTCTAGTTTGGAATATTGAGTCCGGCACTGCATCAAGAAACATGTTTCAATGCTGCAAAGCATCTTTGGATTCAAGATTGAAGATGCAAAATTATCAGGACTAAGCATCTTGAATATGGAAATCGGAACTGCTGTGAAGCATTAGATCACGCAAGTTCTGAGAATATTGAATTGTGAACCTTGAATCATGGCATATTATGATGGCGTAGGAGACTTTTCAGGGGGCAGCTGCAACTCTGTTCGCCACCAGGCCGGCTGGGACCTGCCCTCAGATCGCAGACAATTCTCAAGCCTTCTGCAGCCCAGGAGTCTAAAGAGTCTATGACTAAGAGCCCCACTCTATGGGCAACACCCCACGTCCGTTGTGGCAACACCTGGACGCCAACTGAACGCTTTTCAAGGTTGAATTCGCTTTCAAGTTGGTCTCAAGCGTGCGAACACCTTCAGGGATTGGCACTCGCATCGGCCTTCTGCGCTCGCATGGCCGCTTCCAATCGCAGGAGCACATGCGCATCTGTGGCTGCATAAATGACCTGCATTAGAGAACGGGTGTACCAAAAAATGGCATTGGCTTTGCATGGCGATCTGCTCATTTGCGCCGTGCCTGCAAGGAGCTCAAGGGACGGAAATTCCAATTGCTGACCTTGCAGCCAAGACAATGAAGCTATCAGCATGAAATCCCTCCCCAGTGCGCAGCCACAGAACCATGCACTCTCAGCATTTGGCTCTGTACTGCTTGTTCAACGTCTCCCCCAAATAGGTGTCGACCTTGAAGCGTGAAGTAGCACAGCTGCTCCATGCAAGAACTTACCAGTGAGACAAGTTGGCCAGGGCACGAGTCGAGACAAAGATTGATGACCTCCCACTGTGAAGACTTGCTCGGAGTGCTCCTCGCACGCGCCCCGCGCTGCACTGGAGCCGGTCACTCCACATCCGTATGACGCTCCTCCAAGGGATAAGGCGGCAAAGGATCCTCTCCGATGCGCATGATCTCATCCAAGTCGTCCGCCTCATGGTGAGCCAAAGGCTGCATGGTCGAAGCCGCAAGCAACCGGCCTCCAGCGCTTGCCCCATCAGCCCCTCCCGCCCAAAAGGCGTATCCTGTGTCGCGTTCGATTCGCACGAATGTCTGTGAAGTCGACCCGGGTTCAAGAAGGCTTGGCACTTGTCCCGTCCTCAGCACGTGGCTTTCTCACCTGGACCCTTCGAACGCGCTGCATGTACAGGTCGAGCACCTCACGAACACAACTGGCAAATCTGTAGCGCTGACAGCAACACTGGGCGAGCTTACGCTGGCAATGTGGTCTCTTCCTCCGAAAGTGCGACCAAATGGTCCGAAGAGCATGTTGAGACGGATCAAGTCCTAGCACGCGGGTCAGTCGAGCAAATGAAAGGGTCGGACCCCCCCCACTGCATGGCTCAAAGCCGGTCATGAGGGAAGCCGAAGAAGAGCTTTGTGGTCGCCTCCCGCCTTGACAAACAAGTCACACGCTATCGGCTAGCGCCAAGCAAATCGTTCAGGACAGCCGAGACCATTATCTACAAGTGCCTTTTTGCGAAGTGCAGGTAGTGTCTTAGGGGTTAAGTTAAGGCCACTGCTTGAACAGGTAGTCGACCAAGTAATGCAACACCTGAACTCCAACCACAACTAGCGCCCAACCCAAAGCAAGAGGTCAGAACTGCCATGTACAAAGGCCTCGGAGCTCATGGGGCATGCCACGCTTGAGATGTCAAGAGACTGGGCATCCCGCGTCCTGTTCACGCAATCGATCACAAAAGCGCGGCTTGGCCTCAAAACGCACATGCTCTGCCAGCGGAACCTCTCCGAGGCAAGGACAAAGCGTGGCAATCTGGATGATAGAGACTGGCCTCATGCATTGAGCTTTGAGTCCACATACCAACAATCCCGACAATGCGCAAATCGAGGAAGAGGAGTCAGAGTCCTAGAAGTAATTGAAGCAATCAAGACTCCGACTGCGGGTCAGACCATTCCAGGTCAATGCCAACATAGGCAGGAGGTGCCTGCACTCACTGGGCATCGAAAATGACCCGTGCTGGCTCTATGCATGGGTTCCAGGCATGCACCTGGCCTGCTGGAAGAATGTCAAAACCTGAGGAATGCTGGCATTCCTTTGTCACACCTTTCGTTGTCACACACCGCACAACACCGAAGAACCATGCGCTAACACGTGAATTATGTGTAACATGTACATCGTACCCATCTTGGACATGGGGTGATTGAAGGAAAGAACGGATGCTTTCTGATGCGCAAAGGCCGCGGCATGCGACAGCCCTTGTGCAGAGTTGACAAAGTGGATGGCATCGAGCGGCAGCTCTGCTGCTGGCGACGGCAATCCCTGCAAACCCAACAGCTCACAAGCTGCCTCTCTGCGAAAGCCAGCCTCCTTGAGCAACGCTGAACTGGACGTGCTCTGCACATCCCTGTCCTTGCAACGCGAAGGCAAAGCTCTCCTCTTATCCCGAGCTTCTTGCGAGTTCGCCGAACCTAAAGTGCCACATCGCAGCACTCTTGATCTGGCTTAGGGCATTAAGAATTCATGGCCGCTTGCCCCCGTCCCGAGATGTAACACGCCTTGCGGGGTCGAAATCTGCCAGCACTAAGCATACCCAGCATGTGTCGACGCTGCTATGGATCATATTCTGTGATTACTCAATTGAACTTCTAACTTCAGGCTGCCTCTGACACCAGGGTCCTTCCCTGGACAGGCGCAGTGCTACATCAAAGTCTGAGTGCTTGACCCATAGGGCCAAGGCCTGGGAGGTCTGTGACGAACAGGCTGCATCATGCAATGTCGGCGCACATCTTCGTCGCCGGAAAGGATGTGGTAGGCATCGGCCTCAGCACAAAGACAGTCGCATGCGGCATGCACTGCTTTCTGCTCAGTGACATCTGCCTTCCACTCACTGAGGGAGTGTCGCCGTGGCCGTGCCCCTAGGAAATGTTGCAGGTTCACACACACACATCCACACTTGTGGGTGTACTCAAGCTTTGCAAACTAATGGCACCAAGCGTAAGGAGCTGACCTGACGATCTTCCACCAAAGCAACTTCCTCAAGTCTGTGCAAAAGCAATGTTTCTCCAGGCGCCTCTTTGCAACGCAATTTTGTGCAAGGATCAAGTGGAAGCGTGTCTCATGCGGACACCGAGAGGAGCGCTGGATCGAAAGCCAGCTCCGGCCAGGATGAGTCGCGCAAACGTGAAGGTGGGGCCTGGCATGTGCCATCGGACAGCTGGACTCTCCCGTCCAGTAGAAAAGAGAGTCAAAATAGCTGCTCAGCTGCTCTACTTCTGAGCACGCAGCCAAGCCAGCAAGAGGCTTGGGTCTTCGCACTTGCAGCCACAGCGGCATAAACTCTCCATCCTGTGAGAACTGGAAACTGAATCGGTTCACAAGCTGCCAGGCACACAGCATGAGGCACGCACCGTCAGCCACATCTTCTGCCTCTTTGGGATCTCAGCATCCTGCATCGAAGCTGCATAGCTCGTTGCTGTCGTCTGCTCATTGTCGTCTTGGCATGGACTTGGCATCTCTCCTGGTCCACTGGAGCTCGCTCTGGGATCGGCGGCGCTGGAGGAGCTTGCATGGGCCACACGGATGGAAGCTCCGGCCTGAAGCAGCTGGCTTCTGCCAAAGGCGTCTCAACAGACATCAGCCATGGAGGGGATTGAACCACCTGAGAAGCCAACAACATGGGCATGCCGTTGCGAACATCCGCCTGACACAGCTCACTTCTATGAGCGTTTGGTGCAATGAAGAACTCTCCGGCAAGTGTTGAACGCACTCGCCAAAAACTCTCTGAAGGCCTCAATGCAAAGACTGGTCGAAAAGGACCACGGATCTCTAGACCTGATAAGCTTGCAGCAGGGCTGCTGCCATGGCTTACATGTTAGCTGAGTACCACACAAGCCAGTCTCAAGGTCCCGTTCTCTTAGAGCTTGCAAAGCCTGGCTTGTCGGGACACCAATCCAACTCTGGGAATCCTAAAGGATGTCGGCCTGCATCATCAATTCCACTGGCTGCAGGTGCGACAAAAAGAAGCGCAAGCCATGCTCACCTCAATGGCCCAATGCGCCACCCACTTCCCATCTCCCAAACCGCATGAAATTGCAGGCCTTTAGGAATGAACTTGCCTAGGTGTGGCACTGCGCCTCCTCTCAATGAGCTTGAGAATTCTTCGCAGTGACCAGCCTTGGCTCAAGTCCACGCAAGCCGGGCAGGCGAACAACAGAGAAAGCAACGCAGAGATCACGGCGAGTTCTGAGAGTAGACCAAAACGGAAGTTCAACTGCAAAGCACTGCAAATACTGGGGAGGCGGCTGGATCCGCCCAACGGGTCCAGCAACGAATCCTGCCATCAGAGTCAGCGCATTGCCACGCGTCCTGTGCTTAGTTGACTGTAGTTGCTCCTATTCAAGGGATCGGTTTTAGATGGTCATTGCTTCCGTGTTTAACAACTCCCTCGGCCCGCAGGAACCAAAAGGAAACTTGGCCAAACGTTGTCGTGCAGCCGCTGGTTTTGGCTTTTTCTTGGATGGTTCTTCCAGGTTCCTTGCTGTCTAGACAGCTCTTTGGTTGGGACAAAGTTTCCGTGTGCATTTGCGCGATCTGCACCTGTTGGCCTGAAATCCTGTCCCAGAATGGAACGCAGCCGTACACACAATCTTATGCGTTTCGCTGGAGCAGCCGTCCAGTCCCTGTGTTCACCAGTCTCTGTCTTGGGGTCGTGTCTGGCTAAGCCCTTTCGAGTTCGAGCCATGATTGGCCTTTGGCAATCCAAAAGCGGGTCCACCGCTTCCTGCAAAGAGAACAGAACTGCCCTGCCACAGAATATTGCACCATCCTAACTGGGCCGAGGTGATCAACACGAAAAGCTTGCAGGTAAACTTCTGAGTTTTCTCTGCCGGTTCGTGACAAGCATCCTACGTGTGCCCGACTCAAAGAGCTTTACATGCCAGGCACACCACTGGGAGGAACGAAAGGCTGATGCGAATCGAGCCGAACATGTCGTTGGCTTCCTCTTGCAGTCGTCTCAATTTGAAGTATTGCAAAGGTTTTCGCATACAGAATCAAATGCGCCTCAGTCAAATAATGGAACAATACCTCCACATCATCTGGAGGAAGGGCTTGTACCCCTGCGGTCTGAGCCCATGTCTCTTCAAACGCTTCCAAATGACGCGGTCAGCATGCGGAACACTTGGGGCCCTGCTGAGTCCAAATCGGGGAACGAGCTTGACAAAAGCAGCAGGCCCTTGCAGTTGGCGCCATCACTTTATGACATGCACGGCTGCATCGGCATTGCACGCGCAAAAGTCGAAAACGCGAAAGCAATGTGCTGGCACGGGTTGCAAATCTTGTGTGACTTTGCAAATAGAATGCTGAGACCGAAGCCAACGACGTCTAAAAGCTTGCTTGCACTGATGCGACTGAAGGGTTGCTGGTGCAAGATCACCCACTCCTACAAAACTGAAGCTGGTCCCATTCCACAAAATCAAGCATGTGTAGGGCGCCTCGATGACATCCACCACCAGGTTCCTCAAAGTCTGCCGCTTCGGCTTCTTCATCACAGGAGAAATGGCCCTGGGATGTCTGGTGTCCGAAAAGATGGGGCTTTGCTGTCACAGCACCTTAGCCTATCTTCGTTGAGTACGCCAAAGATGCATTCCGCACCTGCAAGCACGAAAGCTGTCAGGCACTCAGATGCCGATCTCTCGCCTTCATGGACATGATGCACTTCAAAGAGGTTCGAGCAGGCGGTGAACAAGTCTTGTCGAAAGTCGGCCTTGCCAGTGGATCCGAAATCTCAAAGGCGAGGGTCAAGGGATGCCCTCGCCTTTCTTCGCCAATACTCATTCCAGTCTGTGCAGTCCAAAGCAGCCAGCGCTCCTGGGCAGATCACACTGAGGTCTCGAGTCTCCTGATGACGATTCACAATAACCGAGCTTCGAGCGGTATATGATGTTGGCAGCCAAGTCGTCTACTGCCTTGTCTGGAGCTTGCATGTTGCCTTGTCTGGAGCTTACGATGTATCCAACGTACAAATACAAGTAGGAGGCGCACACCTTTTGCGCAAAGATCAATGGCAATCTCCCAAATCCTCTGCGATGCCTTAGCGACTCAGTTCAAAACAAGAACCCCGTTCCTTCTAAGTGCCACACATGAATAGTGAAGAGTGCCTTGTGCGGAGACACCTGGCACAGCATTCCTCTCATTGCCATGGCTTGCCATTGGCTGACGGCCAACCTCCGGTGCGGCGTGACGTATCACTGCGGCGTTCTGCCGCAGCCTGAAGGCCGATAGGCTGAGAAAGCTCAGCAGCAGGCTGAGGCGCAAACGCAGGGGGCAAGTCGCTGGGAAATTCAGGCTTCCAGATCTGGCGCTTGAACCTGGCACGAAAGCCTCGAGGGCTCAATTTCATGAACTTCGCTTCACTCGGTGCCAATCCTTCTGTGCCCTCAGCTAGCTCTTTCCCCCTTTGCACACTGCGACAAATCCGCCCACGCGCACGTGCGGCAGCTGCCGACAAGGTAGCCTGCCAAGGCGGCAAGGACAAAACGAGCAAACTCGAATCTCTCCGGGCCTGGAGCACGCAATGCCCTCGCTCTGAACACGTTTAGCATGTTCCATAGCTGCGAATAGCGGGCTCAAGCCCTGTGCTTCTCTGTGTTTGGGCGCAGTGGGGGTGCTTCAGACCCGCATTGGCCACCAATTGGATCTGAACTTGCTTGCCTTTTGGCAAGGGTAGCTTTCCATAACGGGTTTTGAGGAGGCTTCAATACTAGAGCCATGTGGCAGAAATACTGCTGCTTGTCTGCTGCTTTGATAGAGTGGGTTGACTCCCTGATCCACAGGCCAATGGAAGCTAAGTGTGAGAAGCCAAGCTTCAAGGTGCTGAATCTGCAAAGGCCTCCCATTCTATCTTTGTTGCCTGCCAGACTTTGACGGCAACGTCGGGCTGTGTTCTTCGACAGCTTGAATCTGACAATCTAATCATTTGTAAGGGGCCGCGAAGCCCGGTATTGCTTCCAAATGTCTATGTACAAACTTTGCGCGCTCACAACAACGTGCAGCCTGACCCCCGTGCCTGCAGCAAATTTAGCTCTGCTATGCAGGCTATGCACGTTCTCCAACGCAAGCCTCTGCTGGTGATTGAGACCCTGGTGTCCCAGAAGACAGACTTTGCGCCTGTCCGAGACATTGAACAACTGAAGGATACGAGGTCCAGTCAACTACAAAACCAGGCCTCTGGAGGTTGTGTCTGCTTTGCTGGCTCAGGCGCTTCGGAACTGCGCACACGTGGTCAGGTGATGTTATGCTGCAGTTCTCAAGCAAGCAGAGTCAGGCAGGCAGGCAGGCAGGCAGGCAGGCAGGCCTAATGGGCTCAGCCTGGCAAAGTCTTTCTGTCGAGTCCCGTCCAAGCTGTTCCGAGCGGTCCCAACGGTAAGCATGCCGCTCAACCTGCAGCTTTCCTTCCCTGAAGGATGTCACGAAGCTCTGCATGACCGCCGTGTCAAAATCCTGCATGTGCAAGTACGTTGTGGATCTTTGTGGATCTTTCATTTTGCAACTGGACTTGCGCCTCCGAATTGAAGCGATACTTCTTCTCCCCATCCACGTCAAGAATTACCAGCGCCGGACTCGAGGTCACACCGCCCAGTGCTCGCACCTTACGCTCACACAGCAATATGACACAAAAATAGTCACAAAGAATGATATGACAAGTGATTCAAGTGTTGTAGACAAAAAAGTGAAGTGGACGTCAACCTGCGCCTGGGGAACTGCTCCGCTGGGCTGCAGCGCAACAAAGAAAATGATCGGCGGCACCTGTGAGCCGGACGCTCCCTGTTTCTCTCAAAGGAGTCTTAATTTTCCGCGGGCAAAAGTCGAGTCAGGAGTCTAGACTCCTTAATTTGCCGCGCCGGGCAAAAAGTCGAGTTGAAGAGTCGAAGAGTCAAGCACCTGCCCTTCCGCCGTGTCGACGCTCGCGTGTACCTTCCACTCACGGGTCGCGTCGCGTTGCCGAATGCTCCGAGCGCTTGCCACTGGCCTCTTTGGCCATCTCCATGAGGTTTTGAAACAGCTGGTGCTGCCTGCCATCCGACTGTTCGGCTGGACATCGCGTCGTGTTTGTGGAACTCATTGGCTCTCTGACCAGACCTGTAGGGCGGCAACCCCTCCAGGAACAGGCATACACTGGGCACCTTGGATAGACCACTTGTGAGCCAACATAACCCAGAGAGAAAGGAAAACAGAAAGCGAAGCCGAGCTTGGCAACCCAGCCGAATTGATCTCCTCGATTGGGCGAGAAAGGTCCAGCCTCTGGAATCATCCACGCAACCCTTGGATTGGCTTCAGAAGACCCCCACACCGGTCTCTGGTACATGTCCAATCTTCGCTCCACCGCTTCCAACATCACGCCCCTCGACAGCGCCTAGCGGAAACAGAGCAAAATGAATCGGCTCAACCGGATCGAAACCCATGGAGTCCGTGCCTCCGCCTTGGAAAGCTTTGGGCGGTATTTTGTGTAGTCCCGGTCGTGCGTGTACGAGAGACATCTGAGACGGAAAGTCAGCAATCACCAGCATCAGCATATGTTCAGCCCCTGTACTACAAGTCATGGATTGGCACGGTCTCGCCTTCCGAAATAGCGTGTCATCGCACATCGGCGATTGAGGCACTGAGGGCTCAGCATTGGGTCGGGAGGATCAGCAGCTGAGCTTCGCAGTCTGTGCAGCTTGTACGCCTAGGACATCACTGACATTGCCGAATCGCCGAATCGCCGAATCGCGTATCGCTTTGTCTTGTGCCTCTGACGCTCGATACTTCTCGCTGGTCGACCAGAGAATGAAGTTGATCCGCTCGCCAGATTCGATGTCGTCTGCACCTCAAACTCAAAATAATTCTGGCAGTCTCGCAGCCACATCCTGGGTGCCAGTCCATGGCGGTGCCGGCCTGTGACTCAACGTGTCACGCGCGTCATGCGTATCATGCGGGTCATGCGCGTCGTGCGAGTCATGCGGGTCATGCGGGGCATGCGTGTCAGGCGGGCCATGCGGGTCATGCGGGCCATGCATGCCATGCGAGTCATGCGGGTCATGCGGGTCATGCGTGTCATGCGTGTCATGAGTGTCATGCCTGTCATGCGTGTCATGCGTGTCATGCGCGTCATGCGGGTCATGCGCGTCATGCGTGCCATGCATGTCATGCGGGCCATGCGGGTCATGCGAGTCATGCGTATGATGCGGGTCATGCGTGTCATGCGGGTCATGCGGGACATGCGGGTCATGCCTGTCATGCGTGTCATGCCTGTCATGCCTGTCATGCGTGTCATCATGCGTGTCATGCGTGTCATGCGTGTCATGCGTGTCATGCGTGTCATGCGGGTCATGCGGGTCATGCGGGTCATGCCGGTCATGCGGATCATGCGGATCATGCGGGTCATGCGGATCATGCAGGTCATGCGGGTCATGCGTGTCATGCGTGTCATGCGTGTCAGGCGTGTCATGCGTGTCATGCGGGTCAGGCGTGTCATGCGTGTCATGCGTGTCATGCGTGTCATGCGTGTGATGGGTGTCATGCGTGTGATGCGTGTCACGCGGGTCATGCGGGTCATGCGGGCCATGCGTGTCATGAGAGTCATGTGTGTCATGCATGTCATGCGTGTCATGCGCGTCATGCGTGTCATGCGTGTCACGCGCGTCATGCGTGTCATGTGTGTGATGCGTGCGATGCGGGTCATGCGGGTCATGCGTGTCATGCGTGTCATGCGTGTCATGCGTGTCATGCGTGTGATGCATGTCATGCGTGTCACGCGGGTCATGCGGGTCATGTGGGTCATGCGGGTCATGCGGGTCATGCGGGTCATGCGTGTCAGGCGTGCTATGCGGGTCATGCAAGCCATGCGGGCAATGCAAGTCATGTGGGTCATGTGGCTCGTGCGTGTCATGCGTGTCATGAGTGTCATGCGTGTCACGCGTGTCACGCGTGTCATGCGTGTCATGCGGGTCATGCGGGTCATGCGGGTCATGCAGGTCATGCGGGTCATGCGTGCCATGCGTGTCGTGTCTTGCGCGTCATGCGTGTCCTGCGTGTCCTGCGTGTCCTGCGCGTCGTGCGTGTCGTGCGTGTCGTGCGCGTCGTGCGTGTCGTGCGTGTCGCGCGTGTCGCGCGTGTCGTGCATGTCATGCGTGTCATGCGTGTCACGCGCGTCATGCGTGTCATGCGTGTCATGCGCGCCATGCGCGCCATGCGTGCCACGCGCGTCATGCGTGTCATGTGTGTGATGCGTGCGATGCGGGTCATGCGGGTCATGCGGGTCATGCGGGTCATGCGGGTCTTGCGTGTCATGCGGGTGACGCGTGTCGTGCGTGTCGTGCGTGACGTGCGTGTCGTGCGTGTCGCGCGTGTCACGCGTGTCAAGCGTGTCGTGCGTGTTGCGCGTGTCATGCGTGTCCTGCGTGTCCGGTGTGTCAGGCGTGTCCTGTGTGTACTGCGTGTCATGAGTGTCATACGAGTCATGTGTGTCATGCGTGTCATGCGTGTCGTGTCATGCGTGTCACACGTCTCCTGCCTGTCCTGCGTGTCACGCGGTCCTGCGTGTCATGCGTGTCATGCGTGTGTCATGCGTGTGTCATGCGTGTGTCATGCCTGTGTCATGCGTGTGTCATGCGTGTGTCATGCGTGTGTCACGCGTGTGTCACGCGTGTGTCACGCGTGTCACGCGTGTCACGCGTGTCATGCGGGTCATGCGTGTCACGCGTGTCACGCGTGTCATGCGGGTCATGCGCGTCATGCTTGTCATGCGGGTTTCATGCGTGTCATGCTTGTGTCATGCGTGTCACGCGTGTCATGCGGGTCACGCATGTCCTGCGTGTCCTGCGTGTCACGCGTGTCCTGCGTGTCCGGTGTGTCATGCGCGTCACGCGTGTCATGCGTGCCACGCGTATCACGCGGGTCATGCGGGTCATGCGTGTCATGCGGGTCATGCGGGTCATGCGGGTCACGCGGGCCACGCGTGTCATGCGGGTCTCATGCGTGTCATGCGTGTCGTGCGTGTTGCGCGTGTCGCGCGAGCCATGCGTGCCATGCGTGCCATGCGTGCCACGCGGGTCATGCGGGTCATGCGGGTCATGCGTGTGTCACGCGAGTCATGCGAGTCACCATGAGTGTCATGCGTGTCATGCGTGTCATGCGGGTCATGCGGGTCATGCGGGTCATGTGGGTCACGCGTGTGTCATGCGTGTGTCATGCGTGTGTCATGCGTGTGTCATGCGTGTGTCATGCGAGTGTCATGCGTGTGTCATGCGTGTGTGTGTCATGCGTGTCATGGGGGTCACGCGTGTCACGCGTGTGATGCGTGTCATGCGGGTCATGCGTGTCACGCGTGTCATGCGGGTCATGCGGGTCATGCGTGTCATGCGGGTCATGCGGGTCACGCAGGTCATCCGTGTAATGCGTGTCATGCGTGTCACGCGGATCATGCGGGTCATGCGGGTCACGCGTGTCACTCGTGTCATGCGTATCATGCGTGTCAAGCGTGTCATGCGGGTCATGCGGGTCATGCGGGTCATGCGGGTCATGCGTGTCATGCGTGTCATGTGTTTCACGCGTGTCGTGCGTGTCATGCGCGTCACGCGGGTCATGCGGGTTATGCGGGTCATGCGGGTCATGCGGGTCATGCCTGTCACGCGTGTCATGCGAGCCATGCGTGCCATGCGGGTCATGCTGGTCATGCGGGTCATGCGTGTCATGCGTGTCAGGCGGGTCATGCGGGTCATGCGCGTGTCACGCGTGTCACGCGTGTCATGCGTGTCATGCGTGTCATGCATGTCATGTGTGACATGCATGTCATGCGTGTCATGCGTGTCATGCGTGTCACGCATGTCATGCGTGTCATGCGTGTCACGCGTGTCATGCGCGTCATGCGTGTCATGTGTGTGTGATGCGTGTGATGCGGGTCATGCGGGTCATGCGGGTCATGCGGGTCATGCGGGTCATGCGTGTCATGCGTGTCATGCGTGTCATGCGTGTCATGCGTGTCATGCGTGTGATGCGTGTCATGCGCGTCATGCGTCTGATGTGTGTGATGCGGGTCATGCAGGTCATGCAGGTCATGCGGGTCATGCGAGTCATGCGGGTCATGCGGGTCATGCGTGTCATGCGGGTCATGCGTGTCATGCGTGTCATGCGTGTCATGCGTGTCACAACTGTCATGCGCATCATGCGTGTCATGCGCGTCATGCGTGTCATGCGGGTCATGCGGGTCATGCGGGTCATGCGGGTCATGAGAGTCATGCGTGTCACGCGCGTCATGCGGGTCATGCGGGTCATGCGGGTCATGCGGGTCATGCGGGTCATGCGTGTCAGGCGTGCCATGCGTGTCCTGCGTGTCATGCGTGTCATGCGGGTCATGCGGGTCATGCGGGTCAATGTGGGTCATGCGTGTGTCATGCGTGTGTCATGCGTGTGTCATGCGTGTGTCATGCGTGTGTCATGCGTGTGTCATGCGTGTGTCATGTGTGTGTGTGTCATGCGTGTCGTGCGTGTCCTGCGTATCGTGCATGTCGTGCGTGTCGTGCGTGTCATGCGTGTCATGCGTGTCATGCGTGTCATGCGTGTCATGCGTGGCATGCGTGGCATGCGTGTCATGCGTGCCATGCGCGTCATGCGGGTCATGCGGGTCATGCGGGTCATGCGTGTCATGCGGGTCATGCGTATCATGCGTGTCATGCATGTCATGCGTGTCGTGCGTGTCGTGCGTGTCGTGCGTATCACGCGGGTCATGCAGGTCACGCGTGTCATGCGTGTCATGCGGGTCATGCGTGTCCTGCGTGTCCCGCGTGTCATGCGTGTCCTGCGTGTCCGGTGTGTCATGCGTGTCCTGCGTGTCATGCGTGTCATGCGTGTCATGCGTGCCCAGCGTGTCATGCGTGTCATGCGTGTCATGCGCGTCATGAGTGTCATGCGAGTCATGCGTCTCATGCGTCTCATGCGTGTCATGCGTGTCATGCGTGTCATGCGTGTCATTCGTGTCATGAGTGTCACGCGTGTCATGTGTGTCATGCGTGTTGTGCGTGTCGTGCGTGTCATGCGTGCCATGCGTGCCATGCGTGCCATGCGTGTCATGCGTGTCATGCGAGTCACCATGCGTGTCATGCGTGTCATGCGTGTCGTGCAAATCGTGCCTGTCGTGCGTGGCATTCGTGTGTCATGCGTGTGTCATGCGTGTGTCATGCGTGTGTCATGCGTGTGTCATGCGTGTGTCATGCGTGTGTCATGCGTGTGTCATGCGTGTGTCATGCGTGTGTCATGCGTGTGTCATGCGTGTGTCATGCGAGTGTCATGCGTGTGTCATGCGTGTGTCATGCGTGTGTCATGCGTGTGTCATGCGTGTGTCATGCGTGTGTCATGCGTGTGTCATGCGTGTGTGTGTCATGCGTGTGTGTCATGCGTGTGTGTCATGCGTGTGTGTCATGTGTGTGTGTGTGTCATGCGTGCGTCATGTGTGTGCCATGCGTGCGTCATGCGTGTGTCATGCGTGTGTCATGCGTGTGTCATGCGTGTGTCATGCGTGTGTCATGCGTGTGTCATGCGTGTGTCATGCGTGTGTCATGCGTGTGTCAGGACTGTGTCATGCGTGTGTCATGTGCGTGTCATGCGTGTGTCATGCGTGTGTCATGCGTGTGGCATGCGTGTGTCGTGCAGATCGTGCGTGTGTCATGCGTGTGTCATGCCTGTGTCATGCGTGTGTCATGCGTGTGTCATGCGTGTGTCATGCGTGTGTCATGCGGGTGTCATGCGGGTGTCATGCGGGTGTCATGCGTGTGTCATGCGTGTGTCATGCGTGCGTCATGCGTGTCTCATGCGTGTCTCATGCGTGTGTCATGCGTGTGTCATGCGTGTCTCATGTCATGGTGTGTCATGCGTGTGTCATGCGTGTGTCATGCGTGTGTCATGCGTGTGTCATGCGTGTGTCATGCGTGTGTCATGCGTGTGTCATGCGTGTGTCATGCGTGTGTCATGCGTGTGTCATGCGTGTGTCATGCGTGTGTCATGCGTGTGCCATGCGTGTGTCATGCGCGTGTCATGCGTGTCATGCGAGTCATGCGATCAGCGCGCTTTCCAGGTGCCCCGCCTAGATGGATGACAGCACGGCCCTGGACAAATATCCGCCATATCTGGTTGCTCCCCTCCCCCTCCGATCCACGCAGCAAGCTCTGCCTGCCGCCTTTCAACCCCCCTTCCAGGAGCCTTCTCATGCGCATAGGTGTACTGCATCTTTCTGTGCTTTTCATCAGTGACCAAACCGCAAAAGGTCAGGGTCGCGCCAGTGAACTCCTGGCCAATGCTCCGGCCATGCGTGTCTTGTCAGGGCGAGTCCCAATCACAAACTGACCAGAAGCACAGAAGCACTGTCAAGAATCACAAGGACAGCTGAACCTGTTATAGCTAGGGTAGTTCATCTGCCCAGATTTTGATTGCGGCTTAGGTGATGCACATACGTGAAGACCACTGTCCTTGCCGAGGCATGCATTCAGCGTGATGTCTGAATCGTCCTGCAAGCTCGCAGTCTTGGGATGTTGAACGGATCTACGGCTCATGGCAGCTCCTCGTGCATGTCAAGGCCAACATCTTCACCTGCCTTGTACCTGCGAAGAAGGCACGGAATGAGGCTGGAGAGGGCGTGTAATCTTATGTTCGAACCTTTTCGAAACTCACAGCCTATTGGCGGGGTGCTTCTGATGCAGTCTACAAGCGCCACGCCTCACTATGAAGCAATGATGGTCTTCACATCCGTCACTTTCCGTTCGGTACAAGGATGCCATCAGTGGCATCAAGTACTCCTGCGCAGGTTTCTCTGAGCTGCTCTGGCGGCGAAGAACCAGAAGCAAAACAGCAAGGTGCTTGAATCCTGTCCTGCTGCAGCATGGTGATGAGAGGCTCTAAACCTTGCTGGAAATCGGATCTGAGACAGCATTGAGTGCGATGGGCCAGCCTAGCTGATTGAGCACCAGTCCGTACCTAGAGCAAGCAATCCATGTCGCAATCCCACCCAAGTCAGCGTTCATGCCTATTCATACCGTTGGGACGGTCCAACACCTCGCAGTCGAAAGCTAGACATGGCAAGGCTTGGACCAGGCCTCACGAGCTGTTTGCTGTGCATGACTGACCTCCTCAAGCAGCATGTCGCAGAACCTGAGGGAGTACAGGTCTTCCGAAATGCTAACTCTAAATCACTCTGTCAATGGAATCAATGGAATCAATGGAATCAATGGAATCAAGCAGCTCAGGCTTGAAGATCTCGAAGGAGAACACTCCTGGTGATTCTTCTCGTAAGACCTGGGCTTGTCGGGCTCGCCGTACCTTTGGGCCTTGGGGGCTGAACCTCCTTGAAGTCGCCCGAAGTGGCTGCTGCCAGGAAGGCAGGCGAGAGCCACCTCGTGCCGCGAGGCGCGCATCCGTTTTGCCGAGCGACCTCGCCTCTTGAGGTTCTCAGCCTGGTTCTCAAACAGCTCTGGGTGTAGGGGTTCGTACTTGCCTCCACTGTACTCTAATCTCAAAAGATATGTTGAGTATCATTTGCCAAGGCTAATCCAAGCGGTGGGGATTGGCTTGGACAAATGCCTTGTTGGTAGATGTCCCCAAAGAAGTACTTGCGCAACTTCTCCTTGCCTGCAGCCCATGGTCAAACGTTGCTGTCGTGTGCCTTTTTGCCACGTGTGAAGCTCCCGATGCTCCCTATTGGCTGCATTTTTCCACACGCTGCCGAAGCCGCGTCACCTAATCTCTTCCGTGGTGAAATCAAATGCTCTCCGGGAAAAAGCGGACCTAACGCCGGCGACTCCGGCGACTCCGGCAACTGCGACTCCGCCGACTTCGGCGGCTTCGGCTTCTGCGGCTTTGGCTTCTGATGCTGTCTCTTCGGCTTCGACGCTTTCGGCTGGCACTGCGCACGTCGCCTCCGAGGTGACGAGTCACGTTTTGGGCAGGGAATCCCGGCCTCGAACAGAACGTCCTCGGCTCGGGGAGCTAAATTCTTGTGGCCGCCAGCGGCTCGCGCTGCGGCTCCTCCGTCTAAGTGCTGGGCATTTCACACTCAACTCATCTCAACTCCATTCTTCAAGCTGACGTGTTGGAAAGCGACCCTTGTTTTTATGCTACACTGCTACACCCACACGCAGATGCATACAGACACAGTGCAAAGAGCTGTGAGCCGCTGATACCGCACTGAGGTCTCACTAAGCCAGTCGCACACACACAGACGTGCTCCAGCTGCTCTCACTGTGCAGCTTTGCACTTTGCAGCTTGGTCAAATGCTGCGTGTTTGTGAACGCGAAGCATAATATGAGCCACAAATCCACCGCTGCCTAAGACGACGCAGAAATTGCGTGGTCACCACGCAATACTTTCAAGCATGCCATAAATTGCAAAGGCTGATCGACAGAAAAGTAAATGAACTGGTTGAATTGTGTTTGTTCTTCAAACGAACAAGCTTTGTCTATGCCTGCTCCCTAGTCTTCAATTCAGGCTTTGTCCTGCCATTGGCTGGTGGGCTAGCGCTTCGACCAACGCTTTGGCCAGTGCTTCCACCACGTCTGTGGGCCTCAGATGCACGTAACCCTGAGGCGAACCACAAGAAGTTCCTGTGAAGTGCTTTTGCTTTTGCCAATGAACCTTGCAACCTGGAGCAAAAGGATTCTCAATGATTCTCATGTCCCCCAAAAGTCTACTGAATGTACCGAAGCGCGCTCTTGCCTAAGCCTTGCACTCGGCTTCGGCTTCCTCCAGATTTGGCTCCTTGACAAGCATCGCACGCGCAAAACGAGCATCAAGCCACTGCGCGAGCCTCGACGTCTGCTCCGTCTGCGCGTGCGGCTCGGTGGGCTGCGGCTTCGGCTCTTGCTGGGACTCCTGGCCGAGAATCCGATCCAAGCTGCAAGCTGCAAGCTGCAAGTTGCAAGCTGCAAGCTGCAAGCTGACGGACGGCCAACGGCAAACGCGCTCCCTGCAGGGCGAAACCTCGAGCAACAAGTCTCAGTCGTATTCGCTTGAGCTCCAGGAGCCCGGGCTTTGCGGCCAGCAACTTCTCATGGCTTGCTGTTTGAGGTATCAGCTCCTGGGCGAGAAGCTTGAAAGAGCATTGCCCTCACGCAACTCCCAAACATGACAAGCAAAGTTGAGGCTGACACTGGAACACCACGGCGCACAGAGGGCATTCCCGGCGAAGTTCTTGCAAACCTTCCGCCGCTTGGCATGAAACAATATTGCTCTCAGAAAGTTGAAGCAAAAGACGAGAGACCATGCGACGCACACCAGCTTGCAAACCACAAATCTGGATAAGTTGGAACTAGTCCAAACCAAGTTGTTCAACTGGCAATCAGCCCGTGCCAGCGCCTGATCATGACACATTTACCCTGCACCACGCGGCCATTGAGCCCCTGCCGGCTTGAAGTGACGCTCGGGGAACGCGCTGATGTCGACAGAAAATATCCCACCACACTCATTTTTGAGAGAAAGGACTTCCCCATTGGGGGAGTTGATGAGGGGTCAACATGTAAACGGATCACTTCTCCCTGGCAAGTGCAGAAAACCGCCGGTACACGTGTCTGGCATGTCATCAGGCACCTATGGAGCTGCGTCGCGTCTCAGCATGGCCTGCATCGCCTTTCGGGCATCATCCCTCTTTGCAAATTCCACCAGCGCAATGCGGGTATCTGGCACCTCGACATGGGTTGCAAAGCATATGTAACAACAGGAGAGGCCAAGGTTGGGGCCCCCTTCATATTCTTATTCTGCGTCAGGTTCACATTTCTTACCTACCGCACACTTCGCAGCGACGCGCAGGCAGCTCACCGGCTGGGGGCCGAACTCGTCCATAGTGCTCAAACTGGGACTGCAAACCCTCGCTGGTCACGCCGTCCTTCAGGCCATGTCAGTGCGAAGAGGCCAGTGACATCGCTTCGGTCCTTGATGCCCTGCACACAAAGGGTTGCATACGGAAAGGCCGAGGACATCATCTGATATGTACATCACAGGGCAAAGCCCTAAATACGAAGAGAGCGCAAGACTGGCTGTTTTGCCTCTAGCTGCCTACCAATGATGCGTAGGCAAGAGCAGATGTGTTTGTGTGTGTGTGTGTGCGTGTGTGAGGGTGTGTGTGAGTGTGTGTGTGTGTGTGTGTTGAATGTCTCGGGGCGGGCGCTTTGAAGAGTCTTGCAGACATCTAGCCAATGGCTAGCTTGAACCTAGTGCAACCTGCACTTGCTGAAGCTTGACCAAGCATGAAAGTTGCACAAAAGCAAACGGCCATCCCATGGAAACAACTGGCGACATATCACTTCGGCACTCTATCTGAGCCTCCACTCGAGGCTGTAGCTGTGTGGGCCATTCTAGCAGAGGGATATACTGACCTGAAGGCATGGCAGGTCAAAGCTGTGGCAGCAAAGCTGCAGCTGCACCTCCTGGTCGCGAGTCCTGGGCTAAATCACCAGTCCAGTATATTCCATGAACTGGGAACTAACGCTCCAAGATCCGCGTTTAAGTCTGAGTCACAGACCTGGGCACGGAAACCTTAGCTGGTGACTTCTCGCGCCGGTCAGTGAGGTTGCATACTTCCTGCGCCGTCAGCGCCCAGCTGAAGGAAGAGACGCGGCAAGAGCAACGGCCTCCGCCACATGTTCAAGGCCCGTGGCCTAACTGCCTAACTCAGATGAGGCGAGCGCGCACCCAGGGCAGCTGCCTAACGTCGAAGTCAGTCTCGCGACACACCGGACAAGTCGGTCTCGGACTCCGAGGCCAACGCGCAAATGGCAATGGCACGAGCTTCGCGAGCACCTGCGAGGCTTTCGGGCCGCAAAGACTGAAAGATCACCGGCCTTGTACAGCGGATCTTCGCGCTGGACGCCTGGCATTCCGGAAACAGGCACAAAGGGGCTTTCCAGATTCAGGAAACCGAAACGGAGCCAGATGAGCCGGGCGGCCCACATACCGAATGGCTCAAATAGATGCTTGGTCCGGCAAATGCGGCGATTGCAGTGGCCACCTTGAGCTTCTCTGGCTGGACAGAAAACATAGTCAAGCCAACACATTCCAGTATGTGAGAGTCACAGTGTACATGCCGAAGCATGCGTGCGCAGATAAGTCCAAGTGTTCAGATGTTGGTGTGTTAGCTGCGTCCGCAGAAATCACCCAGGTTGACTCACAACTACCAAAGGGGTTCTTTTCAGAACTCACCAAGCAAGCCGATCAAGTCAACCTGTGAGACTGCAAGGAAAACACCTGCTTCGGGGACAAATCTTGGAGAAGGGCAGCCCTACTTGCCAAAGGCAGATACAGGCAAACTAGCGCCGACCGTGGGACAATATCTAGAGTGCAAGGGTCTTGGCTTTCGCCAATGAGTGAAACCCATGAATATGTCAATGTGAATCTGGATGTCTCCTGCAGATGAGGTCCCGGAGCTTCGGGCGGGACGGGCGGGCGCCCTCGGGACGACGTCGCACTGCTCGGCTCTTGACTTCCCGCACGGAGCCGGCACCAGCTGCAGAGGCCGCAGCAAGAGCCAAGCAAGAGCTGCATGAGCAGAGTGCCCAGGCAAGGGACACGTGCTACGCGGAGCGGGCCAGCTGCTGACATTAGAAGACACCAGGGGCCAACCACACCGCGGTTCTCTGCCCCTACAAGTGCTTCAGGGAGAAGAGCATGGACAAGCCACACTTTCATCGTGGCGGCGGCAAAGGTCTTCCGATCACGTGGTAGCCACGCAAAAAGCGCCAGCCAATACGCGGAATTCCCTATGAACGCGGCTTCCATGACGGTGAAGGAAGCGCCTGCTCTAAGTGAATTGATGAAAGGAGACACCGCCCAAATGAAGAGCCCCAAAGCAGTGAGCGACAAGCTGGAGTAGGAAACATCTGCCAGGGATCCTGCCAAAGCTGCAGTCTGTTTCATCTCAGAAGTCACAAGGTTCATCTCCATCAGGACATGTACAGCCTCTTCCACCTCATCTGCCTTGCCACTTTCGGACAACTCTTGGTGGATCCTCTCTTTGTCCGCAACGACTGAACAGCTATCAGCAACCAATCAGCCCATGAAGTCGTTCTGCAACATTCTGCTGCGGAGGTATGCATCTGAGGTCATAGCTCTTTCACATTCGAAGCAACAAGCAACCACTAAGAAGCTGACTGCTTGTACGGTCCAGGTGAATCCAACCATATCTGCTACTGCAAAACAGTTCCATCCTGGCACAATTCATACCGAGAAAGGCCGTGAACAACCCCCAACTTCTTCAATGTGCTCCGAGCAGTACGGTGGACTCAGAACAAACAAGAGCAAAGGGAATGAGAATCACCAGAAATAGGTAACGGGACAGCAGGGAACCGGCGCAATCTGGCGTAGCTCCAGAAGAAGCATGCCGCCCATAACTGCAATGAACCAAGCGGCAACTCGCAGTATGCAAAGCCAGATACCACGAGGCTGTGCCGCAGCAATTCGTATTTCCTTTTGCCACGTAAAAGCCAGGAAGGTCTCGTAGACGCACCAGAGACGCGTGTAGATACTGGTGATCATGACAGTCGACGCCGATTTCAGCGCCAACGCAAAAGGTGATGCGCTCGGGGATGCCAACAAGCTCGAGATGTCCTGTTCTTGCGGGTTCGACAAGGAACAGATGTACGCTCCTTCGTCAGCGCCTCCAGGCCAAGACCCCTCTACTCGGTCAAGGAACTCATAAATCCCTTCTGCCCAGCAGTGAGTGACGAAAATGTTGCAGCTTACGCCATCCGGATGCTTCAGCAATGCCCAACTCATCCGCCCTGCTGCGATTGGTCACCGGCTTTATGAACTGGTCGGTCACCGTGTAAACTGATGGCCCAGCAACGAAATCTGACGCTTGAAACATGTCTCGCTCAGTTGGTACAATCTGTCCTCGACCGCATGCATCACCAGATTCCGAAACTGCCGAAGATCTTCCAGGTTCACGCACCATTTGTCGAAGGGCACCTGTGTGCAACACTGCTCCTCCATGCCAAGGTGCAAGATACTCATCCTCGGCTTTGAGTGGAGAAACTCTCCTCGGAAGGTGAAGGAGCACCGTCGAGAGCCGCACGCCAATCAAGACCAAAATCAATGCAGAGCCCCATGCTGGCAGGCCTCCTGTGAGCAGCACGCAACATATATATTCCCGGCGCACGAAGGTGCGTCTCATTGAAGTGCGTCTCATTCAAGTGCGTCCCATTCAACTGTCTAGCAAACCCGTGCGTCTCATTCAAGTGTCTAGCAAACCCATGGGCAACGCCATGCTCCTTGCAGTGACAAAGCTCTGTCAGATTCAGACAAGCTTGCCGCAGCTGCTCCAAGCATGTGGGATTTTCTCTGCAGCAGCTGGCTGCCAGTGGTACAGCTCGCCCGAAAGACGTGAGACACGGATATCAAAAGGCAGTGTCTGGTTGCAGCGTGCAAAGCTGTTTGAGCCAGCAAACAACTACATAAACAGTATCTGCCATCTGTCATCTGATCTATGCATCTGCTTGCGCAATCCGCACTTGTGCACGATTTGACTGTTCACATTGCGCTGGCCGGCCCTGGCGGGCGTGAGACATTTGCTAAATTACAGGGCATCGCTCAGTTATTGTACAGCACAGCGGAACAAGTATACTGCCCCCTGACCTGTGAGTCAGGCAGTCAGCTCTGGTGGGCTCACCGATCGCTGCCTGCCCCGAGAATCGTGAACCGCAACACGCACAAGTTCCCTGGCCTTCTGCCTTGAAGCTCAGTAATTTGTGCTCGAAGATGAGCAGCGATAGCTGGAGAAGCAGATTCTTGCGCTTGCGCCTGGCTTGTTGATGATCTGTGCACTAGTGGCATGTGCCAGCGTAACCGATCCGTGATTCTGTGCTTGGAGTTCCCTTGCACTTTATGAGCCAGTCATGATGCATGTTTCTGTGCTTGTGTGTGTGTGTGCGTGTGTGCGTGTGCTACGTGTACTATTCCAACCTTTGGCAAAGAGCAAGAGAACAAACTCTTGTGAGGATCGTAAGATCAGGCACTATGACAGTCCCAGTGGGCAAATAATGCTTGTCACTCCCAAAGCATGCTAGCAAAGTGCTGCAGCTATTCATTAATGCCATCTCATGTCAAATTAGCCCAAAGCTGGCTCAATCCCACTGACCTCCAGAATCTTACTTTCCCTCACAACGCGCAACCGCAAAAGTCCTCCATCTCCAAGAGCACTTCTGCTTCCGAAGAGTCGCCCTGCCAAGTCCAACTGCCACAGAATCGCGTGGGGTTATAGGACAATTCTTGAGGCACCTCCTCCAGCAGAAATGCCAGCATCTCCACCTCATTCTCGGCCTCAACTGCACAAACTCATGGCCTTGTTTGACCATGACAAACCAAAGCCAATCAAGTACTGAATCAATGAAGGCTGCTTGCGATAGCACTGGCATGCTCAAGTGGGATGCTGAAGTGAAAGCTTCCGCGCCGTGCCTCAAGCAATGCTCGTTCCCTGTGCTTGGCCATTACGCCTTCGCCAAGACTCCGCTCACCAGTCGATGCCGTTCCGTGCTGACAAGTCCCAGTGCTCTGGCCTGCTTTGAGGTTGGCCTGAGACACAGCTTCCGTCAACTCATGGTTCACTGATCAGCCACCCAAATTGACTTCAATAGTCAGAGAGAAACTGAATGCCAGCCTCTGCGCGAAGCTTGGCAGCTTTGAGCACAACGTTCACGAACTGGCCAGGACCGCAGAGTTTTATCAACATCTACAAGGACGAGCGATGCGAAGAGAAAGGTTTCCAAGGCGCGAGATTTGTCAGAGTCAGCGACTTCAGCCAGTCTGCCGAGACTTTGGGAACTGACTTGAAGCTAGGAGACCTTTGCTCTGAAATGTCTACTCACATCTGCCCCTTGAAGCACTGCCGCTCACCAATGTCCACGTAGGTGCAGAACAACCCTCCCTCTGACGGCACAAACTTCTGGTTGTCACCCTCATGGCACTCGTAGAGGCCCCAGGTGTTGACATCCTCAAGAATCGGCGGGATGCAAGGCTGTGCGACCTCCTTACATCCCGCCTCGTCAGACCAGGTGTCCAAGCAGGCCATGCTTTCGGCCTGCTTCAAGTGCATATTTTCAAAGAGGAAGTAGGCGCAGTCCTCCTCGCAAACAAACGTGGAACAAACCGAAGACACCTTTTGAGAAAGGGTCCTTAGAGTCCACGAACTGCGCTTCTCCGTCGAGACAGCTCCCGCTTCCATGCCAGTACAGCTTCACGCAGCTTCGACCTGCAAAGCCGACTCGGCGCTCAGCTTTCAGCAACTCAGAGCTATCTCGAGCCTGGCTCCCTACATCTCGCTGGCAAAGGGGCAGTGGGCTCTCCCTCCATCTCCGCGTTCAGTCGTGCAAAGACCTGGCAGGCCCAAATACTCAGGCAGTGAGAAACAAAGAAACAAAGAAACAAAGAAACAAAGAAACAAAGAAACAAACGGTTGAGCGAGCGCCTCTGGATGCTCTCTCTGCGCTTTGCGATACAGCTGTGTCTCCATCGGCTGTTGCGCAGCAACTTTGGAAAACCTGAGACTCGCATCCGATGCGCCTTCCGACAGTCCTGACAGTCCCGAGTCCCCTCAGTCCCTGGCCTGGCACCCCCCACGTTCCTGAAAAAGAGGCAGGGAGCCTGGCACGCTCGTGACGCTCCGTGCGCTCCGTGCGCTCCGTGTGACGCTCCGTGTGACGCTCGGCTTTTGCAGGTGCCTCCTTGATGCCTGGCGGATCCGACCCTGTGGGGCCCAAGCAGCTGCTCCCCCGCTTCAGATGGCCATCCTGGGCTCCCGGATGTGTCGGGGTCACTTGGGCTACGAACCAAGCTGCGTCGGTCAGCGACCAGGATTGAGCAGAGTTCGCTCCAGATAGCTCACCTTGCCAAAGGTCCAACCCTTCGACTCAATGACACACAAAAAAGGAAGTGCTGATGGATGAACGCAAAACACTTGGAAGCAACCAAAGCCGACATTTTCGCCAGGACGCAAATCCCAGTCACACCTCGGCCACCACTCTGGCCGCCCTGGCGTCATGGCCGTCTGGCAAATCTGCAAGCCTTTTCCTCCAGTACCACCCTTGCAATTCATGTCATTTGATCATTTGTTTCCCCAGGCCGAACCGCATGCTGGTGCTTGTGACCCTGGCCTGCAGGCATTGATCCGTATTCCAGGCGCGAAGCCCACTGCAGCACTTCCTTAGGCTCGCGTCTCAATCGAGTTGGCGGCACTCCCATGTCTAAGCACCCTGCTTGGACTTCCTGAGTTGCGTTCAGCATCCCTTGCAAATGCCACTTGCCTTCTACTTCCTGCTCTCATGCTGTCAAGTTGCCGATTTCGGTTGCCCAAATGCCAAAAGTAGCGATGATTTGTATCATCGCACTGCGCCAGCCTCGCAGAACAGCTTGGGGCAAGCGGCACATGTTTTTTGCTTTACACTTTGCTGATTTCCCGCTGCAGCTGCGTAACCTTACACCCTCACTTCCAGATCCGCTGGTACCGGCACCGCCCATGAAGTGAAGGCAAAGCCCGCTTTGTTCCTCACAAGTCGTGGTCGCATCGAACCCACGCAGCCTGAGACTTGCTCATTCGGTCCTCGCGAATCATAAAGATTTCTGGAGGAATAAGGCCTGCATCCTCATACACGACTTTGAAGCGCTTCAAATACCAGGCAAACGGGCGGCAGCCGCTCAACCGCTTCTTCACATTGTTGAAAGTGGACATGTCCTGAGCTGTCCTTGCCAAATTCAACATGACTGAAAACATCTGAGGTTGGGTCCCCGAACCAATCTGGCCCGCTGGCTCTCCGGTGGGCAAAGTTGGGATAGTGGTCCAGCTTCGCACTGAACTCTTGCAGCCAAGCATTGATGGCTCTGGCACGGTTGTAGATCGTGTCTCCCACGTGCTTGTACCGGGCATTGGTCTTCTTGTTCCCTGTTCTCCACATGTGCGCAACTTGCGAACTTGGAGCTGCCACAATCTCGCCGCCGCAAACCCACATCCTTACTCCCTGGTCGATATTCTCTCCACCCCATCCCAACATCTTGTCATCGTACCCGCCACTCTCGTCCCACCAGTACCTGGACATCCCTGCCAGGCCTCCAGACAACATACCCATGTACATGTCATCAGTACCTCAAGAGACGCAACCAGAATCTTGTTGAGCCAGAACAGAATCACCAACTCAAATTTCAGCTGTGGCACCGCCCCACTTGAAGTCACCGTCCCAGGTCAAGTAGCATTTGGACATGCCTCCCCCACGGCCTATCTGAGTCCATGTGTCAACGTCGAGTGCAGTGATCTGCGGAATCACCATGCGTCTGTAATTCTGACTGATAAGATGTAGGAAGTCTTGATGCCAGTTCGGCTGAGGAGCTTAGATGCAAAGCAGCGAAAGTCAGAAGAACTCGCGCATACTACCAAAAAAACAGACTGTTGGACCAACCAAAAAAAAGAACGTGCAACAGCTTGCAAGGAACCCACATGGCAGTCGAAAAAGACAATCAGGTCGCCGGTTGCAGCATCTCCTCCCGTTTTCTTGGCCCCGATCAGTCCAACCGTCTGATCGTGGCGTTTGATCAGCACTTTGTATTTCCGTTGTATGTCCGCACTCAAGTGGGTCTGAGACAGTGGAGGGTTACCTGGGCTGATGCAAACTTGGCCCCTGCCTGAAGCAAGCTGCTCCTTGCGACCCTCACGCTGCATGCGCAAAGCCAAAATGCGCTTTCTGCGACAAGCGTCTGCCATCATCCACCACGACAATTTCATGCAAAACATCTGCGGGTGTGGTCTCAAAGACCGATCTCACGGTGTTGAACTTAGATGGCACCAGATCATCAATGCTTGGCAATCATCCAAGCCTAGTGCCACCGAGTCTCTGCAAAGTCGCGCTCCTCGGCGCAAGGAAGAACCTGACAGGGGGAACAAAGGTTCCCGAGAAAGGAGACGCAACAAAAAGCATGGCAAAAGCGGGCTAGATATGTGCTTGAAAGAAAGGAGGCATGATAGGTAAAGGTTAGAGATATGGACGATTGCCAAAATGAGAGAACTCATCTGAGCAAAAGTAAGAAGTGCAATATTTACATGTGTTTGGTAATGTCCATAGTTTGTGTTTGGTAATACGGTGAATTTGCAATGTTTACATGTTACCGCATCCACCGTAGAATGACTGGAAGTTTGGAGCGCACGTCAATTTGGTACATGTCTGGCGCGCATGTAGCGTACACAACCTGTCAGCAACTTGCTGCTCCCGCGCGCTGCTTCCCTCACACATGAGGCATTAGGCCACAAAAGGCTGCGCGTCAAGCTCCAGCACGCGATGTCGCGCCCAGAGCACACATGCAGCATCTAGTTCCTGCGCCAGGCTTCGGCACAGAGGGCGAGAAGCGCAAACGGCACAGCACGCAACAAGAGGAAAACTGAGCAGCACGGACCCTGCGCAAAGCCCTGGGAAGAGCAGGCGGGAACAAACAAGTCCGCAACAGCTGTAGCCTTGAGCCACCGCGCGGCGATCATCTTGTTAAAACACTGCACGCCAAGCCTGCCAGTCCAAAACTGCAGTTGGGCATAAGAACATGCGTCGCAACCTGTCAGCAACTTGCTGCCCCCACGCACGCATCTTAAGAGCACACATGCGGCAGCTCTAGTTCCCAATGATCACAAATCGGGGGCCCCCAATGCTCAATCCTGCGAGGGGCTTCCAGAAGCGAGTCAGGAGCCACTGAGCAGGAGCGCAAAAAGGCGCGCCCAACATTGGTCGGGCAACTGCGAAAATCCGGGAGTTGTAGATGCTGAAACATTAATGCAAAAACTTGGCACAGCGCAGCGTTGCATTCCATGGCAACAAGGCAAAACTGGATCCCCAAAGCAGCCAAGCAATGGGAGCACAGCCATCGCTGTCGCAAAGCGAAGCTAACAAAACTGGCCACAAAAATTGGCGGTTGCCATGAAAAAGCAGGGAGGGGACGCCAGCCGCTTGTAGCGCTCAAGCAGACTCGCCGAACAGCGACACGGCGCGATCTAGGATGGGCAACACAGTCAAAGCGGTGAAACCATTTGCAAGAAGCACCATGATGAGAGGGGCTCCGCGCAGAATCCAGTTGCCCTGAACAGAGGAAGCGCTGCTGTGATGTCAAAAAGCCTGACTGACAGCGCGGCGTGTGCCTCTACCACTCGCACCCATTTGCAGCGCCCGCACAACCGCGCCTTACATGCGCAGCTTCAGGCCAACCTTTTCCGTTTACTCCAGCGCGAACGCACGTGCGCGCGCGGTTTTGCCTCGGGCACGCGTCGCAGGCGTGGAAGCACCAACAGACCACAAGATCTCACACTCAACCATGGCTTTTAACACTACCTGTTGCGCATCCTTTGGGTGTTAACCTCAATTATGCTGACCAGCAGACCACCTCTCAGCAAGAACAGACGGTTTGGGTTGTGTTTTCCTGCAATTATGTCTCTGCTGGTCGGTCAACGTTTCTCGTAGTGATCCACAAGCGACTTGCGAGCGGGCTGGCTCTGACTGAAGATGAATTTTCAGACTTGCACTCACAGTCACCACTTCCTTTAACGATGGCAAGGCGGCTTCTACAGAGACTGACCGAGGTGCATCACAGCTGCCGCGCACCTTTGGAACTCACAGAGCGCCCCCCAGCAAGGCGTCCGCTGGCCGACGAAAGATGGACAAGCGGGTGCTGCAAACA